TAGTTTTGCATCTGCTGTCTTTTCTTTAAACTAATCCAAGTTCGCAAACCCTTTATCCATCAGTTCACACAGTTTTGAGTGTGACTTGAGTGTTTAAATACTTTCTGCGCCCACTGTCCTGAAGACATTTTTAAAACTACAGCAGTTTTCTCTTCAGTTATATTCTTGGCAGGGCATTTAGAGCATCTAAAACCACTACAACTACAAAAACACCCAAGTAAAACTACAACTACCACGACAATTATTCAGAGACTGGGTAAAATGCAAGTACAATATATTAGGAAAAGTCATATCTTACACACAGAAAATTATCTTTTTTTCGAATGATATGCACAGATCAAAAATACTCTGAAGTGAAGCCACGCAGTCAGAGACAGTATTGTCTGCAGTTTTTGACTTATTACTGTTTTTTTGTGTTACGATCGGCCACAGATGCATCTTTGTTGATGCACATCCTAACGTCTGTTAGAGCCTCCTCTAAACTGGTAGCTCGTTTCCACATGATGTCCAGTGAACCAAAACTAAAAGCTTTACGTGCTGTGCCTCTGCTGATAACCTCAGAACACAAAGGAGCGAATGAATGAATGAATGAAAGAGGGTGAAAGAGAGAGTGAGAGGCTACAGACAAGTTATGTAATCAATTAGTGCAGATTAAGATTGTGGGCCAGGTCACAATTCTAACATACAGCTAAAAATGCTCCACCTCGACATTAGGATAATCCTCACAATTAGCTGTCTGAACCTCAGTTGGTTATTTTCGTTAATAGTTTTTCTCCCATGACATGAATAGGAATCACTTAAATTGTTCATATAATCATGAATAAAATGAATTCATAGTAACAAATCATCAGTAGCAAAGGAAAGCTTCTCTGCTACAACAACAAAAACATTTTCTCAAGATATGAATGCGCTCTCTAACTGTTCTCTGAGGGTCACGAGTGTTGTTTAGGTCTCAGGTCTTTAATACAGTGTCCTAATGCGGCAGCACCCAATTAGTGCTCGTTCTAACTTTAAACTTTCTGAAATTAGGATCAGTTTGATGGCAGTGATCATTGTGTTAGATACCTGGAAAGGAAGGGGTAAACAGTTGAGTATTTATCTCAGCCAATGACTGAGCTGCACTTGTTTTCTTCCGTTTTAATCTTCTTAATAACTTCTTGGTACCACTTGGATAAACCCCCTCTTTCTGTTCCCATCAACAGGAAGAGGTTTAACATGAGAAAATGCAGTGGAACATGGTTTTCTGATTAAAAAGCCTACAGTTTTACAACTATATATTATGTTAGAGTGTACAATTTTTAAAGTGAATCATTACATGCTCTTCTACATTTCTTCTAAAACTCTTCAAAGAGGCTGAACATGTGCAGTGGCAGTAAGTTGACCACGAGGTTGTTTTATTCAGATTTGTTGTACCTCTGACTTTAATTGTTGATCTAAGCTGATGTTTCAGATACAGCAATAACATTAAAACCAGCGGTCTAATATTGTGTAGGTCACCCTTTTACTAAAAGACAGCTCTGATCTATCATGGTATGGACACTGGACCTGTGAGGGTCCCCTGTGGTGTCTGACACTGGGAAACTGGCAACGGATGCTTAGGGTTGCCAGACAGATCCTCAGTGGATCAGGTTTGTTCTGGTGCATCCCATGAAGGCTTGATCTTATGAGGATCTGGGGAGTTTGAAGGCTGGTTAAACACCTTGAGCTCTTGGTCGTGTTCCTCAAGTCCTTTCAGATCAGTTTTTGAAGCATGGTGGGGTGCACTATCCTGCTGTTGCCACTGGGGGTGTGCTTGGTCTGGAACAGTGTTAAGGTGGGTGTTATGTACCAAAGTAACATCCACATGAATGCTGGGAAACAAGGCTTCCCAGCAGAACTCTATTCTAACCAGACGATCAATGCTGTTCATGTCACCTGGCATTAATACCCAAAACCTCTTAAGTGTTGCTCTCAATTGGTGTTTTGTCAAAGTCCTTGTTTGTTTCTACCTAGTTATTGTCTGTGTATTTTTGTTGCTGTCCTCTTGTTTTGGGGCTCTGTTGTCCACAACTGTCTCTCAAAGAAGTTGTAGATTAGTGCTGAGTATATGAACCACATCAGGCTCTGAGAACCTCAGGTAGTGGTCTGCTGCCGGTGCCCAGAGTCAGGACTAAACACGGGGAGGTTCCAGTTTCATGCAGGTAAAATCTGGAATTGTCTTTCAGAAGATGTGAGACAGGCCTCAAGTCTGACAATGTTCAAATCCAGGCTGAAAACAGTTCTATTTAGTTGTGCATATGACAGCTGAAAGTATTTTATCTGTGCTCTTCTAATTAATGATTATACTGATGTTTCGATGGATGATTTTATCTGCCCCTTGGCTTTTAATGTAATTGATTAATGATTGTGTTTATGCATTTGTGGATTGACTTGATCTTCTTATAGTTTTGTGTGAAGCACTTTGAATTGCCTCGGGTACGAATTGTGCTATACAAATACACTTGCCTTGCCTATGATGTAATCACATTTCTATTGTGAAATGTGCTAAGAGCTAAAGTTTCATGCACAAAACACAGAGGTCATTAGGCTAAACAAAACATATACATTCTCCCACAACAGTCTTCATTATTTAGGCAGGAAAAAAACTAGCCTTTATTAAGGCAGAAGGCCATTAGCCTGACATCAATTACTTTACTAGTAATGAGATAATTTGTTGTTTGTTCCTGTCCATTAGGAGGACGGGAGGTCACAGTGTACAGACAATTACTGAGGTGAATTACTCATCAGAGCTGAACTGGAAATATATCAAATGTCTTTTATTTAAACGTGTGTTTTTTTTCTCTTTCGAGTGACTGACCAAGGAGCTTCCCTTGTGCCACTTGCTACTTGTGTTGTCACACAAGGCTAACCTCTTTCTTAGCCCTTGGAAAGCTACACCTGTCCTCCAAAAGCACTTCTTTAGTGGAGAGTGTCCAAGCCTCTTCACTCTGAAGAGTTGTGACAAAGACAGAGTGTGATGTGACAGAAGTGCATCCGTCTCACCGTGAACACGTTCTACCTCGTCACTCTTAAAAATGCTGTGGTTGGGTTTAATATCAGCCTCTCTACCAAACACAGACCCCAGTGTGCAGGTGAACTTCATCGCACTTTGGTTACACGCATGAATAATTCATCTGAGCGCCCACTTCCTGATGACAGAAACGCAGATTACTTCCCCGTCTTATTTTGAAATATTTAGTGTGTACTTCTGTTTACTTGGAACTTTTCCCTCAGTCACCCAAACAGACCTCCATTGTTTTCCCTTTAAAGGGGAAAGCGATGCCTCACGTTTTGTTATTATTTCCACAGACTTCCTGTATATTTTCTGGCACAGGTACATATAACAATGCCATCCATGTGTAGCTTTAATGAGCCAGATCCTTTTGGGGAAAGCATGGCAGGGTCATGTTTGAGTCTACAGGAGCCGCCCTGCCTCTCAACTTCTCTACTCCTGTTTACCTACTCAGTTCGTCTTGCCCACTGGCAACCGTTCGTTAAGCACAAAGCAAGTCGAGCAAAGCCAGTGGAGTGATAATCCTCTTAGGAGCCTCATTGCTCATTTGTCAGAGTCCAAATAAAGCCACAACCTTATGGGATTTAGTGTGGAAGCGCTGGTTCACTCCCTGACCTCCCACTGTGACGGAGAAGATCTAGGACAAGGAGGGATACAGGCACTGGAGGAGGTTTTGCATTGGAGGTGGGATGAAGGGCCTCTGAAAATAAAGGAGAGTGGGATTTGGCTGGCTACCGTCTACTCTCAGAATAGTCGGATGTTGACATCGACAAAGGCATGTTGTCCATAAAGTGCTCTGTCCACATTGAAATACAAAAACAAAAGAAGAAAAGCCTAATCTCTTCTACCAACAGCTGTTTTTGTTGGCAAAATAAAATGTGCTTTACAGCCATGATCTGGTGAGACACAGCCAGGTTACTGCTCTTCATTATCACTATCACGGTGTGTGACGATAGCCAAACACAAAAAGTAGCCTTGACAAGTGTTTAACAAAGTACATTTCTTTTGCCTGTGTGGCAACTGAAAGAGTAAACAACGACTCGATGACAGCATCTGAAACAGACAAAAATTATTTATTACATCTAATGTCAACCATAAGGACTTTTTTCCCAACCTGGGTCTCAGTAGTTTTAAGGTCTTTTGTCTTGTTTCCGAACATTTTCTAAAGAACTTACATCTGAGTAAAAAAAGCAGAAAACCAAATGAAAACATTTTCCTTGTGCTGCAGCAGAATGAAGAAGGGATGGATTTACAGACTTTCTGCACATTGAGAAGAACTAAACAGAGAAGCAACATCACTCAAACATAAAACAGCAGAAATCAGCTTCAGCATCACCAAACCCACAACATATACAACCACACATTTTAGTGGTGCACACAGCAAGACTGCTCTTAAATCTAAGACTTATGCTTTCTATTTTAGAATGAAATAGTTCATCTTCATTGTACTCACAAGCTACATAATGGACAAGTTGGTGAATGGGACTCTTTCTAGGTACAACACCCAGAAGTGAAATGGTGCTTTGTTCCTTTTGAAAGGCTCTGTGTCATGGCTTTGCTTTCAATTTACATAAATGGCACACTAATTTAAAACCTGATGCTCTTCTTTTTAGATTATTTTACCTGAAAAAAAAATTGTTGCACATAATCTATGCCGTTGTACTGTTTTAAAATGTGCACATGGACACACTTTATTTGCTTTTGTGTTAAACACCTTCTGAAATAATCCCAAAATATTTACAATAGTATCATAAGAGGACCGAAGTTTTTAACTGTGGACATGAAATTAGTCAAATCTTCATCCAGTCAGTATTGAGATCCTGCTAAACTGATTCAATCACACAACTGGAATCTAAGTTGCCATGTAGAGTCCCAGCTGTGCTAATTTTAAGTATAATATCACCAGTCTGGTTTATCCTCTGTCCATCCACGAGGCTTTTGTTTACCCAACTCTTTCATTTCCCCACAGTGTTGTCAACTCCCAAACTAAGAATGGTGCCACACCGCTCTACCTGGCCTGCCAGGAGGGTCATCTGGAGGTCGTCCAATACCTGGTCAAGGACTGCGGAGCTGATCCGAGCATCAGAGCCAATGACGGGATGACGCCTCTGCACGCTGCTGCCCAGATGGGCCACAACACTGTCATCGTATGGCTGGTATGTTTTAATGTCATGACACTGTGGATCAAATCCTTACATTATTTTTTATTTTTGCTAGATCCACATCCTATAAGGATACAAATACTATACAATTTTTGAACAGATCATAATTAAAACACAAGTAATGTCTACATCCGTACCTTGACCAATGCTAGATAATTTGTTATATCTAACATTTATGCAATAAAATGTCCAACAACTCTCATGAAGTTAGTTGACTTGTGTACATAGATTATCCCAAATGTTTCCAACAAGCTTTAAAAATGTGGAAATCTGTAATTTTATTCAAGGCAACTTTGCATTTCCTTTTGGTCACCTGTCAGTGGCATCATATTCCCTTTACCCACTATAGCTGGGAAAACACCACATATGTCAGAACATGCAGGAGGAAGACAAGGAAGTAGGAAAACTAGTTAGTTAATGATTGTATTGATCGCTTGTGATGGTTCACAATTATTTTAGGGAATGTTGTAACTGTACGGGTAGAAGTGCTGGCTGATGCTGGGTTTATATTCACCACATAACGTAGCTGTAAGGGTTCATCTAATGTTATTTTAGCTATTAATGTTATGTTATCTAATGTTACACACAGCTATTTCAATAGAATTAAATGACACAATATGAATATAAGTGACAAGTGTGACATGAACTAAACTTTAATAGATTATCTCGTCCATGAGTCACCCACACAATGACATCAAATTGCGTCTTTTGTTGTTTTGATTGAGACACCCTCAGCAGCAAAAGTTACATATTGTGTGCTGAAATCATTGAATGAGTTCTAGTCTAAGCTTACTATGTTTTTTGTCTCCAAAATGACTTGTCGTAACACCAGAAGGACCTGCTGCATTGTGATCAAACTCTTGTCTAAACACTGCCACAGACTAATAACCCAAAATTTACCCTGCAACTCTCCCTAGCCAGCTTTTTCAACCTAAACGACAGAGTTTCTCCATCTGCTGAAGCTTTCCTGATTTACCATAACCCGTTTCCTTATGTCTCCCCTCGTAGATGAGTTTTACAGAGATCAGCCTGGCGGACAGGGATGGTGACGGAGCCACGGCGATGCACTTTGCAGCCAGTCGTGGTCATGCAAAGGTGCTCAGCTGGCTGCTGCTGCACGGCGGAGAGATCGTCACTGACAACTGGGGAGGGACCCCCCTGCATGACGCTGCAGAAAACGGCGAACTGGAGGTGTGTGTTGTGTTTTATGTTTACTCATGTGGTGCTCGCAGTCAAACTAATATGAACACAGTAACAGAATACAAGTACACTTTGCTTCTTCCTGGCACTGTATTTGAATGAATAGCAAAATAAAATCAATCTTAAGTAATCAGAAAAGAAGGTGCAAAATTATTTGTGCCCATATGGAATAGTTAATAGTAAAATACACACTGTTGGTCAAAGTAGTCTATCGAGCACGAAGAGGAGATACCTTTAGTTTTGGTACTAGTTTACCAATTATCTCTCAAAAGTTAAACAATATGGAAAAAGCTTATTATTAGTTGCATGTTAAGATGCTAGTCTTGGTGTGTTTTTGTAAAAATGATATTCGGAGGTTGGACTAATTTTTGTGCAATATTGGATTTCCTGATTTTCTGTCAGTAGCAAACACTATAGTAGCCATATCAGAAGACGTGAGCTGAAGAATTTGGTTTTAAATAAACATTATTCAAATAAATAATGTAAATGCATTGCGATTCTCAGTACTCGCTTACCCGTAGTGGGTTTGACAACCATCTGTTTTGAATGAATCGACTCTTGCTTATGGTTTCCACCACTACAACCTACTCATTTGGCTAACAGTTTTGCTGTATCCACCTCTCATCACACAACTGTTTCAGCAAACACTTGATGCAGTAAACTTAGTGGAAAAAAACCCCCCAAAAAACCTGATAATGAGCAAAACACAAGAATGGTTTGAAACTGAACTACAAACTGACCTGACTGGAGAAAGCATGTTTAAGAAACTAACTAAGACACGAGTCATTATGCCAAAAACGAGGCTTGCTCAGTCTGAGAACAAGCTTACTCTGGCTTCAACAACACTTGGCAGGAAGGTGTTTAGACAGACGCTTTAAACTATTTCCAAGTTTCGAAATGCTTTTATCAGAGAGGGAAACTAGCAAAGAGTAGATTTATACACAAAGGGATTGTTTCCAAGGAAAGCTTCTAAATATGTAACTCTGACACACAGAGATGAGTTCTAAGGATTTAATCAACAACCAGAGAGACGTTTTGAGAACAGCTGTCACTTTCACCAACACGCTTATGTTATCCTCCTTATTTCTACATGACACTGTGTCTGTCTGCTCTGCAGTGCTGTCAGATCCTCGTGGTGAACGGGGTGGACCTGGGCATCAGGGACCAGGACGGCTTCACAGCAGCAGATCTGGCCGAATACAACGGCCACTCCCAGTGTGCCAAGTACCTGCGCACTGTGGAGAACATGGTAAGAGCTGCGACCAACACATCTGTGCTGCCATGCATCCTGACCTCTAACCTCCCTGGAAACAGAGTCAAACTGAGAGGGAAGATACCAGACCAGAGAAGCTCAAATTATTTTGATCTACAAAAACGTTAAAAGAAACAGCAAGCATGGGCAACAACAACGAGTCATCTGTCACTACTCAAGAAAGTAAAGTTTACATGAAGCAAAGTTGCATGTTAACCCTATTTGCACCCTTTAAACCAAATTTCAGCAGGGTTTTGACCAAGTCACTGGAAGTTTCCTTTAAGATTTCTGTATCAAAAACAACAATAATGCAGCTAAAACTTTGAGACAGTGATTCCCTTCAGGATTAATCTTAGGAGTATTAAGAAAGAAAGGAAAGTAGAGAAAATGTATTTCTGTTATACAAAATGTTTTAAAAACACATTCTCTAAAATGCTACCTTTTTGGTGCAATATATATATATATGTGTGTGTGTCTGTGTGTGATTTGGTGTTTTCAAGCCTCCATTATCCTCATTCACACTCGAAAAAATAAAATAAGATTACAGTTTTATATATGCACATTTTGTACAGACTACGGCCATGACCTGAGATGGGGAACATAAGTACACTTTGCCTTATTTCAAGGGGTTACAAGCAAAGAATGTCAGGAAACGGCGCTTTAAGTGTAACGACATCTGTAGTATTTGAATGATTACATAACATGGGAGACACTTGTTAGGTTCTCATCAAGAGGACATACAGTACGTCCTACTAATGTGTTTTTTTGCATTTTCAAACACTAATTGGTCCAATGGGAGCTCTACTCCTCCACATCAAAACAAGAGGGCATACAGTATTTGAATTCATTAAGGACAGCATGTAAACTGTTGCCTTGTTCATACCATCAATAACAAATGCAAACTTCCTAACTTCCAATTTTGTTCGATTCTGAAAGAAATTATGTCTTATCACGTCTGCCACAGTGACTGCATGTTCCATCACCACCCTGGAGTTCAGATTCTGCATCATATTTAAAAAAAGAACAACATATGAAAAAAAGTATTCCAACAATTACTTTACATTTAAATTCTTACCTGATTGGTCCCAAACAACCAAAATCCAACAGAGCAAAACACATACTGTACACACTGCAACAACAAGGTGTCACTGAGCCAACCTTCCCCCCCGACTGACTTCACTTTCTCTCAGCTAATTACTAGAACTACTGACACTTGACATGCATCGTCCTCTATGGCCTCAACCCACGGAAGTCCCTGAGTGACGGGGTAACAATTACTCCTCCATACTGAACACTTTGGAAACATATTTCCCCTCTCTTGTGTTCTTTGTCATGAGGGACATCCAGCCAATTGAGCCCAGCGCTGTGGGAAAAGCACAAGGCCCCAGAGCCTTTTTTAACCAGCTGTGAGTTGTTTCATTAGTGTGCAGTAATTAAAGTCATGCTGCTTTTCTCCTCGTGTGAGTCAACAGGGACTGAGAGCTGGTGGGATTTGGGAACTGATGTCTGAACATGTAGATAATTCATATTAAGAAGCACTAATTTATCTGACTTGTGTAATGACACTTTATCTTTTTATGTATAAACTAAATGAACCAGATGTTTTACTAATGAGCAATTAAGAAATAATTGATATATATCAATGTTTTTTGTTTTTTTAGCACTGTTGAATGAAGATTGCAGATATAAAGGTATTCATGTACTGCTTCCTCTGACAGAGTGTGGAGCACCGCGTTTTGTCTCGGGACCCGTCGACGGACCTCGAGTACAAGCAGCCGGACTCGGGCCTCTCGTCCCCGAACACCACCATGCCTCCTACCAGTCAGGCGGCGCACTTTGACATCGGCTCGCCGTCCAGCTCCCTGTCCAACTACGACTCAGCCAACTCCAGCCAGTCCAGCACTGGGGAGAAGAGAAGCAGCTTAACAATGTCACGAGGCCCACCGGCTCAGCTGAACACAGTTGCACATACAGGTCTGCAACTGTTGTACATTTTTCATTTCATTTAATCCCAAATGATGTTGCTTTAAATTTCAAAATTGAGATATAAAATGAGCTCAGCAGGTAAATGTATTATACATCCAATCATAATCTCAGTGCTGATTGAAACAAGCTATATTGTCTTGTATCATTCAGCCATTAATCCTGGACCTTTCCATGCCACATATAACAATAGTAGAAAACTCATCTTTTTGCTGAAGTGGACAGCAGTTGGCTTCCTTTCGTTCCACATCACAGGTGCTCGCTATAGTGGTGCTGCACCCTAGTGGTCCCAGTGCAGACAGTTTGTTTTCAATGGCCGTCTTTAGAGTCATGTTTGTCGTTCATGTTTAAACTGTGTCCTGAAAGAATGTGCTACCTTCAAAAACTGTGTCTGTCACAGGTGCATCAGAATCAGCCATTTCAGACATGCAGGCATACATGGACATGCTAAACCCGGACATCGGCTCCGACGTGCCCAAGAAGAAAGAGATTCCTGCTGATGCTGACACCAAGCCCCCACCGCCGCCACCAACGTATCCACCGCCGCCTCCTCCACAGTCTCCCCCGGTGCCCCCTCCGCCCCCGGCCTACCCAGCGCCGCAACCCCCTCAAGAGCCTTCGTCGGCTGAGTTTCTGAAGGTGAAGAGCAACTTGCGGCATGTGGAAAGTAAAAAGGAGGTAAGGGCAGTGTTGGTGAGCTCCTGATTCATATGAAAAGCCTCAAAGCTGTGCAGATGTTTCTTCATGTGGAGGAAAAGCTCTGAGAAGTTACCTAAGATTTTACATGAAGATATTTATTTATGTCTTAGCAAACTGTTTCACTGTGAAGAAATAGTAAATAGGGTCCCTTTTTTGGCTTATTTTCAGTGCGAGACTAGTGCTTGCATATAGTGTAGTATTTCCTTATGTCTTATATGGGATGATGCACTATACATATCCGCTCAAACACGCTCCCTTCATGTTATTTAAAAAGGTGATATCTCTAGATTTGCGTACATAAAACTTCTAAAAACAGCTTCTTTGTTGAGCCAGTGACATGATATAGAGCAACCCTAAAAAAGCAGGAAGAACAGGGTGTTTGGGATAAATTGGCCATTAGCTGCTATTTCCCCTTGCGTCTAATCAGTTGGGCTATAGCTCTTCTCTAACAATGTGCCTTGTCTGGTTGCCCACAATGATGTTATTGTGTTAGCACGGCTAACGAGGCCAAAGAAGATGCTCATTACTGCAGAAGGCCCCTGAGTTGACACGCACAATAGTTGATGTGATGTGTTTGATGTTAATTCCAGTAATTACGTATCCTGGCCACAGATCACTCGAAAGTGTTTAAAGAGCTGACAAGGAGCAGCTCTTAGGACTTGAACAGACGCTGGTGTCAGTGCTGCTTGTGGGGGTTTAATATTGCTGTGAAGTACTAAAACTGGTTGTGAAGTTGGAATTCTAGTTGAAATGTAAATGAGTTGTTCAGGAAACATTGTAATTACGACAAAGATAACCTATCTGTGGGATCACTTTCACCCAATGAAAAATTGATGTCTTGATTGTTGCCAGTGTGATGATATGAGTCTCGGTCCAGTCAGCTCTATGGGAACACCACAAATAGGAGAAGTGTGTTTTTGCAAAATTTCAGACTCACACACTTCATGTTGCACAGTAACTGTCAAATCACACACCTCTGAATCTGCAGATTAAAGTCTGTCTGCGTTTTTATCTAAAAGCAGAAAAACTTGAGGGGCAGCAGAATCGGCGAATTCGCTGGAACAATCTATCAATCCAAAACACTGGCTGTGTTTATAAATCTCTATGCAAAGTCAGATGTTGTTCGCAGATATAAAGTCCACAGTTAGCAAAGGTGTCCTCTCACCATAGATTGTTGTCATGGTGAGTGTGTGCGTGTGCACGCATGCGCCATCAGCCATGTGCAGGAGGGTTTTTAATTAGTGCCGCCCCCTCTCCTGTCTGTGCCCAGGTGATCGGCCCGGGGCGCGCCCTCATTAACAATTGAACAAAAGCCAGCACTCAGAACACATGCACACATGCGTGCACAAAAACACACACAAATAAGATCCCTGTGTACCATATACATCGGGACAAACAATCTACCTCGGGCGCCATAGTAACAGGGAGCAGTAACTCCATCCAGGGATACAATCAAACGGACCGGTCTCACAATGTCATATTAGAATTTGTTCTGCAGGAATCTTAACTAGAAACCTATCGAAAGCTAAAGAATGCAGCTTTAAGTGAATGACGTTTAAGGTGTGTTTTCTTAATGACTGATGCTCTGAGCTTATTCATCTGCATATGCTTTGGCTGAAGTCAAATGTTTCATGTGGAGCATCCAAATAAGCACCGCCTCGACTCTCACAGTTTTACTCTTCGGGGCTGTTGTTCCTGCAGAAAACCTGGACTTTGACATCTCACTCGTGTCCGTCTGCCAATTTCTTGCTGCTAATTCGAGGCACTTGTTGCGAGAATATTCTAATAATCCTAATGCCTGGGAGATTTGCGTGTGGCCGACCATGGTCAGGGCAGCACATGGGTGTTTGTGTTTTTGCATAAGACAACTGGGCAGGGTTGGGGAGTGGTTGGTCTCCGGGTTGGCGGTGACATCATTGCCGCTGCTGTGGCTGGCCCAATAGGTTATTGATGAGGCCTGTGGGTAAAGTGAGAGGGCAGGTAGAGTGACAGGCGTAGCACCGAGCAGAGAGGAGGTGAAGCTCTGGATCTGGTGACAGCTTCTCTCTGTGCTCCACTGGGTTTTGTGGATGAGGCTCTGTCCAGACTGGAGGAGAGCTTTGAGAGAGGATTCTCAACACTAAGGTAAGGCATTAAAAAGACAGCGAGCGTGTTCGGGTTGCAGATACTGAAAAAAAAATACTACAAGCTGCTTTACATATTTTGGCTAATCTTCCAGCTTTGGATTTGATTGAGCTGCTACATTGCTGGACAATAAATGTGTTAAATATATATTGTCTGTGTGCTTTGCCTTTGTGTTTATAACATGTTTTTGCAGTTAAATTGTTTTTGTAATTCATGCTACCACTGTTTAACATAGTGCCAACACTGACCCGTTTATAACTTTTTATAATCTGAGGCTTTTGCAAAACCACATGCAAATGAGTTGAACCATATCAGACAACAAACAGGCCCTTGATGGTGCATGCATACCATTAAACTGTAAAAGGTGCTGATATATGTGTGTGTAGGTGTGTGTGTGCATGCATATTGGTGCATGCATGTCTGTGTGTGTATAAAAAAAGAATATATGACTTTATGCTGACGGATAGAGCCATATACCGGGAAGAAAGGCTGTCTGTGTGTGTACATCTGTGTGAGGGATAAAAGGGGGGCTGCCAAAATGCTTTTGTACATTTGCTATTGTTGGCCCACCTCCCTGGAGGATGACAAACCATCTGTAGCCTGCTCACATTACCCTCCCACCTGATGAGTGCTCAGGGACCTTTTTTTTTTTTGACAGCAGACATGAGTCAACAACATTAAACAGGCTTATAAGAAGGGAGAACATGACACCGCAGGGCTGGAGAGGTCAGGGGTCGGCTGTCAATTATTTCCGCTTACATTAACATTAGATTTCTACTTGGCATTGGAGATTCTTGTCTGGATTTCTATCCGTCATGACGTCTGTAAGCACTACAATGTAAATTAAGCTGAATGCCAAATCCAGGATTTGAAAGGCAAAGTAATGCATGCTGTGCTTCGATGACTAACACACAGGCTTGTAGTTGACAGCTTCTAATGTTTTTTTTTTTTTGCAATGATGCAGTGAAAATGGGATTTTCATTCACATTTTTCACACCTTTTTTTTTTTTTAAACAAATTACAGTGCTAGCAAAAGTGGTATTTATGAATCGGAAAGTTTCAAAGTAGATTTATTGAGCTCAAATGCAAATGTAAGGCTTTTTGCATTAGGAAAATGTATCCCCAGACTGTCTGGGAGAGCAAGGCGAGTTAACCCACAGCTTACGTCTCCACTTAAAATCTAACAGCAGCATATCGTGAAGACTCTCAGATTGACAGGAAGTTGATATCTGATATTTAAACTTCCAGTTGTTTTAAGCCAGACATCAGAGTGGAAAGTGAAAGTTGTTTGTGACTTCTGAGTAGGGCTGAAGAATTCATTGATTTCTCATCAAAATTCGGATTTCAAACAATGCAATTAGCAGGTCGCAAAGGTTGTAATTTAGAGTCTATGTTATGCAGCGCGTCTGCAGAGTTTAAACTGCTGCGTCAGTGGTTAAACAAATCATTGCTTCCTCCTTGTGCAACAGCTACACTTCTGATGGTGTCTCATGTGGAAACTTTCATTCACACATTTTAAGTCAATTCCACGGTGAATAGTTACCTCAAGCGTGACTTTTTTATTGCAAATCAAATCGCAAGATTTTCAAAAAGACTACCTCTGAGGCCAAGGGTCTCCTGTACATCGGTGTAAAAGCTGCATGTGAATTAAAGCCTTGTTCACTTATTCAAATAAAGCAGCTTTGGTCACACGAAAGAGCTTATCAGGAAATAGAAGCGAGTAACTATGTTGTATATGGCACGCTGTTTTGCAAATGACAAGGTCACTCCAAAGGCACTGCTTAACCATTTCCTGCCAGTGTTTTTAAAACATCCATGACTTGGGTGTTTAATCGAGCCCTTACCTGTATGTTGGCATCATTTTTTTTCAAACTCCTTTCTGATGCATCATAAAAGCAACATTTTGAGAAACATACAGACGTAAAGTATTTCAACAGGTAAATCAAAGCTGATTAAAGATGCTTACATTTCTTTCCCTTATTTTAAACAATCTCTAGTTGACTGCTGGAGAAAACCACGACAAATTACGGCGTGTGGATTCAAACAGAAAGTCGAGGAGCTTCAGCAAGCAGCCCAGCACTGGGGACTATTACAAGACCCTGGGCAGCGACACAGTCGAGCGCCGTGGGAGCAAAGGCATGGCGCCCAACGAGGAGGTGAGCTGCTGCTCGAAAAAACTGTCTGTGAGAAGCCGTACTAATAATCCAGTTCATTAAATGAGGTGTTTAGATCAATGACATATCTACTTTGCAATATGTTCAGCAGGTGCTTGTCTAATCGTTTCTGCAAATGTGTAAAAAAAAATATAATACCTCTTCTATCTTTGCCTCATGATACCATAAGATGTTCTGTTTTTGGGAAGATGACCAAAAAAGAGGTTCTGTATTTCTCTCTGCTCCGTTTGATTAACTTAAACATATTCTACCATTTAAACATATATTAATGTAAATTATTATCATCATATTATTACTACCATGGCAGATAGACAGGTCAAGATACTGTGTTAATTTATTAACGTGTACTACAAAGAAAAACTGAAAATGGGGATGATGTAACACTGGCTGAGTCATCTGACATCCACTGTGAAGTAATTTCTAAAAACCAGGTCACCGACTAACTACCATGCCTTCTTGATGTCGCGGGGCTTTGTACGTCAAGTTCTTTGTCTTTTAAGGACAACGTTTAATCCGCTGCAAATTGTATGCAAAATAATCTTGGGGCTGAACAACTGAATACTGCCGTAAGGCTTGGTGATAGTCGTGATGTCCGGGGTTGTGTGGGCATCCAGCTCCTTATAAGGTCCTCTGGATGGTGAGGTTCAGCTGGGTGGGGATGCGTTGGCATTAGGTTACAGAACTGACTATTTGCCTGAGCGTTGCCACTCAGCATGTTACATAATCTTGTGTCCTCTTGAGCTTTTGTTTGCCACCTAATGCAAACTGCCCCCTCATTTCCATTGCCTCTCCAGTCCCCACCCCTTTGTGTAAACTGTCCAAGAGCCTACAATGGATCAAGCTCAGGACGATCCCTGACAAAGGAGCGCTTCACAGGAAGTTTGCATTTTTTGAAGAAGTGTTAATCTATATGATTTGGAACATGTTAAAACAAACAAGCAAAAAGATTCATTCAGTGCTGGCATTCCAGGATCATGTGGGAAGAACATTTACATTTTTCCACAGGTTTTCTTATGAACACAGAGGCTTGTGATTAATTATGTTTCCTTTGATTCAAATATAGCAATAAAAGCTCCCACGTATAATGTGTAATCCACATTGTTATATTTGTTTGTACTGCTGATCAAACTGATATAGAATTGCTAAGTAAACACTTTTACGATGCTTCTGTTGACTAAGGTATTACCTATTACCGGGCTCACTGTGCTCTTGGGTGCGGTTGGTTTAATGTGCAATACAACAGAATTTTCCGTGAAAGGACGTTTGCATAGGTTAAAATATTTTACATGATAGGTTACAAGCCAAAACACATCTGCCTTTGTACGCACTCCAAAATAATGCAGAAAAATGTCAATTTGTGGGTGGTTGTGCACTGGTTAAACCACTTGTTTGCTGCCTCATACCTTCACAGGCAGCTGAATGAAAAGAGTCTATTAGACTCTCATCAATGTCCCAGGAGAGGTGTTCTTATAATCTCCTGGGTATCAGGAGTGGGGGTGTTTTGGATGACACAGGGTATAATCCACATTGAGCCAATTAAGGCCTCAGTGGGGCCCCTCCTGGTCTCAGAGGAGCCCTAGCAGATGGACTGGCTAATCAACGGAAGCGGCGCGTGCTGCCAAGACCCATCTGGACACGGCCCTCCCCCCTCCAAACTCTCTGGGGGGTTTGAAAAGTGAAGGGGGCGACAATGATGCGCACGCGTCTGAAGAATAAAAGAGGGCGGGGTTGAGTTAAATGTCACGGTCCATTAATTTGCCTCCAGCAGAGTTACGGCACGCTTTCAGCGCGTGTCAGACGCACGCTGGGGGGGGAGCTCAGAGGTTAAAGCACTATCACTTGCAGTGACAGATGGCTTCTTCAACTGTTTTCCCCTCAGTTTCCCCTTGAGATTAGGTCATATTAGCTCTGTTATTAGCAAAAGGGTATTGTGTCTTTATGAGTTGATTAAAGGCAGCAGGAAGGGCGGACATATCTAATAGGGATGCACACATCTGTCCCTGTCAACAGCCTCCGTGCAAGAATGTAACGCTCCCTCAGCCCAGCAGGAGTTCCAGCGTTCCTGCTGAAAGCCTTCACAGGCAGGCAGGCAGGAGAAATTTACTCACACCGTTTTGTGCTGCATTGATATTGTTTAATTAACAAATAAATTAAAAGCAGTTTTTCTTCACAAGTTAAAAAAAGGGATATTTCAAGCAAAAATAAGTTCACTGATTACAAATATTTAAAAAAAAGAATATAAAAAAATATATATATTGCCTTATGAGATAATTGTTTAAATAATGTAGCAGCACAGAACGCCACAGGAAGTCCTTTCTACCCGTGGCCGTCTAACAACAGCATCAATATTATTTGTAATATTACCTCTCAGTAGTTTGTGCACTATTTTATGTTCTCGTTTCTCAGGTGTAACATTTCAGTTTATCACATTTTGTTTTCATCAGCCAGGTTTTGATTACACATGCAATATCTCATTTTTATGTACAACACTGTTGATATGAAATATGATCTAATTTTTTGGATTCAATATTTAATTTCATTATTTCATTGTCATTTGGGATATCACCTATTACCGCTGTATAATTCCCAGCTTAATACTTTTCTATTGTCGTCTTATTTTAGCTTACTTATTTCATTTCAGTGTCTTATTGCCTTTTACTTTTTGACCCTACAGTTCTGATGCAATATCTGACCCAAGAATTTCCCTCATGGATGAATAAATAATAATCGTATCTTATCTAACTCATACTGCCTTTGAGTTAATAATTGCCTGATTCTTTATTTTTAACATTCTTCACTATGTCTTGAGAATAGTACAGATAGCAGATAAAAAGGCAAAGAAAAAAGCTTTGGGGTTTTATTTGTCAATGTTCAACCCCAAGTTAAGTGGACGTATAATATTGAGTGATAAAACAAAGTAGTTGCTATGACAACCCCTTCAGAGGTGACTGTAACAGGTTAATTGGTGCAGAATATGTATAATGTCCCTCCTTGTCCTTCCATCAGGGTTCGGCGTTACTGGAGGAGCCGACCGACAGTCCCGCCCACAGCCCTGAAAACGGCACCACAGAGGAATCCGTCCCACCCCCACCTCCGCCTCCTCCGCCGCCTCTTCCCCCCAGCAATCCGATGCCAACGCCCCCTCCGCCTCCTCCGCTGCCCCCGGAGACGCACACCTACCAGAACAATGCCAGTAGCGCCTCCAGCACGCAGCGACGCCCATCTTCCTCGTCAGGAAGTGAGTGTCCCTGAACCTTTTGCTTTAGCTTTAATTCAATGTTTCTGTTTCTCTTAATTTCCTGCTTTACTTCAGCGTTAAACACCTTTAAAAACACTTTTTCTTTTACATATTATCACACCAATATTCCTAGAAAGTGGAGCCTATGGTAATAAGGGGCAGAGTGTAATCGCACTGGGTATAGATGCGTTGAGTTCGACCCCAGCATTCTAAATAACAGATTATAAATTAATGACGCTGGGCTACCATTACGCTCAGACCTGGTTTAGTGTTCAGCCATTTCCTTAAGTGCCCGGCTGCCCTGGATGATGCAGTCTGAGCGCGCACACGCCGCTCTAGTTGCAGGGCAACTTTTAACTCTTGTGTAAAGTTTTTTTTTTTTAAATGGTAAAAATTAAGTGTGAAAGGTTCCCATGACTCGTGAAAATACATTTGTACTAAAAAGTCTGTCCTCACTGTGCAGTAAAGTGTAGCAGAGTGATCAATGAAATGTTCTTTGTAGATACACAAAATAAATTCTATCATTTCGCCCAAAGTTTGTAAAATTAAAGTGCAAAAGATGATTGACTTTGACCTTCAATCACAGATAGGCCTTTACAGAAAAAAAAAAACAGCCTGTCCAGATCAAATTATTATCATTAAGTTCTACAAATAAATAAATCTGCAGTCTGGTAAGCATTGTTGACTTGTACATCTCAGAAAAAAGAATAAAATGTGCCAAAAGTAATCTTGGCTAAGAGAGGACTGGGTGCTCAAACCTCAGTTGTACCATGAGGTTTGACAGGAGATGTTCTTGTTTTGTGGTTGTAATAAATTCTATTCTCATGATGTTTTAGTTTCAGTTCGTCATTGTCAAGCCAACACTGTTCTTCTCCTCCTACTGCCCTATTGTTTCCCTTCTCCTTCACCCTTTAATACATGTGTGTTTCCATGTGCCCTCTTTCACCTGCATCCTCTCCACTTGTTTCTCTTTGTTTTGTTTCCCTTTTTTGTTTCTCCTCTTTTGCCTGCCGTGGTCTGTCCTCACCGCTGCTCTGTCAAGGCGGGGATATCTCTGCCCTTCAGGCAGAGGGAGGGGCACTTAGGCAGATGAAGAGTAAGTACAGACTGCAGACCAGTCTTTAACGTAATCAGTTCTCTGTTAGATACGCCGAGGCTTCGCAGTAGGCCTTTACGCTTGCCAATAAGATCTTAACCCTCTGAACTCTAAACTGTTTATTTTTTTTATTTTGTTCTTACTGTGGGTTCATTTTTCACTGCAAACTAAAGTCTTGCACCCGTATGGAATCAGCACAGCCATGTATAGAAGTAAAGAGAACTTAAAATGCCATAAATCATTACAAATGTAATCTGTAATCAACATTTACGATATTTTTTCCCACACATGTTGCCAACACTGGGAAAAAAAATAAGTGACTCTCCACATTTTAGATATTTCTCTACTCACCTTATTCTGTCTAAACACTGCCTGTAGTTAAAAATTTGTCGTCACGACTGTTGGTCACATTTGATTCACTAATGGCTTCATGGTTGACGAGCACAGAATGTTTTTTCTTTATACAATAGGTTTTGGCGTTCAGAGGGTTAAAATCATTACCTAGAGCTTTACACATATATAAACTGTGATGCAACTTGTGTGTCCAGCTTAAACAATCAATGTGCTGCCATCATTCCCCCTCCAAAAAAATGCATTTCACAGGAACTGGTGTATTTCAATTTCCTACCAACAGGAGAAAAAGGCCTGTTTTCTGAATAATGCAAACTGTTCAGATACTCACCATGACGAGACAAAGAAGCAGCTGTATGTAACCCTTAAGTTGAGAAGTGAACTATAAGACATCTGCTGCAAATTACATCACCAGTGCAATTCCTAGTCAGAGTCAGAATGATCAGATTATTGATCTATTTTCTTATATGTTCTTCCTCAACACATCCTTAATGCTTTGTCTACCATCTAAGACTTTCTTTATAGTAATAAAAACAATCAGTCAAAACTACTACCAGAGACCATCATACATGTTTTACTTTATTAATTAAAAGTAGGCAGTGATTTATCCTTAATAATGAGGTTGTTCATTTTAGCAAATATGTGTATTTATCATATACTTTTTCGCAATACAGAAACTAAGAAAAAAAAAAAAGCCTTTTCCTGTATTTTAGAAACACTGATTATCCTACATTATTTTTCTTTTACAATCAGTAAAACAGGGACATCAGGAGCAGATAAAAGGTCATTTAGAACAGACGCTCTGGGGAGAAGCACTTTGCCAGGCAGCTCATTTCCTCAAATAAAAGTTTAAGTGTAGGCTCAATTACAGTAGAATACGGCTGAAGCTTTGTGTCATAGCTAACAGACAGCTGAAAGGGCAATATACAGTGCAGTTTTTTTTTAAAAAGTAAACCAGTAATAAACAGCAACATCAATTAAGCTGTAAACTGTTAATTACTGTACTTAGCCACCTATTTACAATCCATGCATTTTATCTTCATGCTTTGTTCAGCGAGCATCCAACTGTCTCATGTATTTATGCTTCTTCTGCTGTCTAACGGCAGGATGGCAGTAAAATACTTAAAGCTAAAGAGCGGTGTGTGTGCTCCCTAATGGCATGATTTGTGCCACGGCGTTAATCAGGTAGTAAACAGATAGTTCGGCGGTCGTAAAATTAAAAGCCACCAACACGTCCGAGAGACGTCAAGATGAATTTACAGCTCAGAAGCTCGTTGAGAGACGGGAACAAAACAGGTGGCTGACTGGAGATGCTGGAGATGGTTTTCAGTTTTCTATTGTTCTATTGTTCTTTTATTGATCGCCAAATTAAAGAGGAGTACACTTTTTATATTGTACAGGACACGTCTTTATCTCGCGTGCTAAGGAGCAGTGTGGACTAATTGTTCCACGCCGTTAATCTGGTAATAAACAGGAAGTGTGGCGGCCATAAAATTAAAAGCCTTCTGAGAGTTTGAGAAAATGTATAGCTCAAATGGTCATCGAGACAATGGCAACAAACCACGTGGCTGATTGAAAGTGTGTAACGATGCAGACAATTAAAGGTTCTGTATTGTTTTCTATTGATTAACAGGATGTAAAGGATCCTAACTTTTTTTTTTTAGAAGCAGAAAGAACTCAGACATGTTTTTTATGCGTCATGACACAATTATGATGCCAGTAATCATTAAAAAAAGAAAAAATGGAATCAACATGTGTACCATTTTCTAAGTGCCCATATGAGTTATCATACTTTGAAAATATGGTAAACTATAACCTATTTTAATACTTAAATGTTTTATTTGATTCCATATTCGTCTCCTAACTGCATTGCCTGCAGTTAAGCAGAGTCCAGCAGAATTTTTACAGAATTTTGTGACTGCTGGTGCACATGTTTGGGTTTTTTGGCGAATGTTTTAATGAGATATTAAATGATTTTGATGAATTATCACAATTTCAAGCTTAGATTCAGTTAATATTCCTAAGAGACGCGCACGTCATACATTATTTGTGACCTTCAGAAAGTAGAAAATCAGAAAATTCTTTTAGTTTTTACAGTTCCTGGCTCTGATACATGGTGTATTTATGGCTCCTTTCAAACCCACAGTCGGGCTTTGAGGTCCGGAGAGTAAACAGATACAGCAGCTTGCGTGCCCTTAAAGTTCTAACGCAGGGGGGAAAAAAACCCTTTTGTGCTGTGCTGTCCATTACCAGAGGCTATTTGTCAAATGTTCTCCACCTGTCACACCTCCACCCTCCTTCACACTCACTGTGGCGTAACTACTGAATCCACACCCTGAGCCTAAACAGAATTTAACTAGAGGCAGAGGCACACAGCGTCAGATTTAAAAACACAAATCAATCCGGTGTCTTTTTTTTAAATTCTTTTAAACACATCAGATTGTGGATTATCAGCTGTTCCTGTGCTCTACAATGAGGATTTGTCCAGAAAAATGGGCGAAGGTAGGCTGTTTGAGTTGCCAAAACTAAAAGGAATACATTTTTGTTGCTGACTCAGCTACTTAAGAATGTTTTAAAAGAGATTTTAATTTTTTATAAAGGTTTCCGTAGCACTTGTTGCACATGGAGGTGCAGATTTGTTGCAAAATATAACCAGTTCAAACTGCATTCACAGAGCGGTCACATGTTATTGCTGGCTCTTTACAGGCCACAGTTTGAATGCACACATTGTAAAAGCCTTTAGAGGTGTCAGTCACCAGTCTCTCTCTCTGTAATCCAGAAAATGTGAGGTGCGACTGTATGCATGTATGAGTGAACGGCAGGTTTTGCTGCAGGGAGGATTGGTCCGGTGGACTGACAAGCCGGGGATTGAAGGACGACTGTGTGTGTGTGTGTGCACGCGTGTGCATGTGCGTGTTAATTCCTGGCCGGCTTGCCAATGGCTCGCTGTCACTTCCAGTTACCGGTGATTCCTTTAGATTTCCCCCAACTGTGATGATGGGTCTTTAATAGAAAGCTGTTCTCTCCTCCCCGAGAGAGAGAGAGAGACAGCGACGGGGAGAGCGAGGCAGAGAGGCAGAGAGAGAGAGGAGGGGAGGCAGGCTGGCGAGGCTTTGTGTCCAGCCAGATCACTGTGGTCGCCTCAACAGAGAACACTTTTACGGGAAGACTTTTTTCTTTTTTTTTTAACATTGAGCCAGTAGAGAATGAGTGAACGATGAGGGACTGAGGATATTTATTGCACTGGAGGTTTACATTCACTACAACAGGTGAGGCAGCCACTTGCTCTGTGTGTGTTTCGTATTTAGAGCGCTGTCACTGGAGTGGGCTGTTGGAATATACCACTATATGAATATTCATGTATTACTGCTAATGTTGCTTTCAAAAGTATGACTGTATAATTAGATTTAATTTCTATTTAAACCAGAAAGTGAAAAATGAAAGAAAGTGCTGCTTTGACCTTCCCTGAATGACACTTCTTTCATTTATTCAGTCTTTAAAAGTGGAAACTTTTTTTAAATGGCGTAACAAACAGAGTCTATAGTTGAAGTCTTGAAGTTGTTGCATTGTTCTCTTTAAGCAGATTAGGGTCAATGGACGCTGAATCTATGCATTTGTTTGCTCAACCTACTTACTGTAAAAGCTAAAAGTTCAGCAGTGGCTTAGCTGTGTTTATTATGGTCAGGTGACATTCTGAGAGAGATTGTGTGCCTCTTCTCTTCGGGTTCACTGTAGTGGAATAATTTGTAATTTGCTCCTCCCCACCTAATCCCAGTTTGCTCCAGCTGTTGACTGATGCAACAGTTGCCCGAGCGAATGAGAGACGCGTCTTAAACAAAACCCCAAGAGGTGCAAACCAAAGTAAACAAATCTTAAAAAGAGACATATCTAAGCTCTGGCATGAGAGGGAGAGGTTCGCTAAACCATAACGACCTCCCAGCATTGTCCAACATGCTCCAGGTCAGCATTGTTACTCGGCTGATTGGATGAAATATTTAACACTGAAATGCCACCCAACCCCTCTCCTCTTCTCCGGTGTATCTCTCTCACTCTCTCTGTTTTCTGTCTCCCTCTGTTCCAATCTTTCTACCTGGTTTCACTTGTCTGCTCGACCCTTTTGTCTGCAGGCACAAAATCTTTCAACATGATGTCCCCCACTGGCGACAACTCGGAGCTGCTGGCAGAGATCAAAGCAGGGAAGAGCCTCAAGCCCACACCTCACAGTAAAGGCTACACCACTGTGTTTTCCAACAGCGGACCCACAGGCAACAATGTAGGTCCACAGCTTTTCCTGCATTAGATGTCACGATTTAAATTTTAAAAAAGTAAGAGCAAATGCAAATATATGCTGGTATAAATTAATCTAGAAAACAGATGGAAAATTACACCAAACCATCAAAAGGAGCAATTAGACAGCCAACAATATGTCTGTGATGCCTCTGCTAATGATTGTTGGCGAGTCAACCCCTCAGTAGTGTTTCTTTCATGAGTGCAATCTGAATTTAATTTGACGCAAACGAGACAAAATGATTCACTCATGATTTTAAGATTTTAAAAACTGCAAAGTCTAATTTCTGTGCAAAACTTGCATCAATATGAAATCCCAGATATAACACTGTGATGATGAAAACTGCTGAGTAATGCTGACATGTAAAAAAAAGTTCTATGAAGGAGAAAGAAAAAAAGAAACTGCAAAGTCTAACAATTACAAAAGTCAATCAGTTTGATGACTCCCTGTGTTTTCTGTGTCTTCCTTCTCCATCAGGGAAACTCCACATCTCCAGAGCCTCCATCCGCCAGCCCACCAGCCAAACCGTCATCCCCTCCACCATCCAACACGCCCATCACCTCCCCACCCATCACCCCAAGCCCCAGCCCCAGTCCCACTGGCTCTGGCTCTGGATCTGCCAGGACCATGTCCACCTCTGCGAGCTACGAGCAACTGGCCTCCAACTCTGTGATCAACGGAAACGGCGGCGGCGGCGGCACGGCGAAAGCGGACCCGGGGAGGAAGTCGAGCCTCACAGACGTGGAGACGCTGGTGCCCACTCATGACGAGCAGGGAAAAGCCATCCCTGAATGGAAGAGGCAGGTGATGGTGCGAAAGCTTCAGGTCAAGATGCAAGAGGAGGAAGAGCACAAGCGCCAGGTAAGGTTGACTTTGTAAGGCTTTAGAGGGTTAAGGATGTTGCTGTGTCTTAGCTATCCCACTTGTGGTCCTGTAAATTTAAAATTCTATTATATATAAATATGCCTTCAGTTTCAAATCATGAATGACACAAAGGGGATGGCTGGTGCTTGCATGTGGCGTTTTGTGGTTTTGAATAATGAGGTGATGTACATGCATTTTTTTTTTTTTGGTTGTTTTTGTAGTATTGCATGCCATTAGTTTTGATTTCTCTCTTTGACTTTTCTGTCAAACAGTTAGTTGAGGGTGAAAATATCCGGGTCAGAACTTTAAATTCACAAGCTCATGTAGCATCTATGCTTTCTGTGATATGATAGCTGAAGGACAGCGTGTTGCACTTTAGCAATTTAGCTGCCATTACACATATCTTCAGAACAAATGGTCACACTTATTTACAAGCGTTTCAGTCAGCATATATTGTTATCTACACTTGTTGTGTCTCACAGTTAGATTTTTTGCCTTTAGAATCAATCACATCTACTGCTCGTTTTCTCTCTTCATGACCAGTCACTGCAGTGTGTGTTAATATTATGTATATTTACACAAGGTATTGATTAGTAATTTATACTGGAGCAATCTGAACACTTGTTAGACCCGTGTAACATAAGAAGGACTCTAGCTAAATGTGATTTGATTAATTAAATTTGACTGATTAATAATTTATTGCTAGCGAGGACTGCAATCTTATACTCCTAAACGATCCAGCAGGGAGAAATTTCTCTTTGATGTCCTTTAATGATGCTGACATGCATGTATTATTTGTTGAGGTGCAGCGGCATCATTAAAACATCTAGTTGCGAGGCCTAAAATTCTGAAACTAAGCTGAACATAAAGTATTTTAGGAATATAATTCCCCCTGTAAACAGCACATAAAAAGATAACTTATCAAAAATTGCATGAAATGGTAAATGTAGAAAGCTCCGTGCTCGCTATTTTAAAAATATCTTTGTGTCTGTAGGCATTTCTATGCATGTTTCTTGTTTCGGATTTATAGTTTTTGTTAATGACAGACCTTTTGGAGTGGACTGATCTGAATACTTGGCTACAATGACCATCACAGCATAAGCACACTTGACTAATGGATTCACAGTGTGGGCTGGTGTTTGGTGATGGAGTTTTGCAGCTTCAAGTTCTTACATGCTGATTCAGTGGTGTGATGCCGGGCCCATTCACACTACAGGTCGACCAGTAATAACAACAAGGAAAACACACAAAAAACATAAAAATACAACTACATTTGTATAGCACTTTACTGTTTAAGTTGCGAAATACTGCAAATAAAATGTGTGTGCAGTGAGGATTAAATAAAACTAATGTCCACATCAAAGTCCCTTATAAACCCGTGTTGCACTGACCTCACTGGGTTTTAGCGCTGATGCATCCCTAATTTACACCCAGTATGGTTTTCCATCACTGTTAGGTGGGGACTTAAGTATATCTGTTGCACTGGTGCTACGGCCCAAAAGCGATTTAACGCTCTTACACTGTGCTGCAGTGTTACATCATAGTTAGGTTACAGACAAAACTGGTGGCAAGATGAAAAAAAATCAGCTATTGGATGGAAGTAAAAGCTGAATTTTCAGCATTTGTGTCTTTCAATTAACAGATAACACAAAACACATAAAACAATGGGATAGGCTGTAAAGAGGGATTCAGTAACTTCTAATGTAAAAGGTCTGCAGTGTCAAGTTCTTACAATACAAATACAGACACATTTTAACACGTTGAACAATATTCTATTGATACTGATATTGGTGTATTCAACATATAATTATAATTCAGGGTATAATTTCAATTAATTCATAAAGGACAAAGCAGCACTCTCTGTTCTGTTGGACACAAATTTACAGTAGAAAGTTTTGTGCTTGTAATGAGGCAGTGCCATTGCACCACTAAATCCATGTAAATCCTGTGTGTTCGGATGGATTTGCACTGAAGCGTGTGTTCATACCAGGAACTTCCAGCTGAAGGAATCCCTCCCTCCTTCCCTTTTTTTCTTGTCCTACTGGTCTCCTTTGACCTCTGCTTTAGTTTGCATCAAGTGGGCACTACCAGCCTCAGGAATGGCACTACTCCCACATCCACAATGCCATTTTGGGCCCATTTGGAGAACTGATGACCGAGGCCGACCTAAACCGAATTGAGAAGCAAATTGAGAACCTTCAGGTCATGCATAAGGTGTCAGAAGTTGAGAAGGAACTGGAAGAACTGGAGCGACAACTTCACCAGCTCCTACCAGTTTCCGCTGCTCTCAGTCAAGGCCATTTCTCTGTGAATCCAAAGCAGGTACATGGACAAGCTGAAGATCTTCCAGCTTGGTGCAGCAAGATTTCCACCCTGCTCAAGAGTATGGCCATTCTTCTTGCCACACTTGGAGGAAAAGAGATAGACATTTTAGACCTCATATGTCCTGGATATTCTCAAGAAGAGACAAGGAACGTGAGCACGGGTCAGTCTCAACCAGCAGGATCAGCTGGCACTGGAGTTATTGGACGCTCTCAGTCTTTCTCAACAAGAGAGGATGTGGAGAAGGAGATAAAGCAGTGTGGAGTTTCAGTGAAGAACCTTAAGGCCAACTATGAAATTCAGAATCAGTCGCAGTCTGCAGATAACCAAGCAAATAGGGTTTACAAACGCAAGAGGTCGCTTCCTGTCGTAAGTGAGTCCAGTTATCGTCCAGAGCAAACTAGTGTGGTTAATGGTTCTTCTGCTGCAGGCCTCGACTCCCATAAAAATGGGGATCTACCTTCCGTGCAGGAATCAGTCGCACCACTTGTTGAAGAACCACTTATCATCGCATCACATGCTCCTCAGACGTATGCACCCTCTGAGGTAATGGCTCCAACGAACATGGAAGAGTTCAACCAGGTTCTTTCCACCGACCCCATTTTGAACAATGATCAACTAACACGAAGCTTGGAGGTGCAGACAGATCTGAGCTACGTCCAGGAATGCATCGAAATGAGGAAAGAGAGAATTGTCTTCCTGTTCCTTGAACACTGGCGGAAGTATACTATCTCTGAATCATATCGGACTAAATATACAGGCAGAAGAGGACATCATTTAGACGTGGGCTGGGAGGACTACAGCCAGTTTAGTGCACAAATTGGTGGGGAGATGCAAAGTGAAGATGACAAACTCCTCCTATTCATGAAGTCAAAGCAGGTGGTAGGAAACTTGATTGGCCACTGGAGGACAATAATGAGTCAAGTGCCTACACGGCAGATCCGCAGGCTAAGTCGAGCCCAGATGATCTACTGGCCAGAGCACTTCTTGCCACACATCAACGGCTCACCTGTGAGCTATGAAAGCCTAACCCTTGACCTCTTCATGCTCGGATACTTCCAGTTGCTAGAAATGAACATGTCGCGTAACGAACGGAAATTCCGCCACCTCTTGTGCTACGAGATGTTTGACCGTCTTGGTAGCCACAAATGGGAGGTCATAAGGCAGTTTCACAAGGAGGTCATGGAGGAAATTGAGAGAGGGAAGCGAGATTGGGCAGATGGCTTTGAGGACATTAAACTCAAGTATTTTGGAGACTCGGATAATGGCGGAGGTGTGATGACAGCTTCTCTACATTCCATGTCTCCTGATATGTCCATTATGCCAATGCAGGAATCTCTCCCTCCACCACCTTCTCATCCTCCACCTCCTCCACCACCAACACATCCTGCACCCCCACCTCCAAACGCACAGTCTAGCCCACCTGCACCATCACCACAGTCTTCCAAACCAGCCTCACAATCAGAAGTTTCTCCATCATCATCATCATCCCCTGCTGCAGTCCAAAACGGTGTATCGACCAACGGCCAGTGTGTGGAGCAGAAAACCCAGAAGCATTCACTGGAGGACAAAGTTCAGGGAAACGTAAAACCCACTGAGCAGACGGCATCAAATGGGTCTGTGATGTCTAATGGCAAAATCTCAGAGCAGGACCATGTGCAGAGATTGACAACTGAAAATGTACAACATAGTGATGCAACGAAAGCTGAGACACCACAGAACACTACAGAAAACTCAGGGCCAAATCCAGTGAAAGAAGTCCCTCCGGTTACTGTTAAAATAATAGAGCAGCCTCCTGTTGATAAACCTCCACCCAGAGATGAACCTAATGAAGACTCAATTAAAGTGATCTATGAGCTAAAGGAGTTCAGCAATGAGGAAATCATCAGATACATTGACCGCAGCTTTGCATTTTGGAAAGCAAAGGAAGCAGAGCTTTTTGATATCTAATAACTATGTGGGCTACGGGTAAACCAAGAGCCCAGTTCACGAGTACTACCACAGAGGAAAAGCATTAAGAGCAGGGTTTGAGAAACTAACCTGCACAGTGGAACGCATGGAGAGAGGAACCTAATCTGGTGTGTTAGCGTTTAGGCCATGTCACATAAGAGACTTAACTGCAGCAAAGCAAAGAGCATCTACTTAGCTGTACTGAAATGCTTAAGTGGATGAAAAGAGAGCTTTTGCTATTCATAAATTTGTTAGAACCATTTGATTTTGAATGGTGTTTGAAGCAGGAGCGTTTTGAATGAAGTATGATTGATTGCCATGATGCACTGCCTCTAGGAAAAAAAGTTTTTAAAGGAAAAGATTTGCCATAAAAGTCTTGTTTGTGTGTTCAGATCATCTTTGTAAAGGGCATATTTGGTAAAAAAAAACCTTTCATATTTGGTTTATATTGAATACTTCAGATTGCATTTCATGTTGGTACAGATTCAGTGACTCACTCTTCTGCCACTTTCAGACAGCTGACTGACTTGGTTGAAAGTCTGTTCAACAATTTTCTCATCTTCTCTTCTCAATAGCCGTGTTTCCATATAATTGTCAAGCAAATTTGAAGCAAACTTCCGAAATTTTTAACAAAAGGAAAAAGCAGGAAGAATTAGGCTGGTTTTAAATGACCTGCTTTGAAGTGAAGGTAATGGGCTACACCGTTTCGTCAGACAAAGAGAGAGAAGTAGAGGTCAAGCTCCAGAAACAAAATCAGTTGTTTGAGAAGCACCAAAAAGCAAAAAAAATGAGAGAAGTCTTCAGAATTAGTTTTCATTTGGGCAAGTTGTAGTTATTCTTGTGCATCAGCTGGTTTTGGTCATGGTTGATGCTGTCCAGAGTCACATGAAGCAGAAGCAGCTGAACCGTCATGTGAGTTAAAGTTCGCTCTGACAGAATCTTTTTGGAAAAGGTGTCTCCATTTCTCAGTATGTACATTAACGTGACAGCTCTGCGGAATTGAGAATGTTTTTTGTCTTCATATTTTGCCATTCCCTTTAACTTTCTTTCATACAAAAAATTTAAAGCGTGCATAAAAAATGCACAACAGAAACATGACTACTGTTAACTAAGAGACTCAAGACTCAAATTTACATCTTGGATTATATCTAACAATAACCAGTATCATGTTAAGTTATATTTCTGTCCGTATGCTCCCTCCCTCACCTGCACCGTTTTACTCTTCCTCCCTCTTCTGCTATTTATTTTGGCCGCCAGTTAAATGGGATTTAAACTTCCCTGCTAATCACAACACCAAGGAAACAAAGCCGTACGGTGTATGAGAGCAGGTTTATCCAGACATTCAGACCCCTGTGTCAGTCTGAAAGTGGTACAGGAAAGGCTTCGCAATTAAACTCCAAAGTACACAGTTAGACGTTTGCTAGAAATAACAGGGAGGATGTCTTAACCTTTCAGTCTGGATTCCACGTGAAAGTGAAAATGGTATCATTTTATTAACTTCTCCTTGTCGCTTGAACTTAAAGGCAAAGAAAGTGAGCTTGTTGAGTTTAAGGCTACTTAGTGCTCCACAAATGGTCCGTGTTCATCGGTCTTTGAAAGTCTGGTTTTGTTTAAACAGCGTGTGCCTTCACAGTATAAATTGCAAAAATGATCAAGTACAGCTAATGCAATTCAGAACTTGGATGCTGCAAATTAAAGCAGCTATAATGAAACATCAAGTTAAGAGTTCATAATTGCTCCATTGTGTTTAGTTTTATTACTCTGTATTTCGAGTGTATTTAACAGATTTGGTCACAGTTTGCATAATTGAATTTGTGTTCCTTTATTATTTAATTTATACATTGCTGTAAGAAATAAAGATTGTTGACATGTTTGTGATCATAGGATTTCATTCTGACACAATTCTCTATTAACTGTCAGGGTCATCTATTAATAAGCACTTGCAGCAATAGGGCCAAAAAAATATATATTTTATAAGATGCAGTTTCTGTTGTATTGAGAACTTAATTGACAACACTGACATACGCAACAATGAAAGAGCCACATTCAGACACAGAGCCCTTGAATGTGTAATCCTCCACGGAGAACCACGATTCTCATAGTGTCTATTCTGTGACATCAAGATTACCTTCAAATAACCCTCTTAACACCACCCGCTGTCATGCTATCTGTGGCTTACAGGAGCCATAAGGAGGTTACAGTGACTCTTCATCAACTTACAGCTCAAAAGGGAGGGCAGTCAGCTGGTAAACCTAAAGCTTTATATATATATAGATGTGTAGTTATCTATGTGTGTCAGATTTGGAGAATGTAAGCAGCAACGTAAAGAGTGTGTGATGAAGGTGATACCACCAATGTCAGTGCAAATGATGTGCAAAACGATATTGGCTATTCACCTACCAAGATGTGTAGGTCAGATATTTGTATTTACAGTACTGCTTGCACATATGGACCGGACGTCGGCACCGAGTCCAGGCAATGAAGAGTGTTAGCAAATAATATCCAAAAAAAAAGGTCTCATTTGTTCAGTTGGTTCTGTAATTACTTGTTTTAACAGAAGTTTATTTATTACATGTCTCTCAGTTTACTGTATGGGTAAAAATAAAAACAAATAAGCCTACTGGTTACAGTGGGTTCCACTAGAGGTTTCTTTAGGCAGGAAATAGACACTTCAATCAGGCCTGTAGCCACATCTTAAAGACTCAGTTGGACTCATTGCCAGATTTGACTCACAGTGACTCACCAGCACAGAGTGCAGATAGCTTGTAACATGTTTAGTAGCCGTAACACTAATAATTGCTATTAACTATAAGCAAAGTAGATTGTAGTATCATATCATAACAACATAAAGAACAGATTACAATAGAATATGTACAGATGTACATACAGTATATTCTCTCACATTCCCTGACTCAGTTTTGCTCCAGTTGCCAGCAGCGATCAAAAAGTAGACCCTGCAGTTGAAAAGACGAATACAAAAGCAAAGCAAGGCAGGTCGGCGTGTAGACTAATTTCCCAAATGTCACTGACTGAAATAGAAAAGAACTGGACTTTGTTGTGACAAATGAGCAAAAGTTTTGACATACAATGGGCACAAATCTGACATAATTGCTTAGTTCTCTGCAGTCAAAGACATAGCACTTCTTCTTGCACTTCTTAAATAAGATACTATGGAGAAATGTAGAAAATGTGAACATACTATACTAGAATATCTGCATCTCTTATTAATGCAACTGTTACTTCGCAACGTTATTATCAGCCAGTATGCATCTGTTTATCAACACTACTCAGTAGATGAACGTGTTTAATCTGTGAGGTGAGAGAATCAGTGGCAGTCTATACTGTACAGGCTCCAATAGTCAGAATGTTTGCGGGTGCAGGTGGGACTCATACATTGTGGGAGCTGGTGATAATAGTAGAACCAGGCACTTTAATATCCACAACTCCACCATTTCGACTGAATTATTTCAGACAGCATGACAGTCTGCCCGCATGGTCGGTGAACATGTCCAACAACCTGTCCCTATACTTGTCCACCAAGTCCTTCAGAAAGAGTGGAACAACATCTCGCCAGCACCACTGACAACCTCATTAACTATATGTGTCACTGACGTGTGACTCTGTACTAACTTGTGGTTTCTGGTCTGTGACCACACTCTCAATCTGCCCAATAGCATTTTCAATATAGTGCATACTGGATTGTTTCATGTCGTCCATTCAGTTGTAGAGACGCCGTGTGTTGGAACAGAAAATACTTTTTCCCCTATGTTAAAAGCAACACAGAATTTGATAAAATATGACATGCTATGTTATTATTTTTGCTCCATATATGTAGGGGTTGAAAATCTGGGACATATTAATCAGGCGGTATTAATCAGGTATTCTGCTACCCTAATACCCTGTATGATTCGTTTTCTTTGCTCATTGTCTGTATCATTCAACTTGTCAATGTGTAAACACTTAATCAAAACTAAGCGTGATTTGGAGAAAGTTAGAAATCTTTACTTTATATTTCTGATTGCAGATGCATTTATGAGAGCGATGTAATATCCCATGGAATGACAATGGTAATGTTGGCGGTGTTAAAGTTTAAAGACATCACTGCATAGCAGCATGGAGCTCAGTATTAATACGTGTGGTTACAAGTACCCAGTGGTTTGATTGGTATTTAGAGGATATGATAGATCAGTAAGAGCTTTTACCTCAATGTGACTGTATAGTAAAACACCAGTGCATCACAGCCTCTGGCCTACGTAAGCCATTTTTACTCCAACAGTAAGTATTGCATTTCTTCCCGTCTTCACACAATCTATTTTTTTGTCAATGTAAATCGATTACGATCCCAGTCATAATTTCAGCAAATCTTTTGGCTAATTAGTGCGTCTCTTTCTCTTGATCTGAAATTCCCAGGGGAATCATAAAAAATTAACCGCACAGATAATCTTACCTGGATTCATGTTTGCTTGGGCAAGTGAAATCCTTCAGTAAAAGGAATGCAAAAGGGTAATGTATCTTGTCGGGCGTAGATGAGAAATCCAAGATGGCTGCCCTCTGCCTCTCCTCCTGCTCCACCTCCGATTACAGCCTGAAAGAGAAAAAAAAGCTCCGGTTACAGTCGTGCACACTCGGAACATCCTGCACACTCCTGTCTGGTCCATTCAAAAGGCTTTATTTTATTTTAAACAAAACAGGAGAAGAGTACATATTGGGAGCTGTTTGCTTTTGTCAGTTTACACACCAGTCTAGACAATGCGCCCTGCATAATGTTTACACTCTGTCAGTCTTCCATGAAGCACGATTCTATAACAATGAACACATGAGAATACGTATGAACAAATGGGCTTTTTCTCTAAACAGGTGCTTGCATGACTTTTTCAGCATGTAGGGATGATTTATGTGACACCACATGCATGAAACATCACCTTTGACTGATTGTCATAGATTTGTTTTTCAAAGCTGCTGACACAACTAGTATGACAACCCCACAGCTCCAGTTAACTCCAGTTCCAGTGAGCGGGTTTATTGCATTATCTTGTTGACCCTGAAAATGCAGGGTGAAATGATTGAAGTATTTTTTAGAATGAAATCTGTGGTTAACGACCTGCTTTACACATCAAAGATGCAGTTTAAGGAACATGAACTAACAACATGCAAAACTGTGTTTGAATTTTTTGTTCCCATAAAAGTGCACAGGTGTGCCTCCAAGACTGATACAATGATCTTGATCAGTTTTTAATTATTTATTATCTCCAAATATACAACTGATGCTTAAATTAAAACAATTTTATAATTCATTCGAGGGAGTTCTCTTCACCAGGCGTTGAGGTCAAGCAAAGCAGGATATGAGGTCTACTTTTACAGTTAAAAAGTCTTTACTGACAGCCTGGGCTCCTATCTCTGTCTCCCCCCCTGCACCCCTCTGTGCCCTCACAGGCTGAAGAGGAGGCAGCACGCCTGGCATCGATGCCGGCCTGGAGGAGGGACATGATGAAGAAGAAGATGGATGAAGAGAGGTGAGTAGCGATGCGGTGTTGCTCTGCACATCTGATCGTCACCTTAACTTGAACCACTAGAAGGAGACTGTATGCATATGTTAACTTCTGCACATGACACTGTCTGGGTGCTTCTTCACCAACATTCCCCTGCAAGCAGAGACTTAATGTTTCCTGTTAAAACTGACCAGACTTTGTTATATTTCTTTCTGATTGCTATATGTAAACGCTGTGCTAGATGGAGTATATTTAGTGAACAAGTTAGGATTCTCGCACTTGCAGCTGGGCCTGAATTTTAGTCTGCACTAACAGCATCAAACAGCTCCTGTGGATTTTTAATTGTGCCTCACATCAAGTTTGAGATCTGGAGGCTGCACATGATGTTAAATATAGCTGACATGCCTGGAATAATGATTGGTGGATGTAACATTGTAAGTAGAGGTGTACATTTTCTCCTTTTTTAATTAAAAAGTGCACTTCTTTACAGTGAGTGTTTGGATACATTCTGGCATTAAAATAGTATAAGCTTAGACGAAGTGCCAAGAAAATATTATCTACACCATTACAACCACTAAAATGTACTATTTAAGATCAACAGAATGGAGCCATGAAGTCATAGGAAAGTCTTTTGTTGGACAAAGTGTTTTTAAACTGGACATACAGCTTGTTTTAACGTTCCATAATTTTTCACTAAGAGGCTCTTCTGCACTACTCTGATGAACTGATGTATTTTATTACAAGTACTTTTTATGCATTGCCTACTAGCCTGCAAGAATAACTAATGCAGTTCTGCTGAAAACTCTTATCAACTTATCAATGACTCAAAAAATGCCTGCTTTGCCAAACAAATGCACTGCAAAGCACAGAATGTTGTGACTGGTACCTGTGCTCACAGTATGTTCAGAGACGTTTAGGATATTCTTCTTGCCTACTGTAATGTTATGTAATTCAGCATAAATCTCTGCATGATCTCCACAGTTTACTAAGCTACAGACTCGCTTAGATAGAACGTTAACATTTTCCTAAAAACTTGACCTGTGTCTGTTTAACTGAGGAAGGTGGCAGTGCTCACTTGTATTTACACTGAAGCTAAATGGTGTAACTGTGGTTTTTCACCGCCAAACTGTGGGTTTGGTCTTCAGCATTAATTAACCTTTAACCCAAGATGGTTCATGAGGTGGCTAGCTTCTTGTTTTTAATAATTCTTTGAAAGAAAAGTTGACAGTTTGGTTAAATCATGCGTCCTAGTTGCTGTGACTTGTGGAACTGTTGTTGCTGTTTAAGATTTTTACACCTTTTCTTCTTGTGTTTTCAATCTCCTGATGTGACAGGGAACAGAAAAGGTAAGGACATTTTTATTTGTTCTACATTTACACAACACAAAATGTGAAAATAAGTTCCCTGAATTTAATGTCATAAGATACATTATATTATATTCACTATGAATATGAGCTCAAGTCTTCCATCTAGTGGCCAAAAATGGTCACATCATTCTCCATTACTTAAAAGTCCTTCTGGGTCATTGAATAAATCCCTAATAACTCATCTCTGTGTATCAAAGCCACATATTTTCCATGAAAATAATCCCATCCTGTCTTAAAATGGTGTAGATGGAACTCTCGCTGATGTAAATGGGATGTTCAGCCAGTGCTATGATTTTACTCACAATGTGTCTTCTAGCATATAAAAAACATCACATGGACCAGTTAACAAGGTAAAAAATTGATTTTTTTAAAACTAGAGGTGAACTTTCTGAATAACACGTCAGCCTTCAGCTTGCGTGGACTCAGCTGAGTCAAAGAATTTCTGATATTCACCAACCAACCACATACTTTTGCTCTCTAAGACTGATTTTTGCAGCAGACATTTTATCTTGTCATTACATTACATTTAGGTGAGCCAGTTTCAGGGTCCCGCTATTGCCAGATTACAGCTTTGACATATGTGAGGGAACTGAGCCATGGCTACACTAGTTTGACCTGTGCTTGACCTGCCATAGCAAGTTACAGTGATGCTGTAAAAAACATCAATAAGACAGATTCATGCAGAAACACACTATACTGAGTCAAAGCATGTGGACGTTCCAGTACGAAAACAAGTGCGCTTTTTCATGGTTTGGAGAGAAATCTTAATGCTGCTGTGAGCGATGATATTTTGGACAAACGTGTGCTTCCAGCTTTGTGACTCTTTCCAGTTCCAGCTAACACCGTGAAGAAATGGTTTAGCAAGTTTAGTTTTAAGAATTTTGTCTGACCTGCATAGAGCCCCGACCTCAGTCCCATCAAGCACCTTTGGGCTAATTTGGAACACCAACCATATGAACTGTAGGTTCCCTGACCTTGTGGCTGAGTGGGGGCAAATCATTGCAGATTCAAAAATGTAAAAGCCTAAAGTCTGTTAAAGCATGATATTTTCCATTTGTTGTAACTAATGATTAAAAGCAAAGAAGACATGTACTGTCGGTTCGACTCTAACCACTGTTTTGTTTCTTCATGGATGCCTGCAGAAAAGCAGAGGAGCAGGCCAAACAGGCGAAGGAGATAGAGGAGAAGACGGAGCAGGAGCGACTACGGACCATGGGCTACGATGAAACCAAACTGGCCCCCTGGCAGCGGCAGATCCTTCTGAAGAAAGGGGATGTAGCCAAACAGTGAACTGGACCGCCTCCCCCTCCACTGCCCTGCAGCGCTCTCACATCTTCCCCAGCACCTCTCCATCCCCGAATCCTCCAACCCAACACCGGACAGCCGGGGAGAGCTCGTCTCACTCTTTGGTCTCCAGAAACACAGACCAGCGCTGTGGTTGCTGCTGTCCATGCAGGCTCTGAGGTTCATGTTGGGTTAAACACAACAGAAGGATCCTCCACCTCCCACTGAAAAGTCTCATGGACACAAACTCTCGGTCCTTTAGCATTCACGACAGATCTGACATGCACTGACTCTCCTTGCTTAAAACATTTGCTGTAAATGCATGTGTCCTGAACTAAATTATCTTTATCTGCTTTCCTACAAATCACTAGAAAACATATGAAATAGAAATATTTCAAACAGTAGTTTTAAGAGGCTTGTGATAGATTAAAAGAGGCTACTTGTGAGCATTTTTTGCCATGAGGAAAATGCTTGTTATTGCATTTCTATCGTCCCTTTACTAGCCTCACTCACAGTTATGTAATGAACGGAGACGTAGCTCCAACGATTGTCATCCGAAGGTGACGTACTCAGCAAAGGCTTGTTGCATCATGAAGCAGCTAATGCATTCTGTATGTAGATAGCATCACGTCTTTATCACGTCTTAGTCATGACATTTTTTGTATCGAGCTCATAGAAGCACTTTCTAGGCTTCATTTTACTGCCAGAGTTGTAATTCTTGTAAGAAGCAAATCCGAACACTGCTGATCTGCTTCTTTAGTTAAGCTTGTTGTCATTTTCTCTGTGGATTTGGAATACTGATGAAAAAAATAAACTATATTTTAAATAATGCAAAGATTATGTAGATGAACAAATTGAATTTCATTATTTTACACTGGGAAAAAAAAAGCTGCAGGTTCCAATTGAATTCTCCAAACATGTGACCTAAATGTTAAGCTGTTGTGATCATGAATGTGAAATGTTGTGTGCATGTGTTGCATAATGTGTATCGAGCATGTTGTGGTGTATTATTACTTGACCCGGGCGCCCAGAATTTTAAGAGAATAACAAAAAGAAAAGACACATAAAGCTAGTTTTCTATGTATATGGGTATGGCCTTTCTATAAAAAAGACCAGATGTCTCAACTGCACACTGAATATTGCAAAAGTAGAGAAAAGACATCAGTTTGTCCTGTGTCCTGTTCCGGCCTTTGTCCCACTAACCTGGGAGATAAATCTTTCATGAGCAGATCTGCTTACAGATTGTAGAGCGCTCTCTGTCTGCCACAGGCAAGCATATCAAAAATGAGCTGTTCCTCGGATGATGCCGGCTATGTTTGAGGAATTTCTGCGTCCGACACTCAACTCCAACGTCTGTAGTTTAAAAAAAAAAAAAAAAGACATGATAGAACCAGCACAGATACCAGGTTGATTACTACACAGCATGCATCATTTCTCTGATCTGAACAGCTTCCTCCAGCTCCAGGTTTTGAAGTATTTAAAGATTCACTGTTGGTAGAGAATAAGTTCATCTGTTTTAAGCTACATATGAAAATGTGGCCAGAACATTTTTGGCAGAAACAGATTTTGATTTTTACCAGTGCATGAATCTGCACTGCCACACTTAGGAGCAAGTAAACCTCACGAAAATAACGCTCCCGTTGTGAAATATTCCACCATTATGGAAACATCCTGTGTTTACTTCATTTACGTTGGATTTACAAATACAAGGTATCAAGCAAACACTGTGTCACCACGAAGGACTGGTTGATTATTTGGAAACATTCTAATTCACTTTCATCGGATGCCATATGACATTGAAATTGAAGATGATGTAAATGTAATTGCCATTTGATTTTCTATAAATATATATAAATATATATATAAAACTCTGTATATAGTGACCCTTAGAATTTTTGTCATTTCATTGTTTCCATATTGCATTATATTACATGTCTCAGCCTTGCTTGAATAGAATATTGGCAAAATGATGTATAATTATATTTTCAGACTGTTAAAAATGAAGAAAATAAATCTTTAATCACCAATTAAATGTTTTGTGTTTGTGTTGCCTTCAACAAAAACTCACATTAATCTATTTTTGTAAATCACCATAATAAATCTGACCTTTACTGACCGCATAATGTTCAGAGCTGACTGCAAATTAGGTCTGAGCAAAAGAAAAATTACATTGACATACAAAAGGAAAACAACAACAACAAATATCATCAACAGAAAGTAATAATAATAAAGTAAAAATGAAAATACACAAATTTAAAATGGGCAAGCGTTTGTAGCTGCAATTTATTTACTTTTCTCTGCTTTCAAAAGATTATTTTAAAGACAATTGTTCAAGTCTGGGCAAGATGATGAAGATTTTGACTGTTGTGTGAGAACACTGAAACCATGGAAATCCTTTTCTAAACATAACCGCTTGGTTGCAGAGAGAAGTGCAGAATAAACCAATTTTCTAAGACTTCGAGCAGGACCACGACACAAAGTTAATCAAATATACTGAACAAAAATACAAACACATCATCCATCATCTACACACTGCTTAATCCTCTCTAGGGTCATGGGGTGCTGGAGTCTATCCCAGCTGACTTAGGGCGAAGGCAGGGGACACCCTGGACAGGTCACCAGTCTATCACAGGGCTACACTTAGAGACAGACAACCAAGCACACTCACATTCACACCTACGGACAATTTAGAATCACCAACTAACCTCGACATGTTTTTAGACCTTGTGGGAGGAAGCCGGAGAACCCGGAGAGAACCCACGCTGCACGGGGAGAACATGCAAACTCCACGCAGAAAGATCCCGGGTGTCCTCACCAGGATGCGAACCGGCGACCTTCTTGCTGCGAGGCAACATGCTAACCACCGCTCCACCTTGCAGCCCCAAACGCATCATGTAATATTATATTAAACTTAATCTATTCTTTGTGACGGAGGGGAATAAGTATGTATTATGGTGTTACTGTTAATGAAATAGTCAATGCCTTGTGGGATGCTGTCTTGCTCTTCCTTAAGGGCTCAGTGGAGTGGGTGGACTGGGTCATTTTGTCAGACACCAGAGCATCAGGCTTTCCATCGTATGATGCTTTCAAAAGGGATTTTTTACATGACAAATGGTGAAGCTGTGGACGTTCAAGTGCCTGACTACAGCCCTAACTGCCATGCCGACATTTTTCCCTTTCTCTTGTCATCTGTGGCATGGTGTCATTTAAATAAAGCTGCATTTTAAGGCGGTATTTTACAGTCACTGGTCATAGCAGCTGTCTGATCATAACCCTTCAGGACACATCTGACTTAACTTCCAAACCTTTTTGCTCACTGTTGGCTACATTTAGCCCTTTTCTCACCAGGACACGGCATTGAAATTATATTTGAACATTTCTCTCTAAGCCATGCTTGCTGCCTTTATATTTTGCTCAGCGTAGTTTGTATTGTACCTCGTTACCTCAATTTAGAAACCTTTAATACTGTTCATAATGTGCAAATACTGCATTTATCTTTTCTGTTCATCCATCCATTTTAAATTAGAGTGGTGGTTAAGTCAAGTTTCTTTCACCTCAGGCAGCTTGCTAAGGTGAAGCCTTTTCTCTGCGCTTTGAAACGGCAATCCATGCCTTCATTACCTCTCGGCCGGATGACTGCAATGCACTATATGTTGGAGTTAGCCAGTCCTTCCTTGCACGTCTCCAGTTAATCCAGAACGCTGCTGCCCGCTGCACATCACATCCATCCTGGCCTCTCTCCACTGGCTGCCTGTCCACTTTGGGGTTCATTTTAAGATTCTTTTATTTGTTTTTAAATCTTTAAATGGCTTTGCCCTAAGCTTCTTTACCCCCTGCACGGTACCTCCGGTCAGCTGATCAGCTGCTCCTTGAGGTACCGAGGTCCAAGCGAACGCTCAGAGGGGACCAAGCATTCTCTGTTGCTACTCCTAAAATGTAGAACGACCGACCTTTGCACATCAGGCAGTTCCTCCTCACTGCCTGCTTTTAAAACCAATCTTAAAACCCACTTTTATTCACTGGCTTTTAACCCAGCATGAGACCTCGTTCTTGTTTTTATTTGTTCTATGCTGTTTTTAGTGTTTGTTTGTACAGCATTTTGTTTCAGCTGTGACTGTTCTAAAGCGCTCGATAAATAAAGTTGATTTGATTTGATCCAGTTCATAGCCATCTACCTCTTCCTGCACCATTTTATATTGTTATCTTAATGTGTTCATACCACACTGTTTATTCTGTATGTTACTGTGCACACACCACATAACACACTTAACCTCTTCTTTGGCACTTCCGGTTTGATACTTACCTGCAGTTTGTAGTTTTTCTACTTGTACTCTGTGCAATGACAATAAAGTTGAATCTAATGTAATATACAGCTGTAGAGATGAAACGCAAAAACGAACCTAAGACACGTCTACACATCCCGGAACAAGCCACCTGTCTGTTAAAACCTCCACCTGTACGTAAGGACTTCACAACACACCTGACGTGTCTCCTCGGATGGAAACACGTTTCCTCAACGCGGGTTTCCTCCGGAGCTCTTGTGACAAACACAAACTCGTGTCGCGTAATTCGGTGACTTCAGACACGCAGATTCAAGTTTCCCTCAACTTTTTTTTTACTTCCGCAATTAAGCGCGCGGGTCAAGGTTCGCCTCGTTTTAACTTGTGTGCGCGCGACAGTTCGCCAGGTGACGTAATGCGTTTTGGGTTTTTTTTCCCTAGAAGCAGCGACAAACCGTAAAACATGGAACCAAAATAGACAACACAAAAAACTACCAAGCACCGACAACTTAGCCTGAATGGAAGTGGAAATGAAATGTTTGAGTTTGGAAAATGTTGGCACTGGAAGAAAAAAAAAAACAAAAAACATATTTGGCACCGAAAAAGTTCCATTAAGAAAAATATCTTTCCACAATGGAAAATAGTACAAATTGCATAATTATGTAGTTTGAGTATTTTTTTTTAAGGAACAAGTGAAATGACCCAACTGTGTTGCTAAAATCTCATTTGATTAAGAAAAAAAAAAGTTCCCATTGGCATATAGGGAGACTTTATTTTGATTACCGAAAACCAGGACACTGGACCCAGCTATGAGATGCTCAGATAATACTCAAAGTTTACTCAAAGATGCCTTCTAATTTCAATACATTTACAGTAGGCCTCCTCTGTATGGACAGAAAATTGTTATATTACCAAATACTGTACATAACCAAAGACACAAATTCAGACAGGCTTCCCAGAGGTTACTCAACATGTTTTATTATGATATTAAATTTTTTTTAAAAATGAATAAAATAATAAGAGTAATAATGTCTCTTCTGCATTAGAAAAAAATAAATAACTAAAAAAAAAAAAAAACCTCTGCTATAGTAACAATCCAGCTTCATCAAAAAAATATCTCCCACAAACATACAAAAACTAACAAAAAATATCTATATCTTTAGTTTTCTTCTTCATCCTGTTTTTCTTCCTCATCCTCCCTGTTTGCCCGTCGTCCATATTTTGCTGTAGAGCTGATCTTTCCCAGCAGTTTTTTTGTTGCTTAACAAATAAGCATGTAAGTCTTTGCTGGAAGTATCTTTGAAGTCGTATTGCACAAATAGAATCCCTTTCAGTGACTCAACAGAGAGCCGGTTCCTCTCCTTCGTCCGCTGGCTCTGCATCAATAAGAAAACCCTCTCAACATTCGCACTGTGAGAGGGAAGTGGAAAGAAGTAGTTCTGAGTAGCGTGCAATGCTTTTGGCCTTCTCAAAGTATTTGGTCCACTTCTAGTGCACCTGCAGGCCAGTGAACTCAAATGAAATCAGAATATGGTCACCCTAATTTAGTGGCCCACTGAAAACAATAAAAACCAGGACATTTTCATCACTTTATAAAAACAACCAGGACGGTCAGGACAACACGTTAAAACAGGACATGTCCTGAGAAAACAGGACGTGTGGTCACCCTGTTGATATAACATCATAAAAGTGGCATCACACACACTGACACTGGATCCCAAACTCAGTCAATAATTTAAATACTGTAGTGTTCTGATAATAATGAACATCTGAAAACAAACAATAGCTGCTTGATTCAACTTTAATTTGTAGTGGGATCTAATTATGCATCGAAATGACTAAGCATCCATATTTATAGAAAACACACTGTGAAAAAATGGGACACTGCCCTGAGGCATTTTGATGGATAAAGTTTTTATTCTTCTTTTCTTAGGATTACAAAATACATGCAAATGGGATCAAATATAATTTCTTTTTAAAAATATCTTATCAAATAGCTTGCCAGCAAAGAAGAGCTAGCAGGGCAATGATCTAGCTCGCCTACTTAGGAAGTATTACCTCACCAATAAAAGCTCTGGCTGCCAAGTTGTATTGTTTACATCTTGCTCTAACATGTATGTATTCATTTAAATAATTATTAAATATATTAATATTTTATGTTGAATTAATGGTGAATAATAGGCCGTTTGGCGCCATAATCAGGACAGTTTTGAACAAAAATGTAAAATCTTTTTCAGTGGTTCACATTATTATTATTTCAGCTGTGTTGTTGTATTGTCATTGTCAGGTTTCTCTGTGTAGATTCTTGGTCGTCCATGTCATGGTAGCTTCAGCAAAAAGCAGCTTTACTTTTGTTTTTGGTTCTTGAAGATGTTTCACTTCTCATCCAAGAGGCTTCTTCAGTCATAACTGACTAATGAGGAGTTTCAGATGTTGGTTGTGAAACCAGGTGGTCCAACAGGAATGGTCGTAACAATGGTTGTGCCATTTTACACAAGAAAGGATGTGAATCAGCCATGTCAGGAGTGACTCAGGATGTTAATGATGGTGAAACTTCCTGGGGAAAGATCTTAGCATCTTTCTGTGGTGTTTTCCAGATCTTTGTGTTGATCTGATGAAGGCCCAGTTGGGACAGCTACAGTTTCTCTGTGCTTCCTTAATAAGTGTGTTTCTTCCCTTTTCACTCTGCATTAGTGATAAGATTTTCAATCTGGTGCTGTAAGGTTCTGACAACCCTCAGCCTATGTTCCAGTGTGTGGTGGGAATCACACAGCAAACTGAGACCTGTGACATAAAAAAAATAAAAATAAAAAAACAATTAAAATCACCGTAGAAGGACAGACATTAAGGAATAAAGATGCTATGGAAAAGCACATCAAAATACAAAGACAAAAATGTCAAAATAAAATAATTTTTAAAAATCAGAATAACAAAATTCCTTTTTTCTAATACAAATATTTCTGTTTCAGTGGTTCTTTTTTCAATTTAGGTTTTGTTTTTGGTGCCTTTTTTTGTTGTTGTTTTTTTTTTTATGCCAAATTTTAAAATCATCACTGCTGACAACTGTTGTAGTCTTCTAGAGCAAGTTATTAATGAGTGGAACGTCTACTGTTGGTCATTAAAGAGCAACCTTGTTACCTGTCAGGGTAAGATGATATCAACAACAACAATAAAATAAATAAATAAACACACTGTAAAAACACAAACATGAAGAAGAAGAAAAAACAGAAGACTATCACTGAAAAACACACCAAAATGTCAAAATAAAATGAAATAATTTTTCATGTCTGTGTTTTATTTTGTAGTCTTTTCAGTTCTAAATATCTTTTCTCTTTTTCCAAATGCAAATATTTCAATGCCAAGTTTTATTCTCAGTGCCAAACTGTACAACTGTCACTGTTGTGGCCCATAGAAATAAGCTGACCTCTCCGGCGGTCACTAATGAATGTAGAGTCTCCTACTGGTCACCAGGGGGCGACAACACGCTATTTGTTACCTGTCAGGGCAGGACGTCAACAACAACAAAAAGGAAAAAAAAGAGGAAAAAAAGCGTCGACAAAAGATGGAATAAATGAGAGCAGCTCATCTTCATTTATTTTCAATGTGATTATAAGTAGGTTAAATTCTACCTGAAGTTTTAAAAAGCGTTTATTCTGAAACTTTTCAGACTTGATATGGAGCCTGAACTTCCATCCAAAACCTCAGCCGTTAAAACCTGAACTCCTAAACACGACACTAACTCCCTGAGAGAAGCTGCTTCTTCACCTGCGAGTGTAAACTGTCACTTATCGATGATTGATTGACGCTCGATCACCTGTAGTGACGTAGGCAGCAGAGCTTTAATGGGCGCCTGCAGCCTGAGGAGGAAGTGGGCGAGTGCAGGAGAAATGTGTGACTGAGAGCAGCGGAGGACTACAGCACTTTACACCCGAACAGAACCGGCAGAACTGAGCTCCTGAAACCACTGAAAAAACACACATACTGCTGCTGCTGCTGCTGGGGACTCACCTAGACAGGTAAGACGGCCGCTGTGCTCCGTGAACTGCGTGTCACCTCGCTGTTGTGAACTATGGGAATGTGAGGCGGACATTTTTTTCTCCCACCCTGATCCTTCTCTCAAGCGGAGAAGTTATTGGAGTGAAAAACAAGAGAAGCTCGAATTAAGCAAATAAGTGATTTTATTGTGAAAGTTAAAGCTGCACTTAGACCTCATTTCTTACTGTCTGTTGTGAATTCAAACAAGTTTTATGTATGTGTATGTACAGCACGTTTAAAAACAACCAGAGTTGAGTATAGTGCAAAGTCAACAGTCAGGCAGCAACAGAAATAAATGCAAAAAAAGAATATATTTGCATAAAATATTAAAAAATTGCAAAACAGAATGACACGCCATAAGATTAACATTTCAGATAATTTAAAGAGTACTGCAAATAGGGATCTATTAAGAGGTGTCAGAAGCCAACAAAAGCATGTGAGATTTTTCTCAACACACAGGAGGAAGTTTGTATTGTGAGATGATTCCAAAGCTTTGGAGCTTCGATGGCGGAGCAGTTAACATCAATGTGTAATAATGTGTTTATAATGTAGTCGTGTGTCTGCCTGCACTTGACTTCTCCTTCCAGGGATTTTTTAGTTGTTTCCGTGAAGCACAGATCTACAGGAGCAGGTCTGTTTGTGCGTTGTGTTTTTTTTTTTTTTATTGTGTGGGCAAGTGCAGTGTAGGAGTGAGCGGTGAGTCATGGGTCGAATCCCTCGTTGTGAGTTTGAGGACACAACTAGCAGCTCCATCCGACTCAGAGGCGAGTGGGATTACAGGTTGAGAGCTCGACTGTGGGTCACCGAAGGCCAGATTTTTTATTCCAGATCTCTCCTGCCTCTAGTCTGAACTTTTGCCCTCTAGTTAAGCATGTTAAAGCTCTACTGTTTTTCCCCCCCTTTCCTCCAGTTTAGTCCAATGTTGTAGGTGCTGAAGAGCTCCCCACAGGAGGTGACCATGTCCCACAACCAGTCAGACGACTTCATGGCCAACCCGGCCAACCTAATTCTGGAGAGCCACTTCTCCACAGAACTCCATATATCTGAGCCGGGGGATGAAGGCTACCAAGCACAAAGCTCCACCACGCCCCAGGAGGACGTAGTGGACAATATCGTGGTGCCCCAGCAGGTGGTTTTGAGCACCCAGAGTCCCGCAGCGCTAAAGGTCGGCTCTCACCAGCTCATCCCCAAGAATTTAGCAGCATCCAGCCGGCCGAAGAACCGACACCACACCACGGTGGTGACGTTCCCAATTGGACTGGAGCACTCCAGCAGTGGGAGCCGGGGCCGGAGCCGGCACTCCACTCAGGGGCCCGATCTGTCCTGGGAGGATTACGACAGCGATGGAGACGGCTTCGCTTTGAGGAGGAACCGCAGGAACAAGTCATACAGAGCTGCAGTGACCAGCCTGGATATCGAAGCCATGACAAAAGGACAAGCGACTAAATCCACACTGAAACCTGTGAAAGAGGACAGAGCACCCAGTCCTAGTCCGGCTCGCAGCCCTGGTCGCAAGGTATGAAGGGTGAGGGGTTGGGCCTCAAATGACAGGGCTACACTCCTGTGTTTACCATAAAGCTATTGTAATTCAATAGGAATAACACTTTTTTCCCTGTATTTGAGCATTACAGTTATTTATCTAGGAGCTAGTGCAACCTTCTTTTACGAACTTCATGCACCAGAAGCTTGACTCTGTGTTGAAGTGTTTCAGTGTGATGCTGCTGCTAAAATAACTGAACAGGATGAGGTTCAAAGAGCCCTGATGTCCTCTTCATAGGTCACAGCCATCAGCGTTGGCGATGCCCTTTGTCAAACTGTCCTTTAGTCATAGCCATGATGGCATATTTCCACAAGTGCCTTCCAGACAAGTGTTGAGGAAGTCCTCGTAGGTTTTTTTTTCTTTTTTTTTTCTACCAGACCAGAATTAAAAATAAACCTTAAAGGATTGAAAAAAAGAAGCAGAGCTGAGGACAGAATGAGAGAAACATTAAGTTGATTTCCACAGTGATAAACTTACTGCTGTCTCCTCTCTAGCGAACCTTTGGGAGAAAGAGGAACCAGAACCAACGTGGATCATTCAAAGACGGTACGTTTACTCATGCATCACTCTGTCTGCTTCTCAAAACTTGAACTACAAATAGCTGGGAAGTAGTTTTTTTTATTAGATTGCACTCGTTGTAGAAACCCTGAGTAATGAAAATGTTAGATTCGGTGTGTGGATGCTGTGATTTCAGTGGCACGACGTAGAAAGGATAGCTTGAGGCAGCAGAAGAAGAAGAAGAAACAGGAAATCATTCAGTCTGTATGCACTCGGCATGCTAAATATCTGCTGAGTCGTGAAGATGAATACTTGTGTATCTTCAGATGCTGCTACTTCTCCTTTTAAAACTATTTTTTGTCCCATTATAATTATGTAGACTCGAGAAGTGTTGATTGAAGAAGTGCCATTTTTACAGAGTTGTTATCTAACTGGTGCAGCTGCTTAAAAACACCAATCCGATGATGTTAAAATGCATTATGGAAAATAAAACGAACACACATTTATGCTTCTATTCGATCCTTGAGGGAACATTTTTGATCTATTCTCTAAAATGTTAGATTCAAGTTGTTGAAGTGTCGTGATCAAATTAATATACTGTCAATCAAGCTTGTTACCTTTCACCAATTTAATGGTTTTCACATCTTTCCAGTAGATAAACACTCCAGGAACAAACCTTCATTGAATTTAACTCACCCCTCAGTTTTTTGAACAAACAGATGTATTCTCACCTCCCACACTGTAATTCTCAAATGATCCCTGCCATCCTGTTGACAAATTCCAACTCAGTTTCAGCATTTTATTAGTTTTTGCATTAATGAATATCTAGTTACTTCTACTTCAGTGCAAATTAGTGAGCGAATAACAGCAGAATCTTACATGCACGGCCTCATCGTGACTGTAATATTTCCGTTTTGCGCACTGAGAAATAAAACTTAAGTGATGTTCTTTGGTGTCGATGCTCAGCAACGCCGCGACTCTACCAGGAGATCCGTGAGCGGGGGCTGCACTCCACCAACCAGGACGAGCTGCTGGATGACTTTGTGGTGGTGGAGCCGCCCGTGGAGGACCAAGGCATTGTGGTGAAGAGCTACCGGCCAGCGCAGCTCACCTGGAGCCAGCTGCCACAGGTAAACCTCCTGCAAGTGCACGGAGAGAAGTAAAATCACATGAGTTCTGTGAAGGCACATACTTCATTTGGCCTATAAATAAACAAGTGCACATGAAATCTATGTCACCGCTCCCTTCAATGGAGAACACGCTTCTGATCAAATATGGTTCATTCTTGACCTTTAACCCTTTATGGGGCAAGTGAACATATTTGGTAACTTCCTTGGACGTTCAATATGTCCACTCCTTGAGGTTGAAGAACCATGTGCGCTTTCATTTAGTTTCACTAAGATTTAGTGTCACTAAAGAAATGTTCCAGGCACTTTATAAATGCTTTGCTACTGGTTTGCATTGAACTGCACTTAGATTTTTTGAGATTAGTGCCACTAATACCACTCCCCCAAGAAAACTCTTGGGGGAGTGTTACTACCTTGTTTCTGGTTGTGTATGTGTCATTACCTCAAACCAAAATGTTTCTAAATAAATATTTGTTGCAGTTCTTTTATTTATTATAAATTCCCTTTTTTTTAAACCGTAGACGGGCAAGTTACCATACATGTTAACTTTATTAATCTTGATTTGCAACATTTTTTTTAAGTCACAAAAGTAAAAAATATCTTTAAATATCCTTCAATAACACCCTAGGGTTGAAATTTTCATCTTCCAAGTCACTTTCATTTTGTTTTAAACGGCACATTTAAAAGCGTATACTCTTGCCGTACTTGTTTTATAAATGTATAACTCCCACGCACACAGTGGAAAAGTTTGCTCTTCGTGTTCATGTGTACAATTTTGACTTTGTCACACGACCGTTTTCGAAGCAAATTTTGTTTGAACGACTTCATCGGTGCTTTCTTTGCTTATTTCCCATAAAGGTGAAGGACACAGGCATTCTGGCAATGGTCTCACCTCAGGAGAGAAAGAGACAAGAGGTAAGGATGAGTGTGCACATGTATGTATGTGTTTGTGTAGATTTGCATCACACGCGTTTCCACAGAAATATCCTGCAAGGGAATGTCTCTTGCTTTAACAGAAATCTCACGCAGCTCAATGGCTTAACATTTCTCAGTAATAAATAATCAGAATGAACACACAAAGGCTTCTTTCTGCTCCCACCGTTTTGCATCATCGCGCAACATGCAATGCAGTGATCCATAAGACGTGTTGCGTTCAAGGTCAGGTGTAGGTCTGTTGCTTTTTTAACCAGAAATTGTCTCTTAAAGTCTGTAAATCTGGGAAAATATTGTGGATATTTAGACAATTAGCATGTGCCAGATTTACTCTTCCAACTCTCCCTGCCACTGAATCCTCTCTCCGTTATTTTTCCCGTGTCCCGTACACAAACACAAATGTGCACAAGCAAGAACGTGCACACTGGAGTGGTGTTGCATGGATCCCTCTGAGCCAGAGCTTTGTATCAACGACTGTGTTTTTTCAGCTCCCACACACAGAATAGACAGCTTAGCAGACAGCGCAAAGAGATTCTCTGAATTTGACAAAAAAAAAAAAACTGTATTGGACTGAAATTGCAGTTGAAAAGCAGCCATTTTCTCAAAACAAATGGCATTTTCTCCTTCATGACTGAAGTAAGCTCAGCAGTGCCGTTTGGTTTCTATTTACGTCATCTTTCTTTGGTTCTGGCACTCAGCTGGAGGGAGAAAAAAAAAACAGCATTAGCATGTGGATACAATAAAACTGGAGTGATAAAGCTCATAACAGTCACCATTAATAGTTTTTTATTATGCAGCGGTGGATTTAGTGCTGCACTTATGTGAAGTCAGGGGCTTTATATAACACCGTTTTTTAAAAGCATGGTCAAAATTGATGCAAGAGAGGCCGTGAGTATTAGTCCCTGCTGTGGGTCAAGCTTGAAAACCACATGATCCTACATTTCCCATTATTCCAATCCCACACCTTCAGTTTGTCACAGAGGGTTTATGTTAAAAAAATCAAGATGGAGTTCCTATATAAAATAGTCATATTCATTTTGTAGTCCTGCAGCTGCCAGCATCATCTAACTAGAAGTTCAAACTCAATCTCAGCGGTTACTGTCGCAAGACTTTCTAGAAAGTGTCGGAGCCCACTGAGTGAAAACAGATGCAGATAAAACAGCTTCAATTAATATTAGTACAGCAACAGACCCAGTTTGTTTGATTACAAAAAGCAAACGAGCATCACAGACTGATACTGTCTGTACAGTGTAACTCTATCTGAGGGTGGATTTTCCCTTTTGTAACGTTTCCCCGCCAGCCCTCTGAGATGTCAGATGCTGTGTCAATACCAAAGGTCCACCCTGTGTGCACTGCAGTCCCTGAATAAAGCCGCACCCTGCCAGAGTAATCATGCTCCTGCAAAGTCCCGAGCAGGTGCTTGTCTTGCTCTTTTGTACCTTGAGTCACCTCATGGGGTTAGTTTTAATGCTAAAGGAGTGTGCTTGAGATTAGGCGCTGCCTATGGCAGCTTTTTTAGGGATGTGAAAGCATTTTATTACAATTTTAGGAAAGCTGAGATTAGCTAAAGTACTTTTTTCCCCCAGATTTGAGCAGTTTTAAAAAACTTGCCACACAGATAAAAGTTGACCAGGCAGACGTTCATGTACTGTTCCGTATTCGCTCCTTGAACTAAATGCTGGTCTGAGCTGATCATAAACAACTGGACTGGATTTTAGCTCAGCTCGTGCACTTTGATCCTTTCTGAGCCACTTCGCTCTGACAGGAGGAGGAAGGTGTGTCATCACCGCCTGATGGCTCACATTCTGACACCGAGCAACAGGCCTTAACTAACCCTCCATTACAAATTATTCATACTGCCATAAGGCAACCACTGTTGGTGTGTCTATTTGGTTGAGTGACTCCGTGTCAAACTTAGATTCAACGTTTTGCACCGATATCCAGTACAGAGGAGGAAACTTGTCGGGGGATGCAGATGTCTCTCTAATGATAGACCAGAATGCACTGCAGCTACAGCATGTGTTTTATTATGAGTCAGGGATGTGACACACAATCAGATTGCAGTAAATAAGGATCATCTGAATTGACCTTTAAAAAAACGTATAATTATATAATGGCTCCATTGCCGAGGATTACTTGATTGCATTTTTATCAAACCTTTAAAATATGAACATTTTCTGTTTTTTCAAGATACCGTATCAAATCAACTACTTTTCTAACTGTGACTTAACTAATATATTAAAAATTATTATTGGAAAATTACATTTTTATTCCTGTTTAATTGAGATTTAAAAAAAACAACTAAATTAAATATTTTAAGTAGGGGCTCCTCTGGCAAACAGAATCCCACATGTTGTAGAAAACCCTCAGTACACGTGTAGTTTGTTCCAGCGTTGCTTCTTGTAAGGCTAATTTGATTTCCAAGTAACGTGATTTAACTTTGGGTGCTGTACATTGCACACTGTTCTCCCACCACCAAGCACACAACCTACAAAAGGATTCTGGGGAATCTGGGAAATCACTGCATCACAAGAGATTAAACTAGACCAATTAAAATGAGAAGAGGTACATTTAAAGTGTCGTCTCAGGATAACTTCACAGCATCACATTGTGGATTTTTGGTAAATGTTGCACATGTCTCCTTCGTGTGCACACTTGTTTGACTTTGTGTGATCCTTTTTCAGGCCATTTTTGAGATCATCACCTCGGAGCACTCGTACCTGCACAGCCTGGGCATCCTGGTGCGTCACTTCGAGAAGAGCGACGCGCTGAGAAAAACGATGACGGCCACCGAGCACCATCACCTCTTCTCCAACATCTCCGTCATCCACCAAGTTAGCAAACGGTCAGACACTCCTCTGTTTATGTGTGTGTGAGGCCGATGGAGCTGGTTTGGGAGGTTTGATATCTTAAAAACGAAAACGAAAATACTTCATGATGCCATCGGTGTGTGAAGTTATTTCATTCAATATGCAGTATCAAGTGTGCAGATTATAAATAGAGCTGTGTGTTTTTATAACATGAAGTCAGACTGAATCCCTGCTGAGACGTGGTTTCAGGTTGTAAACTGTTTGATTGAGATTTTCAGGGAGAGTATTTGCCCTTAGCATGTCTTGAGTATCCTGTCGACTCCGTGAACATGTTAAGACACGCTTGTCAAACTGGTTCTGCTGCTCTGGGAGGTATTCCCGGCCTTTTAAGATGATAATATGTTTAAGAGCACTCACTGTTTATTCCTAGCTGCTTTATTTTGAATGAAAATAGATCCGGTTTTAGCAGAAAGTGATCTGCTTGTTCTGTTTTCAAATGAAACAGTATCAATGAAACTACTGGTGTGTCTCTGACGCTGCTGTATGACAAATGTGACTTACAGTATCTGTGTGTGAATCTGGGTTCCTGCAGTCGTTTCCAGGGTTGGCCTGTTTTTAAGGTGTCATTTTACTCCTTTTTGTTGAAACGGCGCTTTGCAAGGGCAGGGCTGAAAGTCATCTGTCATGTTGAAGATGTACAAAATGGAAAGGCTTTCACAAAGCCACGGCGGAAAGGCTCAAATGGATTTAACTGCAAAAATAAATCATTACGTATGTTTGGTTTTTATTGTAATGGGAGCTTGAAATGATCAGCTTTTGTTGTTTGTCATTCTGTTTATGACATTCAAATGGATAGACGTGGAAATATTTTCTTCCAGTAAATTACAAGTTGCAGCAGAGACACCATTGAGTAGATAGGTTCTAATTAAAAACCAAAAAAAAGAAGAATAAAATAACCCCAAGGTGGCAATTTGTTGTAACTTGAAGTTTCGAGTTTATCTTAAATTGTCAAACCTGTCTCAGAATGACAAAATAAAAACAACAAATGCCCCATTTGCACACAAACACTCTGAAATCGTACCCTGGACGTGATCACAGTCTTTTTCCTCTCACAGCTGTATGTAGACAGTCAAACAGAGTACCTTCGCTTCATGTCTAACCTCCCCCTCTCGATCCATTTTCAGATTTTTTGAGGACCTTGAACGGCGTCACTATGACTACCCATTGATCCGGGACATCAGCGACATTGTTCAGATCCACGCTACCCACCACTTTGAGCCCTACATCGTCTACTGCTCCAACGAGACCTTCCAGCAGAGGACGCTGCAGAAGCTGCTGTGAGTAGCACAACAGGCTGCTGAGTTTCTACAGTGCCTCAGTAGGATGAGCTCAACTTCTGTCTTTTTTGTGTCTCTTTAGGGGCAGCAACACTGCGTTCAAAGAGACCCTGAAGCAAATTGAAGCGAGCACTGAATGCGGAGGCCTCCCCATGATCTCCTTCCTCATCCTTCCCATGCAGCGAGTAACCAGACTACCGCTTCTGCTGGATGTTAGTTACGTTTTTTCTTTCCTATATGAACAGTTCTCAACTTTTTTGGCAGGTGTCCCCCCAGAAATGAAACAATGCTTGTTCACAGCAGATTGGGGGGTGTGTTTTATTTATTTGGAACATACAAAGCAGCTAATATGAAAAAAAACCCAACTGTTTTTAAACTGACTATCCGTAAAGGTTGTTATTTGCTTGTCGGCTTCGATGGAATCATCAAAACACGTCTATTTGTTATTTTTTTTAAAAATGTTTTGATTATGTCATGAAGTGATGACAAGTCTTCTGGAAATATGACAAAATCTTCTGGGCCAAAAATACACACAGAGCAATTCTAATATTTGGTTAAATGTCCATTGGCGGTTTTTACCTTAACTAGGCCCTGTTAGTAGCCATCCACAAGCTTCTGGTTGTACTTTTGACAACCCCTCTTGGTGTAGAATTGACAGAATAGGTGCAGTTCAACTACCTTTGTTGGCTTTCTGACATAGACTTGTTTCTTCATCACAGTCCACAGGTTTGCGATGAGGTTTAAGTCAGAACTTTGGGAAGACCAGTCTAATACCTTATTTTCTGCTTGATTTAGCCATTTCTTTACCACTTTTGATGTGTGTTTGAGGTTAATGTCTTATTGGGACACCAAACAGCATCCAAAACCCAACATTCTGGCTGAATATTTTGTTTTTCCTGAAGAATGTGGAGGTAATCCTCCTTCAATCATCTATTTACTTTGGGTAAAGCACCAGTTCCACTGGCAGTAAAACAGCCCCAGAGCATAATCCTGCCACCACCATGCTTGTAGTAGGCTTGATGTTTTTTGGTTAACCTTCTGTCATTATATGGGATCATATTACATGTATTTGTGTGAAAAGATAAAAAATGGATGAGAAACATGCAGGTATATCTGCACCTATAACTATGCATTTGTGACCATCCACAGTAACGTATTCATTTAGGAACACCAGATTGTCAATGATGTGCTTGAAGTTTTTGCATAATGTTGATTTGCAGAAACAGGTGATTGCAGGTTTTTATACCTCTGTTTTCTTCTCAGACAATCTCCCAGAAAACTCCAATGGAGAAGGCGGAGTATTTCGCTGCAGTTTGGGCGCTGAACGCCATCAGCAAGGTAAAGATGCTGACGACTGTTCAGCTGGATGTAGGAACAGCAGTCACTAGCCTAGCGTTCATCATTTAAATGTAGACCATGGTGTGCATGTTTCTTTAAGGTTTTGATGATTGTTTTTTTCAATGATTATATTTTCAGTTGGTCTCTAGCTGCAATGATGGAGCAAGGCGGATGGAGAGGACAGAGCAGATGTACACTATTCAGAAGCAAATGGATTTTGGTAAAATCAAGGTATGAGTTGACCATATGTGTCTGCGCAGACACATTCAAGGTAGAATACAGTGAATGTGCAAACGCTTTGGGGTGAGTTCGCTAATCTGGCACTGATAAATCTTGTGTCCTCGCAGCCATTTCCGCTGGTGTCATCATCGCGGTGGCTGAAGAAGCACGGCGAGCTAGCCATCTCCGCCGAAGAGCTCAGCATCTGGAGAGCTTTCACCAACCGAAGCTACTACCTGTATCTCTTCAATGATGTACTGATAGTGACCAGGAAGAAGAGGTGAGCCGTGAATGTAGAGCAGAGTTTGTTTACAAAGCTGAGCAGCTGGAATGTGAAATGATATTTTGTGGTTAAAGCGGGAAGCTTAAAGGACCAGTGTGTAGGATTCAGTGACATCTAGCGGTGGGGTTGCAGATTACAACCAACCGAATGAGGAGATGTGGGAGAAGCTGCGGTGGCTATAACTTCAACTAACAACATGAAAGATCCTCTCCAGAACCAGTGTTTGGTTTGTCTGTTCTGGGCTGCTGGAGAAACATAGCAGTGCAACATGGGGTTCATTCTAAGCCAACGAAATTACAAGTATTCATGGTGAGAGGGGATTATACACTAATGCAAACATCCATCCATTATCTACACACCATTTAATCCTCACTAGGGTTGCAGCAGTCTATTACAGGGCTACACTTAGAGACAGACAACCAAGCACACTCACATTCACACCTACGGACAATTTAGAATCACCAACCTCAGCATGTTTTTGGACTGTGGGAGGAAGCCGGGAGGAACCCACGCTGCATGGGAGAGAACATACAAACTCTACGTCCTCACCGGGATCTTCTAGCTGTGAGGCGACGGTGCTAACAACCGAGCCACCCGAGAGCCCCCTAATACAAACATAAACATAATTAATATATTCCATTTTTGGGGCTGCAAGGTGGAGCAGTTGGTAGCACTGTTGCGTCGCAGCAAGAAGGTCGCTGGTTTGCGTGGAGTTTGCATGTTCTCCCCGTGCAGCGTGGGTTCTCTCCAGGTTCCCCAGCTTCCTCCCACAAAGACCAAAAACATGTTGAGGTTAATTGATGATTCTAAATTGTCCGTAGGTGTGAATGTGAGTGTGCTTGGTTGTCTGTCTCTAAGTGTGGCCCTGTGATAGACTGGTGACCTGTCCAGGGTGTCCCCTGCCTTCACCCTGAGTCAGCTGGGATAGACTCCAGCCCCCCACGACCCTAGTGAGGATTAAACAGTGTATAGATAATGGATGGATGGATTCCATTTTTGCTAATGGATCCCACTTAATAGATCCTCACACTGGTGCTTTAAAGTTGTATAAAGATGACTGTCGAGGGTATTTTAAGGTTTTCGTCATTGTGTTGATTAAAATCATGTGTGTGCTTTTCATGAATTGCGCAAACAACAGAAACTAACCAAAAAAATGAGCTGCTAACTGACTAATATCCTGTTTGTCATGTCATCAGGACACATAACTGACATAATTTTATAGTAATTTGATATGTCATTGTATTGCTGTCTTACAATGCAGTATAGGGACAATAATGCTTTTAAGTCTATTTGAAATCATGAAAATGCCAGTAAACATTCCCAGCATGTCAACACAACCACTTATATTGAGTCTAATAGGATCAGTTAAGATGCATTTGGCTTTCTGTACATGAAGAGTTAACTTGGCATTACGAACTCCATAAAAAGCACAAATTCCAGCTCCAGATGCACTTATTCAATTAGTCTTTCACAAGTCCAATAACTTCTTAGTGTGAAGAAGAACCTGGCTGGCATCTGCTAAAGTAGGAGTTGTTTTAATGGAAGGCAAAGTCAGAACCCCAAAAGCAGTTTATGATGGATTCAGTGTTTGTTTCCTGGTGACTTTTGTGGACACTAAACAGATCCAGCTGCTGGAACTTGAGGAACAGAATCGAGGGGAAGGGGACAGAGAAAGGAGAGTAGTATGGATATGGTGCCTGCATTCTTGAGATTCTTCAGTGTTACTTTCAGCGTGTCAGCTCAGTTGACTGCAGCTTTCTGTTTTGAGTTAGGGAGAAACCAAACAGTGTCATCTTAAAGAAATAAGCTGCCTGTAACCTTGGTGTCATTTCTGTGGTGGTGAAGGGTACACTGTGACCCAGCCAGCAGGTGATAACATCTCTTACAGGCTACCAACAGATAACAAATGAATGTGGCTTGACTGCTTTGTGTACATGTCTATACACATAGTAAACATGTTGCTGCTTTCTCTACACCTTAATATGCAGAAATTGCCCTTGTTCTTCTTGCACGTTCCTGCTGGGAGAACACAATGAGCTAATCATTCGGATGTGACTTTTTTGTGTGTCCAGTGAGGAGAGCTTTGTGGTGTTGGACTACGCCACTGTGGAGAATGTGAAGGTGGAGGTTGGAGAGACTCCAGAGGGACGCTTGTCTCCGCCGGCCAAGAACAGCACCAGCTATCTGTCCTTCAAACTGGTGATGAGCAAGAACAGCGAAGGGAGGGCAGAGACAATCTCCCTGGTGGCCGAGTCCAGGTACCGTCAGCTCCTGTCACCCCTGAAGTCCCTCAAGTGGGAGTTTCTATTTGAAAATATACATTTAAAGCTGCTTTAAACTGACTTCTTACTGTCACAGGTTGGTTCATACATAAAACAGTCTGTCTGATGATCATTGTGATTTATTCTCATGTATGTCCAGGAAACAAGTTTGTGTCTGGCTCCCTCTACTGATCAAAGTCCTAATAGCAGCATGTAATGGTGCTTTTTCCTTTTCTTTTTTTCCCCCCTTCACTGCCCAGGGTGGACCGAGCTCGCTGGATAGTTGCTCTTAAAGAAAACAATCAGGCAGGTGTCTCCACTTGCACAGAAGGTAAGTCTGCATGTTGATCTTACAAAGGAAGTACTTTCTGAAATAAGTCTAAGTTTGACCAGATTGTTTTTGCGCATTAATTCATGTTTAAGTGGCAGCTGATGACAAATTAGTTCTCTCACATTTCATTTCTAAATCATTCATTTGTCATGTAAGTCTGAAATAGCTGAGGAATGCAGCGTACCGCACAGAAAGCAGATGGTTTGCGTTTTAATTTTTATATTTCAGAAAAGTCTGCCTCTATTTAACATGCTGAACCCTGAGGCAGATTTAGAAGGCATGTTGGCATTTTTTAAAATTGACAAAACTACACCATTTATTGGAGCAAGAACTGTTAAAAAAGAAACTCAAATAGTCTGATTTTCAACTTTTAAAGCCACCTGTGACTTACTGTTCCATCGGCAAGCTTAACCAAATCTCAGCCCAAATCTCTTCTCCAAAAATATATCAGTTGCCTTTAACTAGGTTCAATAAATGAATGAATGAATGAATGAATGAATTAATTAATTAATGTGCTCTTCAGTGCAACTGTAAAGCCATTAGTGACTTAACTGCGACCAACATTCATGTGACAAACCTTTAGGAAGTTTTCTAATTGTACTGAACAGCAGGTTGTGTTTACACAGAGCAGACAGAAGACAAGTATGTTGTTGTTGTACATCTGTTTCTAGTTTGTGTGAAATAATCAAATCATTTCTGCTCGTTTTTAATGATATAGGGCAATTATATTTGTGTCATTTTGTACAGAGAACGTTCTTGAGTTCTCACTTGTTCTTGTCATGGTTGTGCTGTTTCCATAGAAGTGGCAGGACTTAACATTGCAGGAAAAAAATAGTGACAAGCAAAAACTGTCAAACTGTGCAACAAAATGGAGAAGCTGCTCGGGTAAAATCAAGTCATTTTCACATACATAGCACAGCTGCATAGTCTGTCTGTCCTGTGTGAATCCTGATGTTTACGATGCTGAGTTTACTATATTGACAGAAAGGTGTTGTAACATTCAGACTTAATTGCGTTTGACTCCAAAAGAAACAAACAGTAAAAGCTCTTTGGCATGACACATCTGTCAGGACAGATGTGGACCAGTCATAGTCACAGTGTCCAGTATGTCGAAATGCAGAATAAGATCAGAGCACCTACAGGATTTTATATAAGTAATAAAACTTATTTTTTAGGGGTTTTTTATTAACCCTATTCAGGACTTTAATGTTGCCATGTGTAGAAGGTCTTATGTGCAAAATATTTGTTGGTATTCATTGCAGACTTTTATACTATGTTAAATACATTTTCTGATAAGTTGATGTTATTTTTGGTTCCAAATGCATGACAAATGTCCCTCTTTTTAGATTTAAAAAAAAAAAAAATCTTCAAAAATAAACAATACCCGTCACCTAAACCAAATGGCCTGGGGTCCAAAAGACCCCAAAAGTCCTGAATAGGATTAAAGCAATACTGTTTTTCTTACAGACACTTGTGATAGTTTAATTTAGTGGCTTATTAAAACAAAACCATCACATGGGCAGAGCTCACTGTTGCTGTTTGTTTCATGACTACGTACGTACGTATGGAGTGTGGGATCAAACAAGTCTGCACAATGCTGAATAAGTCCATCTTGTGTCTGATGACGTTCAGCAGTGATTGGTTTACCTGAACTGATAAGGAGAAGAACTGTAATGATGCAGGCAAAGTAGGTTATAGCAACTAGCAGCAAAGCAGGCAAACCTAGGAAGTGTCCAAGTAAAGTTTCTGATACTCCAGGTTAAAAAGAAACTCAGCGTTCAGAGGAAATATTGCAGTCTAAAAAAAAACCTAAAGCATGTAATTAGTGTCACTGGCAAGAAGGAGAGACGAAAGTCCCACACTACAGGTTCAAGAGTGAGCGTCTCTGTTGACGTTTAATATTATTAAAAGGTGTGTCTTGACAGAGAAAATGCCACATCACATCAGTGTGCCAAAGAACCCGATCGTACAGTTGAACCGCAGCGTTCTTCTTTCTGCACAGCACCACAATGTAAACTAAACAGCTTTATAAGCTCATTTGCACCTACAGCAATTAACATTTTAAACTATGTTTTTAGAGGCTGTGTGGGTTGTGCGATGGCTTTATGGTGTTGTGATCACATTTTTATCACAGCTTGTGTAGTATGTGTAATGAAATGTGAAATGTCGGGTTGTTAACTTGCGCGTGAAGACAAACGTCCCCACAGGGGCCTTAAAGTGTATTTTATGGTATTACACTGAGATGAACTAAAACAGGAACCTGTACCCATCATACAAGCTTTAGTTTTCTGAACCACACTGCAATATGTTCTGGGAATGTGTTTCAGGTCTGCCACAGTACGAGGCCACCAAAGCTTACATGCCAAAGGATCCTGATGAACTGGGTCTGCAGCAGGCTGAGCTCGTCATTGTCCTGCAGAAGGAAGAAGGTGAGGCCTGCTTTGCTCTGTCGCTATCTAGAATACAACTTCAAATTCTGCTCAGTCAGTATCTCATCTTGTTCATTTCTCGTAAAAGCATGCGAGAGTGTTTTAAACATCTGTCTGCTCTTCCCAGCGTGGTGCTACGGGGAGAGAATGCGAGATGGAGAGAGAGGCTGGTTCCCTGCCAGCTGCGCCACAGAGATCACCAACCGCACTGCCATGGAGAGCAACGTGCAGCGCATGAAGCGCTTACGCAAAGAGACCAACGTTTGAGCGACTTCACCGTGGACGTACTGTCATGTCGGGATGGACAAAATAATAGAAACACCTTCTGGAACATTAGCGATGCTCAATGTTCTGTCTTTGTTGAGACTGCTGTGCCGGTGAATCACACGGAACACGAGAAAGCTACTAATTGCTGTAACGATGGGCCACAAACACATTACCAACAGACTGGAGGACGTTTACGAAGCATAGGAAAAATCAGAAACTGGTGCCTCAGTGGTCTAACATGAACACAGTGAAACTATGAGGTTCCTGCTTCCAACAGTATCCATGTTTCCCATTGCTGTATAAAAACAAGACTATTTCAAATATGACCATCCGGTTGAATGAACAATTAAATGTCATTTTTAATATACTTTCTATTGTGAAAATGTGTTAGATAATTGTTTGCATGCACTATGAGACGTTTGTTGCGTACACTTTGCCTTTATAGGAAGTCTTGCCCACAAATGTCAACATGAGTAACTTGATCTAGTGCTACTTACTGGTTACATTATATTGTAAAATATATTGTGTTAGTGTTAAAGATGTTGTGAAGGGTTTATGTATTATCCTGGTGTGACATTTGCCAAGTTAAATGCAGTTTATGATACACTGTTCCATTGTGGAATTTGGTTAATTGTCTAAATATACGACATGAAAACACTCCGACTTAACTGTTCTATATTAAAAAGCAAACATGTTCCGTGGTTTTGCCCTTGTCTATAGCCTGTATACTTGAAAAAAATAAAAATAAAGCCACCACAATAGACAATGTTCCTGGTTTCTGAACTTTTATTTGAGCTTGCATTTTGTTAAAATGTTTGAATACATAAAAAGTTATTTAAAAATGTCAAACTGACCAGATATCAAATTCCATTTTATCTTTAAAAACCATTTGGTGTAAAAACTTAGGACAGATTTAGAAAAACATTTGCTGTTTCCCCAAAACGTTTTGTAGCTGTCACATAAAAATAATGGAAAAAAAACAAGTCTGCATAGATTCTGCAGGCAATCGGTGGTAATCTGGTCAAATGCATGGTGCAAGCTTGTGACGATCGTCAAGTCAAATCTTTATTGCTCAGATCTTGTTTGATGTTTCTTCTTGTTGACAAAAAAACTGTAAAGGAGGAAAATTTACAGATTAGTACATCGTTCGCCTATGGACAGCACCCTATGTGATAAAATTCTTGAAAGTCATTGGCAGATTGCAGAAAAAGTATCCCAAGCTGTTGCTCATATGGAAGCCAGACAATAGCAAGAGGCTCTATGTTGCTAGGCAGTTTACTTTCTTTAATCCACTCTATTGGCTCATGCTTTGGATTAACATCTACAGAGCTAAACAAGTGTAAATGACAACCTAGGCAACCAGGCTTAGAAGAAGAAAACACTGAGCATCTAACAATGTTTCCTGGCATGCACCTTCAATGTCTTTTTTACAGTCAGCCCCAAATGTTGACACCTGAATCAAGGTGTTAGTTAAAGCTAACTGAAACGATCAACATGCAGACAGATTAGTCACTGTGAGGCTACAGACTCACCCGGACGATGGTAAAAGATGGTAGGTGCCGGTGGGCAGGTTGTTTCCTACTCAGCCCCACCCTGCTGGGCCTCGGGAGCGGACGTTTTCTCTGCAGATGGGTCACCTCCTGTCTTGGCCTCCTTGGTCTCCTGGCCGGGCTTGCCACCAGTTGTTTGGCGTCTGCGGCGGTAGTTGAAGTTACGGCGGTAGCGCCGCTGGCGGGGCTGTTGATTTTGACCACCTTCGCCGCCCTGATTCTCCTTGTCCTCCTCGCCGTCCCGCACCGGTCTGGGACGGGGTGGACCCCTAAAGGTGAAAAGCGAAAAGGAAGAAGCTGAAAGAAGACAACAACTATGAAGTAGAAATACCATGCAAAGAATACATCATTCACTGGGACAAAAGGCACATAGAAAGTCACAGAAGTGATGCAAAAAAAACAAACAAAAAGAACAAAAGCCAAATTTGGATGCACAGCTGCAGGTTGAGGTTAGGCTGCAATAAAAGGGGAGTTTCTCTGACCAAACATGTGGCACTTCTGCTTATCATAAGGTTTATTGTTAGTCAATTTTCACTTTGTGGACTCAAAGTTGGGATCCAGATGGCACAAAGCTTTATTCTCCCTCTCTTATTGCAACCCTGCATCAATGAAGCCAACATGCAAACCTTGGTCTGAACCTTGGTCGGAAGCCTTTGTAGTAGTTCTGCCTCACTGGTTTGTTGCCCTGGTCTGGACCCCCCTGGCTCTCGTCACCCTCACCTCCCTGAAAGTAAACAAATCAACAAAACAACTGACACATACCTTTTTTTAGGTGCCAGCACAAAGGCAGACCACCTTCAGATCATTTGTTCCTTAGTGCGCACGAATGGCAAGCGTAGATGATCAATGTGTTTGTGCAGTGAAGGTACACTGTCAGGCACTTCTGCAGAGTTGATTTTAGGGGCCTATTTGAGTCAATTTGCAAAATATTGGCTAGGCCCCCGATACACCAATAACTATTGATCACAACCACGTGAGTGTTAGAAAGGAGAGGGTTAAGAGTCGAGTCTAACATATCAAGGGTCCCGATTTCGTCATGGGACAGCTGGGTGCCTGCTTCAGGATAGTAGCCCTGTGACAGCGTACCTCAGTCATCTCTCCGCGTGGTGCGTTGGTGTACGGGGGCCGGCGGCCGTAGCGTCTACGTACAAAGTATGGCGGGTAGCGCCGTCTGCCAGGGTAAGCGGGTCTGCGCTGCTGCGAGTCTCCTTCAGGGGCGCTCTCTCCCCCATCTCTGCTGCCTTTGTCACGTCCTCCGCTGCCTGGCTCACCCTCTCCGTCACTCTGGTAGTTCTCTGGATAGTCTCCTCCGCGGGGAGGGCCCCTCCTTCGGGGGTAGCGCCTGTAACGGTTCCTGTCAGCGGCGTACTTACTTCCTTGGACTGCAACACCTCCTGGGCCGGTGACATTTGCCGCCTCTGCTCCCTGTGCACAGTAGGATGTTTTAGAGACATGTATTTAGCCAGATTAATGACCAAGACAACAACAAATGGGATTTTTTTTTTTCTTCAAAAGCTACAAACTAAATAAAGAAATGCAGACCTAAACACAAAATTAACATACAAACATACAAGAAATGTTTACCTTCTCCCCCTCAACTACATCAAACTCCACAGTTTCTCCATCTCCAACGCTGCGAAGGTATTTCCTCGGGTTGTTCTTTTTGATGGCTGTCTGAAATCACGAATAGTTCCGAGTTAATATTATATTTCCAGAATTATTAAACTAAACAGTATGCCGCCGCCACCAAGAACAACTTACCTGGTGTACAAAAACGTCCTCTTTTGTATCATTCCTAAACAAAGGAAGATAATCGTACTAGTTAGCAGTGTTCTGCTGAGCCACAAAATGCAAGAAAATCTCTACAGACAGATTGCAACTAAGCCAGTGAGTGTACGGATTAATTAAGAATTGCACGTAACAACAGTGTTGAGACCAGCAGATAAATCATCTGGTCAGCTCTGTAAGCATATCATAGCCATAATAGGATTGGGAATGTTCTTTAACACACAGCTGATATCAGGGTCTTTAGGAAGCAGGGGGTGGGGGAGGGGTCCACTTACCTATTGATAAAACCATATCCATTCCTGACGTTGAACCATTTGACTGTTCCCAAGACTTTTGTTGCTGAAATGAAATTAATTGAAATTATGAAATAGCTTTAGATTTGTGTAATTTTCTACTTCATGTCTAAGACAACACTCGCATACAGTGAATCTGATTGAAAAGCTTTAAAACTGATCCTGCGCTTCATTTGATCTAAACTGATGACAAACTGTAAAGGAATCAAATGTGACCAGTTGATGAAAAACTAACCACGGCCACAGATATTGTGGAAGTTATATTTAACTACCAACTGTCACTCTTATTATAGATCCTGATGCTTATGAGTGCCTTGTGTCAGCTGCACTTGGTGTGAGGCATGATCCATTATAAGCCACTGCAGACCACACTATGTCTCAACTAGATCTAAACATTTCCTCACTATCAGGGCTTCTGACATATGCAGCTTACTAGATTGCATGCCAAGTGTGGATGCAATAACAGCATAGTAGCCGTAGCAGCTAACGTATCAAAGTTCAACTCCAACAGACCTACTGCCCCATTTTAAGACGCACTGCTGCTCAGGACATTTGCGTTCACACGTGGTAGAGTCGCGCCCGGATACGCTAGCAAGCGGTGAGCCCAGCTGGCTTGTTAGCATAGCTATGTGGCTAAGCGGATCCGAACCATGTGGTTGGATTAGAGCCAAGCAAGCGGAATCGAACTTAGCACATCAGCCAACATGTATTGTGACCAAAGGTTTTTCCAAATTTAGAATGTTGGTAGTTGTTGTAATGTTTTTTTCGGAAAACAAACGACCAAATTGCAAGAGAAATCAGCGGAATCACACGGCGGACATTTTGGGTGGCCCCTTCAGCCATGTAAATAGCTAAAGTTAGCCGGCTAGGCTAATGTAGCTTCGTTAGCCAAAGAGCTGCTATCGTTGAGAACGTAGGCCCCTAATGATAGCCCAGAAATTAGACCAAAATTACACGACCCTAGACACATGTACTCTGGTGCATTTATAACGGAGCTTTGACGGGACCGGTTGGCCAGTCGCGTTTGATACGAGTTTGTACGTGTTTCGACTGTTTTGGATATAAAAAATATTCCGACATGGAACCAGGCTCTTTCGTGTGAACAAAGGGACGGCAGGCAGCTAACGTTAGCCTGCGCTCAGCTGAATTCGCAGCCAGTTATCGGCACGAAATAACTTCGCGTAGCACACTTACGCTCCGCTGTCAGTTAGAAAATTCAAGCCAAAGTTAACTTTAAAACGCCTCGACGTCAACATCTGTGCACTGACTGTTTGAACGGAAAACTAGCGTCGGCGGACAGACACACGTCCCTACACGGCTAGAAACAACTTCAACGATCGTCCATGTGACGGGCTGCCGGTATCATGGTATTCCGTGGCGGATATTTGACGTGTGGAGGCCCATGAAAAACACAGATTAACGGACTAAAATTACACGATTACTTTAACGGTCTCATATTCTCTTTTAAAATTAACATCCAAAATAAAGGGTTATTGTATTACGAGGAGGTAAGAAAAAAAAAAGAAAAAAAGATATAGCACTGATTAAACGGATCAGCGTTCCAGCGGACACTTTTAATTATGTACCGCGAGCTAAAATAAACGATAGGACAAACGATCCACTACTGACAGCAAATGCAAATTAATTTTACTTTGTTTCACAGAAAACTTTAAGTCGACAGTATCCCATTTAGGTCAAACACTACAGGCATCCCACAAACGATCAAAAATGGACAGAAATGTAAGCGGTCCTGTAAACATTTATTTTTCTCCTTTGTCAGTTTCAAATATGCTACCATTGGGTTACTTGTTCTCCGTGTCGGATTAACGTTTCGTTTAACAGTAAACTGGGCGAACCGACAGGCTCGGTACTGTTAGCAACCGCCACTTTTGCGCATCGCCGCTCCGCTGCCACAAACCACGTTAGCTAACTAGTTAGCTTAACTAGCTCCAGCAGTCTTACCGATGACCTTCTTATCCCCCGCGGAAGCTGCGGCTGCCGGGCTGGATGGGCTCTCCGCATCGGCAGCAGGCTGCGGTGGTTGTTGTTGTGTCTCGGCCTCGCTGCTCATGGTTACTACTGGTTGGTAATGGCTTCTGCCGGCGGCGGCTCTCTGCTATGTTTCCCGGTGCTAGATGGTAACCTGGGCCGGCGGTGGTGGGGGCTACTGCCTTCGGGCTCTCTGCTTTCCTCTTTCCGCTCCCGTTGCCGATCGAACTGGGCAGAATGAGAAACTGTGCCGGGGAATGTTCCTGGTCGGCGGTCCGCCCAACGAGCCTTCCAATTGGCTACAATCTGTAACGGAAAACAAGACGCCCTCCGAATGGCTCAGTCAGCTGTCAATTCTTTTCGAGGGAAGCGTTTGCGAAAATGATTGGCTGAGGGGTCTGTACCTGTCTACTGTCACCGCCCACTAGTGATGTCAAAGCCAGACAAATGAGACAGATAACTGTGACACTTTTGGAACGGAGTGTCTACTAGCTGGGGTCATTTTAGTCCACGGATGTTTGTGTAAATACATAATGCACAAATATTATTTTAAAAAAGACACTTGGAATTATTAGCATGCCATTTTTACGTTAAACTGAATCAAAATTTGTGGCAGAAGAAGCGGCGAGACATTGGGATTTGGGTAAATTCGTATTTTGGTGTTGGGGCAAAACAGCTCTTCAGTTTATTATCATGTTGACCAGCTGTTTCCGGTGACACTGGCCTGCTGAGAGGCAAAACAAAACTTGAATTTTTAATCTATTTTCCGTCAGATGTCTTCATTTTGAATTCAGATTGCTCTCCTGGAGACATTACACGCGCTATGCTGTAAGCCCCATCTGCACTGAGGGCAGTGCTGTGGAAATTTATTGAGGGATAGTTGACCTAAAATGAACAGAGGCATGAGGAAGGACTCGATCATTTATTCAATGAACATGGTGGAAAAGTCATATTTGTCAATTTTACGGCACTGTTCCAGATGAGATTCCTTTTACTGTGGAAGAAAAAGGAAGATTTTTGGCATATTCTGCAAAACATACACAGCACATCAATGTGAGCAGCTTAACACATAGAACAGCTGAATCCATCTTTTTTTAATCACTAAAGATGATAAGAAGACAATCTGCTTTTTTTGGTACAATATTATAGCATCCCCAGCTTTTATGTCACTGTCTGAGATAAAGGTTATTTAAGGACACTGATGAGGAATAAACATTCCATCACAGTTTGAAAACCATTCGTGATATTTGATTGCATCCTGAGATTTGATTCTCAAAGAGGATGCTTAATATGTTTTCAATCCTACTTTCTGTACCAATCTGACATTTTAAGGTACAACAAAGGCTCAGTCAGTGACAGTGCATTCCAGTGGCATAACATACGCTTTGCCTCTCCACTCAAATGACCCTGCGCAGTTATCTAGTTAAAAGCAGCCACCGTCCTGTGTGAATTCAGAAAACTCCACTTCCACTAGCGCAGAGCAGACAGACCCAGACTGAATGCGAGACAACCCCACCGCAGCCCCCCATCCATTGTCATGTTAATGCTCCACTGGCACTGTTTATGAGCGCTGGCTGATGTGTGAAGAGCTCTGCTGTTAATGGCCAAGCTCCGTTCTCCCACACACAAAGATGGGTTTTAGCTTTGACCCCAGAAAGCCTCCCCATGGAGAGACCCCCACCCCCTGCATGCAAAAAAAAAAAAAAAAAAGCTAAAAAAAAAAAAAAAACACCCTTCTTCCTGCCTCCATAAGAACAGAGCCTCCATCTGAAAGGATTCTTTTATGCCAAGGGAACGATGTCCAAGGCAGACATGAGCATGGATGGGGGAGGGGGGTCTGGTGGTTTGGATTTGTATAGATGGCTGAGATAGACGAGGTAGCCGTAAGTTCAGCGGAGGATTCTTTGGCACTGGAGGGTGTCTCTTGGAGAACTCTCGTGCCTTTAACCGTAGTATTGACCTAATTTGCTCCACAGTTATGAAGGCAGTATTGATTATCACCCGGCATCCCTTCAGAGTAAAGCTATACTGCACATCTCTGCAGGTTTATGTGCTGACAATGCAAATCACAGACTCAAAAATAAAAGATTCTTTTTGGAACACATGCACATCTTCATTTGTTTAGATCAGCAGCGTATGAGGAGGAAATTTGCTGCTAAAAGCTGCCAAAGCAATGCATTTTAGTCTGGGTACACAATGTTCTTAAACTTGATTCAGGGCAGTTTCCAACTATGGGTGTCTGGGCAGCTTCTTAAACAGACGGTAAATGGATAAAATGTGGATTATAAAGTAAAAGGAGTGCACTAATTATCCCAAAATATATACATTAGATTATTTGACGTTAGACTATATTGCAGATTGAACCCTAAAGTCTAAATTGCAATAAATATGCTTTGAGCCATTGTGGATAATCATAATTAAAATACCTTTTCACTGTTGTAAGCTTAATTTTCTAAGCTAATTATCTATGCATACCTTAAACAGTATATACAAGTTGAGTGGAGCAATATTAAAACTTCAGTTTTAAAGTATGGAGCCATGTACACACAGGTTTGTATAAAAATGTACAATTTATTGATCAGAAATGATACACCAGTGTGATCAACTCTTTCATCTGGCTTTAAAAAAAAAAGGTACACAAACTGTCCTCAGAAAAACATTAACAACAGCTTTTAATGTGATGTCGAAGAAAATGAATTATAAAAGCAAATATGATATAAATCCTGTCAAAACCAGACTATAATGTGAATAATGTGGTTTCAATGCAGCAGTTAACCTGATACTCATTATGTACAGGTGAGTTTCAATCTGAAATAAAGGAAAAGGTACTACGTGATGTACACAGAGGTTGTGTAATTTTCACACAGAGTTTGGAGCGACCTGGATCACATCTCTCCACACTGTGCGATGAGGATGGGGAGTTTTGGCTTGTTGTTGGGTCCCGTAGGAACGTTCTGTTGCAAGGAAAGAGCACCGACTTAGAACAAAAACTTGACTCAAAGGCAGCCCTGTCAACTTTACTCCTGACTAAAATAATGCCTGGATATTTATGCACAAGAACTGTCTAATTACATGATGCTATACATGATTATTGTCCCGTATGCTGACGTTTTAAACATCACAAGCGACAATTTTATCATGTTAAACAAGCATTTTATTTATATTTCCAAATATGTGTGTCAAAATTTGGAGACTTAAAAAGTCAGTTTGCAAAGGTGAAAATGCCTTTACATTTAGTTTCTTCTAAAAGATTTATTTCCTTGAGGGACGCTAGGGAGCAGCAAACAAACCCAGGCGGGGATTCTCCGCTCAGGAATATGCGCCTGTGTGATATGCGCTTCAACCACACGGCCATCAGGTCAGCGAAGGACCTTTACATATTAATGAAGCCGCAATTGTTCCATCACCCAGTGGGGACTGTTTTGTTATGCTGCATTTTAGCTTAAATAACTTTCCTTTTGTCCGCCAACAATTCCAGTGTCCCCACTTCAAAGTTTGCTCATTTATAGATTAGTCCGATACTGATCTATTAGTGAAAAGCAACCTCAAAATTAAAAAAAACACATTTAAATCAGTATATAAAGAAATGAATAGTGATGTTTTTACCTCAATTTTCCTCATAATCAGCAAACCGTCGACCACTTTTCCTGAAAGAGTTGTGAATAAGACAGTTTAAGTCTGACATGAATTCATCACGCAGCTCTAGAAAAAGAGTTAATACTGGGGAACAGGGGTGCCCAATCCTGGTCCTCGAGAGCCCCTATCCAGCAGCTCATCATCAAGCTCTGCAGAAGCCTGATAACGATCCTGATCATGTGAATCAGGTGTGTTGGAAGACGGACACATCTAAAACATACTGGATAGGGGCTCTCGAGGACCAGGATTGGGCACCCCTGCTGTAGATTTACTCACCGAAAACAACATGTTTCCCATCTAGCCAGTCACATTTAGTGCAGGTGATGAAAAACTGGCAGCCGTTTGTTCCTGGACCACTGTTTGCCTGCGTAAGACAGATTATTAAGAACGAAACATAATGGTTACTGTGTACTCCTATTGGACGAATTAATCAATTTTTTAGTTTAAACAGCATTGTACAAAATATACAAAAAGGTCACAGGAGCGCCCCCATGTGGAGCTGAGCAAAAATAAAGTACCAAGACTTTTCTTGATTCATTCATTCATTTTACGACTTCATCTATTTGCGGAAGAACCTTCATTTTTGATGGTGTCGAGGCGCATACAAGAAATGTTCAAAAAACTAAATCAAATAGCGATAAAAAGGAAAACATGGCTAGATTAAATAAAACAAGAAATTAGCAAGGTTAAAAAAGTAGAAGTGCAGGAATTGACAGTCAGACAAAGAAGTAAATGAAGTACATAAGAACAATTTAAGAGACAATGAAAGAGATGACAGCTACAATCTAATTGAAACTTTCCCCCTGAATAAACTCCTCGTGACATTTTCCAATTATGTGGGGCACAGCAACAAAAAGCATTCCTTCCTAACTGCATGAGTTTCTGACACCTACTGGATGTGTCATGTCCTTCAGCAGGTATGCTGGCTACCAGTATTGTAGGAAAACAGGGCTGAGAGAGGTTTTGTGAGTTCACTTTAGAAATACACAGATTTAACTTCAACAGTATATGTATGTATAAATATAAAAGTATATGTCTATGGTCATTTTACTTATGTTACAAACCAGCATGTGCAATATTACTCTTGTACACTACATAATGTGTGCAATACCTACTCAGGGTATTTATAATTTTCCTGTTTGTGTATACAGAGTGTTTTATATAATGTGTAATTACTTTATTGTTATATATTTGGACAAAGATTTGTAATTTTTTTTGCTGCTGTGCTTCTTTTTATTCTTTACCTTTGTTTACAAGGCTGACTTTGACAAAGGCACAAATGATTCCAGTATAAACTCTGTTCTATTCAGCATCCCTCCTATCAGTGCATTGATCGACACACTTACCATAGAAAGAAGACCAGGGGCAGAGTGTTTCATTCTGAAGTTTTCATCTGCAAACGGACCTCTGTAGATGCTGCAGATTCCAGTTCCATCCCCCTTCACAGCAGACCAACAGCACACAAAATAAAAACGTTTAGATGCGCTGTAATCCACCACATGACCACTAGAGGGGGGAACGACCAACGCAGTTTCCTTCAGTTCACGTCAATAATTCAGTTGCCTGCTATTGTGGTGACATGTAATTAATTTATTAGGTGTGACTCAGGAGTTAACAACAGAAGGACAATTATTTATTGTTATTTAAAATGAAAAGTGACAGTCTTTTTTGTTATATCAAATGTATCACTTAATTTATATTTACTTATTCTATTCATGGAAAAATCTTCCTCAACTATCCAATACTGCCACACTCAAAGCAGGAATCCCACCAGAGATTACTTTTGGTTTCCATAACGCTCCATTTGCTTTCACCCTGTCTGGAAAGATTCTGAAGAACCTGCTGCGTATTTATTATTCATAAGAACGTGAACTTTCATTGCGATGGTGTAAGACGTGAGGGTCCATAAAGTTCTGATATTTATTGTAGCCTTAATCAAAGGCACATGTATGAAACAGGACTGATGCAAACTGCTAAAGCTGTGATTGTTGTTGTCGTGGAACCATAAAGATGTGTGCATGTACTCACATTTACAAAGTCTCCTCCTTGTATCATGAAGTCTTTGATCACCCTGTGAAAGGACAATGAAGAACATCGCAGTAGAATCAGTTTGGGTAAAGTAAAAGCTCACCTGTGAGAGCAAGATGTTGTTTGAAAAGCAGCGGTAAGGCATGCTGATACACTTTTTATTTATTTTTGTAACTTTTCACCTGATCAGTGTCCAAAACAGGCACCTTATGATTGTAAATTGATAAAATATTACCAACATCTGAGAGTGCTGAACCCTTTTTATAGACTCTGTAGTGTAATATATATTTTTCATGGTGCCTGTTCATTATCAAGCAGGCAACTAACACCACAGCACCCTTGAGAATGTACTTTTAATGTGATTGTCGCCTCTCTTTCTATTAAACCGAAAGCATCTGATTGTGTCGCTTCATGCCTAAAAGTGGCGAAGGCAGTCTCACGAGGTCACATCTGATATCTTCTCTTTATCATTTTCAGACAAATATGAACTGCATAAAAAGATAAGACTTGCTCAAAGAGCAAACTGGTTTTTGCAGTTACTCCAGTGCAGTGGTTCTCAAACTTATTGAGCCACGACCCCCAAGATAACATAAGTTTGTGTTCGTGACCCCCCAATTTGAAATCAATAACGTTGTTGTTTATGCATTAACACATTAATTTTATTTTAAATGAATGAATGTATTGAATTTATTTTGAACAAATGAAAGGGGGAAAAAAATAAAAACAAAAGAAAATCATTTTAAAAAGAGCATTACAAAAGAATAATAATATCGTATAATCAAATCATAACATTAACAAGTTCAAAAAAGCAGTGGGAACAAGTATATGCTTTTATTTTGACAGCCCTAATACAAATTTATTTGACAAATGTCGGCTTTTATTTAGTTATTTGTTTTTTTACAATGATCTGGCGAGCCCCTGAAATGATCTTGGGACCCCCATGGAGGTCCCGACCCCCAGTTTGAGAACCACTGCTGTAGTGATTAGTGAGGTTAGTAATAGGAATGCAATAATTAAGCTATTACTGCAAATATCCGACTGTGAGATGCACACCTATTTAAAACCATATTAAAACAAACAGACAACAACAAAAAAAAAACACTTGTTGTGATAAAATAATATTTGACTTCAGTAAATGGATCAGACTTTGACAGTAATAAAACACATCTGGACACCTTTGACAGGATCCAGGACTCAATCTGAGGACGGCTGTAATCTGGCAAATGATAAACTGCAGCTTATCAACCGTGTCGGTGAAAACTCTTCTGTCTGAAGTGAGAAACAGTACAGAGTGACCTGCTGTTACACCCTGACTGTTCCTCCACGTTGATAAGCTTAATCACAGCTCCAGTCTTTGTTTTTTAGTCGCTCCTTGAGCCTTGATGAACTCTCCAATCTTGCCTTTGTGCAAATACTGCAGGCGTAGCTTTGCTCAATCACTCACTGTTAAAGGTGTATCTGAATGAAACCATGAGGAACATTAAAACATGACCCACGTCTGGATGGCAGAAGGCTGACACGTTAACAGACGGATGAAGCCAGCAATGTTATGTCTTTCATGTCTGGAAAGGGTTTATCCATCCTGGATATTACTGGTGAGTACAACGAAAAACAACAAAAATAATCAAAAGAAACCCAAGTTTGAAAATGTTGGTTAAATGTTTGAAGCTCCTGCAGATGCTATTATTCATTTCTGTGTCCCGGATTAAACTTGTCATTTTGCCTCTGGACCAAAAACACCCGTAAACTGAGGGACAGAAATAGCCTGAATGCCAAACCTGACAGTGGAAAATAATTAAGCTGGTTAGTAAGACGCTGCTCAAAAGTCAGTCAGGTTCAATAACCTCACAAGCCATGTGAAGGTGGGGCTTTTTCAAGTTAAAATAAAACCTTCCAACATACAAAAAAAATAAAAAATCATAACAATGTAGAGTACAATGGAGGCTGCACAAATCAGGCTGCCATGCTGCGTACCTGTGGAAGGTGCAACCTTTGAAACCGATAGGAACGCCGTCCTTCCTGCAGCAAACACAACAGAACTCGTTAGCGCCGACAGTAAAACACTGCATTTATATTGACACTCGACCTCGTCTGCTCTCCCGTCGATTGTTGCAGCCGGGCTGTGACAGGTGCATCCATCCACTTATTACAAAACAGGTTTGTCTATGTTTCAATCAATCAGACTTTATAGAGCACTTTTAATGAAAATGAAATGGAACACAATGTGCTTTACAGATAACAAGTAGAAAAGGTCATAACAAGGAAACAATACCACCCACAAGCATCATGATATGAATGACTGACTCAATAAGAACAGGGACTGGGAGCCTGAAAAAACAGCATCAAACCTAAATGCAATGCGGAAACACCAGAGGCGGCGTCAGGCAAAATGATAAGAGCAAGATAAGTCGGTAGCAACAGGGAAGTCATGAAGAAAACAAACAAACAAAAAAAGGATTAAGTACAGGTCAAAGTTCATAAAGTAAAATAAGAAAATCATTTAAAAAATGAAAAAAAAAAACTTAAAAAAGGATTAAAATATGTAAAAATAATATATATATAACAAATCAGTTACAAAAATAGTGATCGTACTAATTGAATGGAATCGATAATAAGCCAGACTAAACATTCAGGTTTTGAGTTTGTCTCACAGCTCAAAGTATCACCAGTGTCTGCTGCTCTCAGGTCTTCTGGAGCCTGTTTCAGAAACGTGGGACAGGATAACAAAATGCTGCCTGACTGTCAGTTTTTCAGATTTGAATTTTTAAGAGTTTACAGTAAATGGGTCATCATTAAAAATTTAAGTGGGACAGAACACACATCCTGCTGCAGGCCAAGAAACAACCATGAGCTGGCAGCTATTCTACACCATCATCATTCTACTGCAGCCGGCTCAGGCTTCTGTAAAAATGCTCTTGAATTTGATGTAGCGATTGTTTTCTGACCATTTTTATACAGCGACGGTCACATGGTCAATATTTCTTTAACCTGAGTGAAATCATTCCAGCTCAACTATTTACATGAATGCTGAATAAAGGATCCAATAAGCTTTATATGTCCACAAGGATTTAATCTGAATATACGTTTTTTTGACAAGTGGTAAGAGGTTCTTTCTGATGTGAGTCGCATCTGCCGCAAACATGACCGAAAAAGTTTGTTTTCCAACTTTATTGAGGCATTTTATTTAAATCAATGGGAAGAAAATGAACAAAATCGACTCGCATTGTGTCCTGGGAACAAATTCTTTTGTTCTTTCTACTGTCCTTCAAATATTAATCAGGGAGACAGAGCAGGAAAACTTCAAACTTGGTGCTCCTTCCTCTGCCAGCGACCACCGGATATAAAACCCGAAGCAAAGCCTGGTGGGAGAGTGTTGGTCTGATGGACTTTGCTGAACAGTCATGGAATGTTGGGTAAACAAGCGCAACTCAAAAAATTAGAGCATCGTAGAAAAGTGAAATATTTTCCATCATTTATTTAAGAAAGTGACAATTCAATATGTTCTAGACTCATTACCTGTAAAGTGAAATATTTTAATCCTTTTCTTATGATAATTTTGATGATTATGGCTTAAGCATCTCAAAATATTAGAATATTTTATTTCGAGTTTGAGAAAATTACTACTCAAACGGTATAAATACCGCATATCTTTGGGTCGAGTTCAGAACGCACGACCAAGATCAAGACTGCTGACTTGAAAGTTGTCTGGAAGACGTTTATCGACAAGCCTCCACGAGGAGTTCAGGCTGCAGAAGGTCACCGCTTCCAAAGGCTGGCAGAGTGCTGAATTGACGGGCATTAACGGAAAGTTGACTGGAAGAAAAAAGAAAGCGTGGTAGGAAAAACTGCACAATGAACAGGGATGACTGCAGCCTTGAGAAAACCGTCGAAAAAAGTCGATTCAAGATGTTGGGAGTGCGTCACGAGGAGCTACAACTGCTGTTTTGCTGTTTATGCGGTTATAATGTTTTCCTATTTCAGATTTTTAATCTGATTGAGCAATTCTTATATTATCAGCGGATTATTAGGGTCCATGTAAAAGCTAATATTGACACGGAAAGCAACTTTAAAAAAAGATCCAAGTAGAATTTTCATACAATAAAGCCACAGAGAACTCAGCACCTTAGTTTAAGAACCACTGACGTATGAGAGCATCACAGAGGAACACTGTTGGCTCCTGAAACAGATTTTTACTCCTTCCTTGGCTTACAACATACTGAATATTTATCGGCCACAGTGACTCAGAACAGCTGCCAGTAACAGCGCAGCTCCACTGAGCTGTTTAATAGATGGAAGTCCACGTGAGAATAAAAGCCTCTTTGGATTTCTTCCAAATAAAGATGTGCAAATAATAAAGATGGCTCATTCGAGTATTTGTTTTCTCTTTGCACAGAGTTTGGCCTTCATGGCTCTGGCAGGTTGTTGCAGCTCAGTGAGTATATACAGGTAGTTTTTGGCACATTTTAAGAGTTATATAAAAATATGTTTTGCGCTATAGGACAAATCAGGTTGAAGGAAACGCTTAGGCCGAAGTCTGAGGGCAGATTGATAAACATTACTCCAGAAAGCTGTGAAAAACAAACTAATCTACACAGTACTTTGGTATCATTGAGTTGAATTATTAAGAAAACATGGCAGAGCTACAAGTGATAATCTCTTCCTTCACCTTGCTGCACTCCAGTCACAGTGATACGTCCCCAGTCCTTTACCAGGCATATGCGTGCCTACAACCACCCTTTGAAGACCTGACTGAGCAGGTATGTTGCCAACAGAAACCTGTTGTGCTGACAGAAATTCTATCTTGTGTTCCAACTGCATTCAAGCGAACAATGTCATATCATAAAGCCTAGCAGTTGCCAAAAAACACATCGGAGTACCTGTGAAGACAATGGGCTGGTCTACTGGATGGGCAGGATGATTCAACAAGCGTTTAAAAGACAAAGAATACATGCATGTAAAGCCTTACCTGAACTCTCCAGTGCAGAACTGCCTGTAAGAGATGAGAAGACATGTTGTAAAACTTGCAGAGAAGTCCTTGCTGGCATATACATCCATTATCTATACACCGCTTAATCCTCACTAGGGGGGCTGGAGACTATCCCAGCTGACTCAGGATGAAGACAGGGGACACCCTGGACAGGTCACCAGTCTATCACAGGGCTACACTTACAGACAGACAACCAAGCACACTCACATTCACACCTACGGACAATTTAGAATCACCAATTAACCTCAACATGTTTTTGGACTGTGTGGGAGGAAGCCGGAGAACCTGGAGAGAACCCACGCTGCACGGGGAGAACATGGAGACAGAAAGAACCCGGGTGTCCTCACCGGGACGCGAACTTGCGACTTTCTAGCTGCGAGGCAACGGTGCTACCAGCTGCGCCACCTTGCAGCCCTACAAGTATAGAACTCTTTTTTTTTTTTTAAGTTATTTTTTTGGCCTTTGTGCCTTTATTTGAGAGTGCAGTTGAGAGAGACACTGGAAAGTGGGGGAAGGACCTACGGAAACGGGCCATGAGCAGGATTCAAACTCATGACCTCCGTGTCAGGGACTACAGCCCCTGTACATGGGACGCAGGTGAGCTATAGCGGCGCCCTCAAGTATAGAACTCTATTGGAGGGACAAACACTAGAATTCCAAAAGATATGGCCTCATAGTGGACTTTTTTTTAGCCTTTATTCAATTCAATTCAATTTGTATCGCGCAGTTTACAACATCACATAACATAGTAACTTATAGCTCAAAGAGGAGAGAGACAGGAAACATGGGGAGAAGAGTGGAGGAAGGACCTGCTGTAAATGGTCTTGGGTCGGACTCGAACCCCGCTGCGTCAGGGACTACAGCCCATGAGTCCCCCGCCCAACCTGCTGAGCTATCTCCTGGTCCACAATGTGTTTAATTACAGTCGTCCTCAAATGCATTCATCTCTTTCCAGGAAAGAAAAGGCAAAATTCACTCAAATAGTCACTCAAATAACTAGAAAATGAAAAAAGTAATAATAAATAAAAATGTGCTCAATTATAATTTATTGAAATAAGACTTTGCTTTTGAATTGTGGTTGAGAGGAATAGAAAAAAAATCAAATTAAAAAAAAGGCCCTGGAGCACTTTGCTGACGAACAGTGGGCCAAAATCCAAATACCTGTCAACAGGTGCAGAAGTCTGATTGAGAGTTACAGAAAACACTTGATTGCAGTGATTGGCTCAAAGGGTTGTTCAACTAAATATTACTTTACGGGTCCCATTATGCTTGTTGTTGTTTTTCCCCTTTTAATATTTCTGTTGAACCACAATTCAAAAGCAATGTCATGATGTTCATTACATTTTTATTTAGTATTCCTTTCGTTGATTTCATCTTATTTCAGTGACAGCTGTTTTTTTCCTTCTTTAATGGGAGGGTATGAATAATTTTGAGGACGACTGTAGGTGGACTGAGAAGATGACAGCATCGGATTCAAGCATTTAGTGACTCCCCCTCGTGCACTACGGATGGAGGCGCTGTCATCCTGGAAGATGCCTCTCCCATCAGGATAGAAATCTTTCATCACCCAGAACCCATTTGTAATAATTTGCAGCGTAGGGTTCAAGGTTTTCCTTTAATCTGTCACACATTTGAATAAGGTGGCGACTTTAGTAAAAAACAAAAAAAACAAACACACACATCATGTAACTATGAGAGCAGCCTGTGACCCAGACTGCCTCCTTACCGGAAATTCTCTGCTGTCTTTGGGACCACATCAGCAAACAGCTCAACCTTCATCCGTCCGACATCCTGACAGACAGGTGAGAGAGTTAGAGGTTGGAACATGCAAAACAAGATATCAAATGAAGACAGAAAGAATTGCATTTAAAAAGACACACAGAGGGACACAGGGTAGCTCCACTCTGAACCAAAAACACCTGGATGAACTGAAGTGGATCATTTTCAGTACCCGGAAGCTGTTCTACATGATGCCGGCAACTGGAGCAACCAGTTACACAGACTTTGCCACAGCATCCATGTATGTTTTTTTTACATATAATTTCCATTGAATATAGGAACTATATTACATAGAGAAGAACTCTTTTAATTTTCCCCCCTTGTGCACAATGAGCTTATTCGCTGTTGACTTTGAATGTAAAAGTGAAGTAGATTCTGTTTGATCATAACAACACCAGCTATTTAGTCCCAGTTCTGAAACCACTTAGTCGTGGTCAAAGCATCCATAATAGAGGGATGCAAATGAAAAGCGCAACAGTACTGATGCAGCACTTTACTGGACGTAAAATCGTGAGCTTTGTGCCGATACGTGTGCGTCGGTTGCGTTGGCGTCTCTACGCTCAGGCCTCTCACAACACGGAGGCAAGTGGCTATTACAACAATGAGCGTGTGTGTGCGTGTGCGTGCAGACAAAGTGCTGCTGTACAAAGATGTGTTTGTCCTCGTGACATGGCTGCACAACTCCTCCTTCACTCCATGCGGACGACTCGCAGGGCAACAATCAGCCACTGGATCTCTACTCTTATGTGCGATTCAGACAATAAAGTGTTTCTTTGGTTTCCAGGCAAAAAAAGAAAAAAAGGGTGTTGACACAGAGCAAACATCAAGCATTTCATCTGCTGAGGGATTTGTCTGGTTGGAGTCGTCTGACGTCCACTGAAGCATCAAACAGCAGGTAAGGTGGCTTTAACATAAAATCAAGCATTTCTGAAATACAGATTCGGGCTTTTGAATTTTGAAGGATGCGTGCTGTTAAACACTTCTTGTTTTTTCTTTTTGATTCGTTGAAATAGAAAAGAAAAACTGCAAAGAAGATCAGAAAGGGTATCAAGTACCCCGATAAGGTCAAGAGATTTACTTAATCATGCTGAAAAAGTTGAAATCCCAGGAACACTAATATCCGCCACACCCCTGGCACTTCATGAAGCCAGGAGTTTATGCTAATGTCCACACCATAAGCAAACACAACAAACACACCTAGTCACACTCCTGAGGCTAAAACGCTTTGCCAAAGCTAACTTCTCAACAGACTTCACTGACAGCACGCTATAGGAGGTGCTTTTGTCACCGTCAGGTAAGATAGTATTTCTGGGTCGCAACCGCAGGCCTTCAAGATTCAACAATGGATGCTGGTTTCTGGGGTTCGTGTGTCATTGTATAGTGGTGCAAGTGAACAAACTGGTTAAAGGGTGCGGTGGCAGTTAGCAGGTATTGTTAGCAGACACCGTATTCATCCATATCATCCGATGTATTTTTTTTGTCTTGGTTGCAGAATATACAAGTCAACTGAGGCCCACAGGAGGGAAAACAAGGCAGCTTCCTTGAAGACACAGAAGGCGTGTCCCATCATTATGTGTGCCAATTCACAATTGCAAGGTGGAGCCACGAAGAGCTCCCTAAAAGCAAACTCCTCCACCTGAAAACAGTCACACACTCGCAGATGAAAGAGCCTCGAACTTACATTCCTGGACAAGAGTTAAACACCTGAAGCTCTGCTGAAACTAGCTGGACTACCAGGACGACGCTGGGCAGAGAGGTACAGTCTCACGGCCACATGTAGCTTTTTCTTTCAGTTTTCACATTTCTTACGTTAGTGCTGTGTGCTTGAAACGGCAGAACTGGTTTCACCTGTCATCAATTGAACAAACAGGAGGAATAAGATTCTTTAGATTCAGGACAGTGTGCGTGTATGCTGCTCAACATCATTGCTGTCAGACGTTGGCACGCAAGTGACTACATGTGCAAAAAAAGAGAAGTCTGAATTAATAAATAGGATCACAGCGTCATTGAGTTTAAAACTTAAAGGTGTCTCAGAATCGCATTGATAGACTTAATCTGAATTTTATTTGGTAGAGAAAAAAAGATAAGTTTCACAAATGTACAATGTCCTGTGCTAATCTGGAGGAACACACCCCAGTGTTTTTGCATTTAATTCAAATGTTTTCCGTCTGAGGCTGCTCTGTTTAAATCGGTTTGACTGGTTCCTCGTTTTCCTCATCCCTAGAAAACAAACCTAGACACAAGTCTGCCAACTGCTCTACACCGACTAACACCTTGCTCAACAAGTAATTCAAATCAAACCTCTCTTTTTTTTTTTTTTAAAGAGCAGACATGACAAAGCACTTCACAATAAAGACAAAGAAAGCAAGAAGCCAGAGTTCCAAAACATAAGAACTGCAAGATAAGATACTTAACAGTAGCAAGTGTCAGCAACTGGGTCTGATGCTGTTTCTGTAAGGCATCCACAGCGTCAGCAGATTTGACATTTTGTTGTTTTTACTTATTGCTGCTACTGTTCGTCGACCATTTGCGAGTTCTTAACCAATTGTACTGTGTCATTTACAGCACTTCCAGGAGCGTCTTCATACTGAACATAAATGCTGCCGTCAACGCCGGAAGCTAACCACAGCGTCAAAATGCTTGCCATTTTAGAGCAGTGGGACCAGGCGTCTGGCTTTCACACAGACTACAGTGAAAAGTATTTTTTTCTTTTGCTCTTCAAGTGTGGAATGGACGCAGTGGTCTACTACGTGTGGTGCCGGACACATTACAAATCCCTGTTAAGCATGTGCAGCCTGTCCATCGCGCTGGCTGACTTTGTGATGTTGCTGTATATGGCGACCATGTGGTTTCTTGGGGTTGAAATGTCTGTTGTGTCACCCTGCTTCTTTTTGGCCAACGCTGCAGCGACATATGCAGCCCTCCCGCTGCCCATGATGGTCCTGGGTTTACTGGATTACTGTTTAGAAGACACGTGTGTCAGCAACCACAGAACCTCCTGCAAACTCCTCAGGAACGCGGTCCTGACACTGCTGGTTTGGGTGCTTGCGGTTCGTTACTCCTTGACTTCTGTCAGCGCAGAGCCGATGGAGCTGCACGACAAGACAGGGGTGTCAGCTCTGGTGTGTGAAGTGGAGGAGTCAGCACTGGCTACCTACTTCGTTGTGGCGCTTTTCAGTGCAACAATTTTCACAATACCACTGTTTTGGTCAAGTATTCCCCAGTGGCTGAAAGAGGCTGACAGGTTATCTGACGCAAGGGAGAAACACGAGAACAACAAGAGCGACTTGTTTGTCACTTCAACCCCCTGCATGGAGGCAAAAAGCAGTGAGGGGAACTATCTGGAAGAGAACATCAAGCAGCGACCGCCTCTGTGGTTCAGCCTCACGCTGGGCTTTGGTGTGTTTTGGATGCCTTATCTTGCCTTGTGTGTGGCCTGCTTGGTCCTTGGCTTTGCAGTACCTGCCTACATCTCCGTGAATCTCCTGTTGTTGGAATGCGCCAACAGTCTGCTCATAGGTGTAGTGTTCTGGGTGAAGAGCAAGACGCGAGGGCCCTACAGCCATCTACCAGAAAACGTGTGCACATGGAGAGTTTACTGGCATTTGAGCCAAGGAATGCAACAGAAGCAACTCCCTGTAGCTGTGTTTAACCCATCAAAAGGGAAGAACAACAGTTACTTCAATGTGTGAGGAAATGCAACAGACCTACACTTATGATGGAGGAAAGGGAGTTCATAAAAATGAAGACGCACCTGTGAATAGTTTACCTGTGTGACTGCTGCTTAAGATGCCTAAAGGGACTTATGGCTGACTGCTAAAAATCCTGGACACATAAAGCAAAACGTTGCTGCAAACTGTTATTCTTTGAAGAGTTGTTCTGTGGTTATTAAGCTAAACTTTTATAAATGAAGAAAAATATGTTATTTGTGGAGGATTGAATTTACTGCACACTCAATACTCAATATAGACATGAGGGAAATGCTTTGTGACAACTTTCTGTTGTAAACAGTTGTGGTTTCATAAACTTTTAATAAAACATAATGAAAAACAGTCTTTCACTAAACCTTCTTTTTCTTCTATCTTTTGCTTCAATTGTTCTGTGTCAGATGATTCAAAGAGGTTCAAACGTCATTATTTAATTTGATCAAACACTCCACAACAGCTACTTTTGGACTTGTGATATAATCATTAAAAAAAAACATAAAAATATATAAAACAATATATCTTTAAAAAGTATCTTGGAACACAAAACATTTTTTGACTTTTAAACTACCATACTAGGATAACATGATATCTGGAGTCCAACACACCTGCATGCAGTTTTAATACATTTGAGGATGACTGTATGTTTCCTCCAAGCATGAAATCTGTTGTCTTACTGTCTGCACAAGTCTAAAGGAAACTTCCGTTCAATTCTTCTGGTACATTAGAGAACGTGAAGCTAACACAGACATTAGGGTGTAGTGATGCAGCATTCTGGGAAGTCTGATGACATAGAGCTCAGTGCACAGAAAACAACGGCTCCGGTATGGAGGCTCATTGAAATCTTCTGTCTGTGGCAAAAATCAGAATTTCAAACGCGGTAAACGTTTGACAAGTGTTTGGGCAAAATCATAATCAGCAGCTTCAATACGGTTTCCTTGTCCGCTTTGAAATTATAGTGCAAACAATCCAGCAGCACCGCCTCCAAACGGGACCAGGGCGGCTATAGCCACTGCGGTGTTTGAGCGCAAGTGACAGCAGCATCAGCTGACTGCAGCAGCTATGTGCAACTACGCCCAAACAGCAGCCAGCCTGAAGTGTGGCCACCCACAAACATCACAGAGATTGCTAAAGACACCATTTGTGCCTTTATTTGACAGGTGACACAAAGACCTTCAAAGATTAACAGAAGCTGAAATTTAGTTTGTTGCTTCCACCTGTTGCCAGGATTTTTCTTCCCCTCTAAATTAAATACCTTTAACATCAGACAGCAGCAGGATCCAAATGAGCATCTCCAAAGTGAGAGAGTTGTGCACATTTATGCACACAAAAGTAACGTCATTGATTACTTATAAATAATTATCACCAGCACAGACACAGGATCGATAGGATCTAAATGACACTGTACTTTTTTCACCTCAGACAGGTGAGTGGTCACACACAGTCACAATTTGTCAGCTAGTGCCAAATCACCTCTTACACAGCTGCATCCTGAGCATCATTATAGTTGAATGTTATTTTATAATAATAATAATAATAATAATAATAATAATAATAATAATAACAATAATACATTTTATTTATAAAGTGCTGTGGACGCTCAAAGACGCTGTACAGTGAATAAAAACAACATGCAAACAAACAAACAAATAAATATTTTACTGCTTAAGTCAGGTACTTTAAGTACAGTCATAATCTTTTCCTGTCATATTCATTTATATGAGATAGATTTGGCTTTGTATCATATCAGGATACTTGCAGCATTTATATTATTATGCATATGCATGTGCTATAGAATATTACCTCTCTGATCAACAAAGAACTATTCAAATATGGCCAAGTAACAATGAATTTGATAAATTATCATCACACACTGACAAAATTCTCACTGTTGAAATCAACTAATAAACTATGGATGTCTTGCCTGAAGGTGAACTCATTCCCATCAGAATTCCTCAACTATATCGAACAGTGGTTCCCATAGTAACCAAAATGTAAACTGTACCTGCATTGATCTATGCAAGCCAAACAGTAAGTATCATGAACTTTAAAATAAGAAAACAAAGTATAACAGTATGTGACTTATAAACTCTCATTCTGACAGTTTTTTACAAAAAAACCCCTTGACTACAAATTCAGTGACCCCATCCAGCTATCCGTATAAAACCTTTATGGAGATGTCCCTGCATCTCACAACAATATAAACCACTAAAGGAAAAACGCATATCTTCTTTTAGATCACTTCTTAAAACTCAGTTTTGCATGATTGCTTTAATGTGGTTTTGTCTACTTTATTAGCTCATTCTAACGCTGATTCTGTGCTCTCTTGTAAGTCACTTCTTAAAACACATTTTTATCGGAGAGCTTTTCCTGATTTTATTTAAGTTTTAATTGTTATAGCTTCTTGTTCTATTTGTACGCTTTCTATTTTAACCTTATTCTGTGTGCTTATTTTATTTCAATTTTAATTTATTTTTATTGGAAAGCACTTTGTAGCATTTGTTTTGAAAAGTGTTCTATAAATAAAGTTTATTATTATTACTATTAGCACTATTATTATTATATATTTTCTTTTACTCATTCATTTATGTATTTATTTTATTTATTTATTTTATTTATTTATTTATAACAATCTTTTTCTTCTTTTAAACCTTTGTTTTATTGTTTTACTCCCTACTTTCTTTCATTGTATTTTTTTTTATTTTATTTTTTTATTGTAAATCTTTTACCATGTTTAACTTTTTCTTTCTGTTTGGGCTTCTGTTGTTCAGTGGTCTTCCTTTGCATCCTCAATTTCTGGCCTTTGAAAACTCTGGTTTAAAAAGGTATTATAGAAATAGTTACTATTATATTTACCATTTATGTGTGCTAATACGGAGCAGCCTAAATACCGTTAGCATGGTTTACTAGCTTTACAACTTGTAACCAAAACGTGCCTTTATGTCGGTAGAGATGTGGACGTTAATGTGACGTTAGCTAAGCTGTTAGCTCGTCTCCGTGTTTTACTCACCTGCCCTCCGATGGTTATGTCGAAGAAGACTATCGGGTTGTTGGGGTTTGTAGCCTGAACTGACATTATGACACTTTTTAAGACTAGAAAATAGACAGTTTGTCCACAGACGAGCGAATCATTTGAACGTCCGGCACATGCGCTGTCAAGACCTACGGTGGCCTCCGAGGGCCGTGTTACGGGTCGCAGTTGGGGACACAAAACGACCGTCGCTTAAAAGCGCGATAGTAAAAGCAATGGAATATTCCACCAAGGAACCCTCTGGCGGTGGTCCATTTCCTATTATAAATATGTAGGTAAGTTGCAATGACCTTATAGAGCCAGCAATTCTGATTTAGTAGAAATTTTATTTGCATTAAAATATTTTATATATTTTATTTGCATTAAAATATTTTATTTGCATTCAAATACCCGAAATGGTCGTTATGTTAATTTGTGTTGGTGCTGTGTTGTTTTTTCTAGTATAACAATTTCCCTGAGGTTTTATACCGAAGGGATCAATAAAGTTTTATTCTATTGTATTATATTCTATTTAGATATGTCTAAATGTAAAAACCTTTCCAATTATCTTTTGTAAAAGCTAACTCAGGCTTACAGGGTGTTTGTAAAATGGCACATGTTCCTCATGCACCAAAAGACGTGCTGTTACTTCTGCAGAATGCCAGAAAAATAATGTTTAGTTTAAAGAATGTATGAGTCTGTGGTTTAGTTGTGTGATAGACATTGTGCAGTTCTTTCTGTGATAAAAGATTCAAATCTGCATCATTTTACAACAATTTTAGCATTATTGTTGAAAGATTTATAAGGGGCAGGTTAGAGTATTTAATCTTATGTATAATTAAAAACAATATATAGAGACTACATTGCTGTCCGTTAACCTGTGAGCACTGCAATAAACACTATTACACTTGTAATATCCAGCTGAGACTAAGTGCATAAACATGATTATAGAAGAAAGCAGGAACACCTCTTTCTCAGGTTTGGTCTAAATTGTGTCAACTGGGGTTTTTGTGACCTTGCAGATGTTGCATGAAGTCACTCTCCATCGGCATTGTGCAAAAAGAAAAATGCTCCTATAATGGCCCAAATGCAAGCTTGACTTTCCAAAGAACATGAAAAGACACCCTATGAATGTTTCTATCACATTCTTTGGTCAGATGAAACTAACACAAAGTTGTCTGGATCAAATGGCGTCCAGCATGTGTGATATGAACTTGGGAAAACAATCCAAAGTGAATGTTAAAAATGGAGGCTGCATGAGCACGAAATGTGTAGGGAGAGGAGATACTTACTTATTAAATATTTATAGTATCCTCTATAAAGACAAGAAAAAAAGACCAAGCTTTTTGTTAAAGGTTTTATTTTAACAATAAAACAAAATGTCACAATTTAACAAAATGCAAAGATGGCTCCACAAAAAAATGACAAATTGCAAAGTGACTACAAAGATTTGTCAAAGCTGTACTAAATCATGGTCAAAAAACATTTAGCAATGAAGGTGTTGTCAGACTCTACTAGGCCAGCAGGGGGAGAATTACTACTGAAAGCAAAAAGCTTGGAAAACACTTCTATGTAAAATAATAAGGTTTCTTGACATTCACGCCATATTCTGACAGGGCAGGAGTCAGGTCCTCCATGGTCAGAGTGTACTTCTTGTCCTATGTAGAGAAGGAAATAGCCAGTGAATAAAAAAGATAAAAGCTTTTCAAAGCTGATGATTTAATGTACAAGTTAAAATCAGACAGACACTCACCTTTGTCTTACTTCTTGAGCTTCCTGAGGCGGTGCCCTTCATTTTGCAGTACTGCAGCGCATCATTGGCAATGTCTGAGATAAACTTCTGAGAAGCAAGGGAGATCAGACGGATTCTACAGAGGTAAAAAAGAAGACAATTAACATTGTGTTTTCCCCACTATCTGTTCACAGCCAACCTGTGACTTTATTCATCTGGGGGGGAAAAAAAATATGACATGAGGTTAAATAGCTTCTCTGATCTAATTCTTATTTTACACCTACGTGCATAACGACCACAAAGGTGACTGTAAAGAGTCTGTGAGGCTGAAGAGTCTGTGCTTTATGTTTTTTTTTTAAATAAAAAAAATGCTGTGTGCAGGGTTTTTCGTAGCTTCTCGGCCTTTTGGAGGTGACTTGTAATTACAGCAGAGCATGATCGATCCATGCATAGTGAATCTGTGTAACCTCATTTGATAGAAATCGCTAGAAATTCTTGTTATTTCTGGCAATCTGATTAAAAAAAACATGCTTGAGTAAATGAAACCTTAATTAACCCCCGCTCTAAAGATCTGATATGGAGTTTATTTTATTGTATTTGTGCCATTCGCTCATATGATCACGTGCAATTCTGTTCTGTGCAATATGTAATTCTTACCCTTTGAAGCACTTTTTGTTGACTGTTGTCGTCATGTATGGTTGTTTTTGTGCTTGTTATATATTTGTTGTATATGTGCAGCTGCATCCGGCACTGATATCCCAAGACAAATTTCCTTCGGGACAATAAGGTCCATCTCATCTCATAACAAAACTGGGTTATTATTAACATTGTGGCCCTGTGATGTTCCTCTGGCATTGGCTAAAACATCTACAGGCAGCACTAAAAATTCTGTTACGCAAGAAAACCCCTCAGTTGATAAAACAACAGTCAATCTAACATGTTACTTTTTCTCGGATTGCAAAAACTTCTCACTCTGCAAAGCACATAATGTTCCAAAGACTCTTACCGGACGGATCTAAATTCAAACAACACTGCTTTTCTAACAGGCATTATTAAAACTTTTGTTTTTTCCAAATTACTGCTGCACAAGAAGCCGATTTAGTTTCCCAAGTCTGTATAAACATAAAGAAAGATTCTAAATTGGTTTCAGATGTGCATCAGTCCCATTTGTTGCACCATTTACTGAAGTTGTCAAACATAATTCCCAGTTATTCTGTTTCAATTGACAAGCTGTGGTGCAGCTCTGTCTCATTTCAGGTTATTCATTATACACAAAGCAAAAGGATCTCAATAGGCTTTTGAAGACTCTGTATATGCACTGCCTGGAAGCTTACAAAACATTTTTTATAAAAAACATGAATATTAAAAGCGCAAAACACAGATACAAAAAAGGGTTATAGAGTACACTGCAAAATCTAAAAAGGGGGCGATAACACTAACTTCTAAATGTGACAGCTGTGATCTTTGAACAGCATTGTGATTTGTTACATTTTGTGTTTTGGGGTATCCGGCTGACCCACGAACACAGTTAGCCTATGCTTCATGCACTTACATTCTTGGATCAGAAGCCTCAAAGCCAGCCCGGTTGAGGTAGTAGCCTGTAACTGCATCAGGAATCTGAAAAAAAAAAAACACCATAAAAGACTTATTTATATGTGAAAAAATAATGACTATATGGCTGCTATTCAGGGACTAGCAGCTCAGTGAACACATGCAGCATTTTGAATTCCTGGCCTTTCTGACATTGTATCTGTACATTCATGATGTAGTAGTTCTGAATGACTTACTGTAGGAGTGTACTCTTCCAGCTGCATGAGGAAATCCGCCAGGGGTGTGGTGGAGATGGCAGGCTTCACATCTCCGTTGGTGATGCCACCAGGAACGTAGACACCGTTGGAGACAGACGTGTCTGCTGATGGCGCGACCACAGCTGCTGAGGCTGAAGCTGTCATAGAGATTACAAGGATGAGCTTAGATTTTATGAAAGACAAATACATATATACCCATCTACCACATTTCAAAAGCAGAAAAAACTGTTAGATTAGAGTTTAATAGTATTGAGCACAGTCTGTGTAAACCCTGTTTGTACCAACACATGGCACAAAACCTCAGATGCATAAAAAAAGACTTAAAGCTTCCATATTGTGCCTCTTTTCTGTTCACATCTCCCCAGAATGTGTCCTTAAATTTTCAGCTCAAAATATCACAAAGACAATTCATCTATGACTGAGTTAGGTTACACTGACGCACAAAAGGTGAAATAAAAACACAGTAATTCCCCTAAACTTTGCCAGGATTACTAATGGCTCCTAAAGTTTTCACCATTTCCAACTGTCCCTCAGTGATTCAGTGATCCCTAACCCAAGGGTGTACATTTAAAGTTCACAATAACATTGGCTACATTAGTCACGCAACATGCTCATTACATTAAGGATTTTCCTGTCGTTGTAGTCACATTGCCCTTAAAAAAAGGGAATCTACCAAATCTTCAGTTTGTGAGATGTTAGGAGTGCATTAAGGTTCCTATGTTCACTCTTGCAGCTGAGTATTATGCGCGCTTTGCTCGTGACTGACACATTTTAGAGTTAGCAAAAGCAGATCCAGAAAGTAAAGCAACCTGATAGACTGCAAGGCTCATTCTGGATGGCTCATCTTGGATGCAGCAAACAGTGAGAGGGCAGGATTATGTACATCATTCGCTCAAGGAGATTCACTTTCTATGTAGAATCTGCATAAAATTCTTTAAGTCTTGCAAAGCTTTTGGCTATCTAGTAAAAAAGGGGCTTGAGGAATGGAATAAGTGAGCATCTTTATATTCTAACACCTTTTATTTTACATGTCAAAGCTTAATATAGTTTCATAGCTTAAAATCATACAAAGTAAAAAGGGACCTTTAGGGTATATTGTGACAGCGAGGCAGACAAATTGTGACTCAACAGTAGAAACAAAAACTAGCTGATCTGCTTTCTAGGAAATCCTACTTAAGAATGTATTCAGCATGATTGATGCTGGAAATAGGAAACTCATTCACCCCAACTTCAAGCTCTGACGTAACTCAACATGGCAGCGTCCATAAAAGTGGAAAGGCTATAAGTATTTATTAGACAGAGACTTCATCTGACACGTCTAAATTCAATGCACTTGGCAGATTATGTGTGAAATATTCTGATTAAACTGTGACAGCCTCATATAGCTGTAGCTCACCATCCTCTTTTTGGTTAATGTGTCCAAACAAGATCAGCTAACGGTGCTAATATGCTACCTGCCATAAATCAGACGTCTTCTCACGGTCAGCCATGTCAATTTGTTATTATATGTTCAATAGTTGCTGTTTAACGTGGAAATTTCCGACCTCTGACGTGAGACAAACGTATCGTACGTGTCGAGCACACAATAACATGGACAACAACAACAGCCAAAGTCACATTACGTTACCGTTACTCGTGACCGAAGGGATGCTGCTGATGCTGGTTGCTGCATTATCGTTGGCGATGCAGTTACTCGCAGTAGAAGACGTCGTCGATGAGACTCCTGTAGTAACGGTCTGGTTAACGTTGTCTACATTCATGTTGACGTTAGCTAACGCGCTAACCTTGGCTAGCTAGCACAGAGAGAGAGAGATGCCCCCAAAAACCGCGATTCCGTGCGATACAGCTCCAAGTCCAGTCTTTTACAAAGTAGTACGTTCTGATTTAAAACTGCTCGGTAACTCGTATAATATTAAAATCACAGAATCTAGCTGGCATCAGAGCTGTTTGTTGCTATCGTGCAGCAAAAAGCTGAGCTCACGCTACAGTTAATCGCGTCATGTGACCCCGGGCTGTATGCGAGGCTCGTGTCTGACGAAGGAATCCGAAGTTTTCCGAATTCTCTCTCCGCAGAGTTGCGTTTGGGGTCATTTGGCCTTGTTGAAATTCTGAATGTGTTTTACGCGATTTGGATTTTAAATTTATTTGATTTCGTCATATCAGCAGCTAAATATGTACATAAATCTAGTCAAGTCACTGTTGTTCATATGACATATTTTAACCAATAGCCAAAATGCTTTCCCACAGCGATATAAGACTAGCTTGGTAAATTTAGTTGACAACTTTAAATATTAAGATTAAAATCCTACAAAATGATATAAAATACGAATTCATCGAATTTAATCAAATGGTAGGGTTCAGACCTTGAATTATTAATAACTATTAGGTTTACCTGATTAATTTATAAGTCAAAGTTAAGGCACAGCAAAATTGTACATTCTATACAAAAATATCGATATATTTGATATTTATTTGACTCAATATATAGACATTAGGGGAAAAAAATACAATATCTACAAATAGAAAGCTTAAGCTTTTATTAATCTGGCAATACTTTTTATATAAGCCAGCTAAAACATGACTATGGTGACTTTTCTTAGCAAGTTCCAGCAACCTAATTGACTGAAGATCATTTTATTTTTGATACAATATCGAAAATGGATTTCTTTAAAGACAACATGCATTTTGTGATTCTCAAAAAATATTTTTCCTATCCATAAAAAACGAAGAGCAGTGACCTATTTTGATAGTAACTGGGATGTCTTATTTTAACATGATTCAGTTGGCAAAAATGGGACAAAATTAATCCATTTTAAATGGATAATATAAGCATAACATTGATTTATTGATTATTATTATTATTATTATTATGCAATTTTACCACATAATCAAAAAAAAATTGCAATCAACCCGTATTTTCCTCTAATCTTGCAACAAGGTGCGTTACTTAAAGTAAGAAGTGGTAGTTTACGAGGCGCAGTGAACGCATCAGAGGGAAGTGCCGCTGCATTCACTGCAGGTGGCGTCTGAAGACTGTCGAGCTGCTTCGTGGTTGATTATCTTGGACGAAGAAGTGAAACAGCGCCTTGTGGTCGATGTTTTACTGGACTCTGGTACCATTGTAGTCGTGGACAGACACGGAAGACGGACAGGAGGCTGTGACAGCTGTATGGGACAAACCAGGTACTAACAACCGTGTAATAAACTGACAACTACGATTTACTAGAAGCACAGTGCAACACACTTAATACGCTCTCATCCACTGTTTCTGTTTATAAGTCAGTGTTTAAAAACCGATCAAGGTAAATAAGTACACATTTAGATGACGACTAATCTAGAAAACTGTATGTAGAGTGTCATATAGGAAGATTAGACTCCAGGAAGTATCACTGACGGGGACTGTGCAGGTAAATTGTTGGTGTTTATTCCCTCCGGGGCTGAGACAGGTGTGTCTGAGAGGCTTTGATTTGTGTCCAAGTTCCCAGGTTGACAGAATGACTTCTCCTGTCCGTGTGATCGTGGTGGGAGCTGGCTGTCGAGGGGAGATCTACTCCCAGTATGCATCCATCCATCCTGACCGCATGAAGGTGAGGAGAGCTGGTCCTGAGCCTCTGTCTAGTCTATGGTGTTTTTAATGTTTTCATTCAAGTAAAACACGTTTGACAAGATAGCTATGACCAAACGTGTAGAAGAAATAGATCCTCACTGCTTTCTGTAATAATACATGCTGAAAAAATAAAATAAATGCAGTAAACAGGAAACTCCACTCCACTCCAATTGAATTTCCCTTCTGGGATAACTAAAGTATTTTTCATTTCATTTCATTTCACTCTGTCGTCAGGTGAAAGGACAATGATCAGACAGTGTAACCAGACACTCCTTTGAACAGTGACAATAAAAGTCGACCTGAAAATGCAGCTTTATTGAAATGACATGATGCTACTAATGACAAGACGAGAACATGCAGTTGACATGATGGATGCTGCCTGTCTGTTAGAGCCATAACCAGGCACCTGAATGTCCATATCTCCAACATTTGTCATCTCCAACAACATGATCTTGTCCCCGCCGATGTCCACCAACTCCTCCAAGCCTATCAGGAAGAGTGGCACAACATCTTATGAGCCAGCATCGAAAACCTCATTAACTTGTTGCAGATGTGTGGATCTACACTGCAAATGTGATTTTTGCTCGATGACTCCACTCTCAATGTGCTCATTAGTGTTTCCAATGTAACGCCCACTTGGTTGCTTCATGATGTCTGTCATGTTAAATACACAAATATTCATTTCCTGATGTTAAAATGAATGGTTAGAACTTAAAAAAATGTTGCATGCTGGGCTTATAGTTTTGCTCAGGATAGTCTAAAAAAGCTTATTAAATGAAACAGTCCATTAAATGCATCTATATTGATTTCATGCACTTTTGAAGCCCTTGAAATGTTTACATTTTTTAAATACAGGATTTTTGCTCATTTTAGAGCACTTTCTCCTGTTGTGTTGCTTCTTTACTTAAGAAAAACACCAAAATACTTTTTCCACCACTGCCTAGATCTGTAATGAAAAACAGACAACTTGTTTTTTCCACTTTTTTTTCACCTGTTCAGGTTGTTGCTGTGTCTGATCCAAGGAAGTTCGCCCGCACCAAACTTCAGAAGCAACACAACATCAAAGATGAAAACACATTTGAAGGTGCGCATCAGCAGAAAAGCAACTGTACTGAGTAAATGCTAATCATGTGCCTTGAACTTAGTTATTGAATCCTCTTTTTTTCCTAACTAGACTGGCACACTGTCGTTGAAAGAGACAAGTTTGCAGATGCCGTGTTAATTTGCACTCCGGATCGCCTTCATAAGGTAAACACACAACATGTACATTCTGTATGTATGTGTAACAAAAAATTCTAGTCCTCATAACTGGTCTAAATTATTTGTAACCTTTGTATTTGTTCATTTGCTTATAGTTCAGGTAAACTACTTTGCTGCATGTTTTCCAGGAACCTGCTGTGGCATTTGCAAAGAAGGGATACCATGTTCTTCTGGAGAAACCGATGGCAGTGAGTGTTTCATTCTTCATATAAGAAGTCCCTCTGATGGGTGCTACTGATCCCTACATGTTGATTTTACAGTCATTTGTAAAAGTAGTTTTTCATTTCTTTTTTTGAAATGGAAATGAACTTTGGTTTGTAATTCTGGATTTTGATTTAAATTCACATTTTAAGAAACGTTTTATGTATTTTTCATCACTGCAGTATGATTTCAGTCTTTCCGTTCAAAACCCCCCCATACCTTCCTGTCACTAACATGTCCATCTGTCTTTAGACAACTGCAGAGGATTGCACAGTGATTGTGGAGGCTTGTGTTCAGAGTGGTGTGATGCTGTCTGTGGGTCATGTTCTCCGCTACGATCCACTCATCCACAAGATTAAGGTGAACATTGTCTGTTCCACTCACTTAATCCAAACATTTGACAGTTGTCTTAAATAGTCAACAGTAACAGTTTTTGGAATCAAGTATGTCAACTTCAGTGTCATGAAGCCTAAAGGACCAGTTAGCGCCTTAATCAAATCAGCAGCACACTTACAGGATATACAGATCAATCAGCAAATACAGCTTCTCACATGTTTTGGTTTGAGTTTTGTTTGATTTCTACTGAGAAGAAAAGCAGTTCACTTAAAAGAATGCCCAAAATTGCAACAAGTTGTCGTAACTCACGAGGCAGTAAAGTTAATAAACTATCCAGTGCTTGTCCTGTTAAAGTTCACTGTGAAGCTAAGACTGAACTTTAACCTGATTTAACCAGAAAGCTTAAGTGTGTTGTTGTGTGATAAAAGTATTAACAGTGTTTCCTTAAAGTAGAGCAGGTGGTGAAGATTACATACTAAACAGTCATTAGGATTCTGCCTTGTTTTGGTCTTAAAAATGAAAATGAACTGATCTTTTTCTAGGAGCTCATTGATGCTGGAGTCGTTGGTGATGTGATCCATATTCAGCACCTCGAGCCGGTAAGAATGAAGCAAACACAGTGAAAATAGTAATATTAGTCTCTGTGTCTTGTGGTGAAAAAAACATTAATGCTTTAATTTATAAATGATAACAGTAATAGTCGTAATATTCTTTAATGCAGTTAGTCGGTTGTGCTTCCAACAGACAGATCATCTCTGTGTTTGGAACCTTGATTTAGATCCATATTAGATTAGAGGATCGGAATGTTCAAAACGACTGCTGTTGTGAAATTTCCCAGAAAAGTCTTTCCACTGTTCTCCCTGTCAGGCTAACCCTGGATGAGGACACATCATTCTTATTGAACCTCATTTAACCCGTTCATGTAACGGTAGCATGTTTATGTAATTTGTATAAAATGTTAGAAGAAACAGATTAGAATCCTTTTGATGCTCTTTCACCATCATGCTGGCGTCTGTTACTTTATGTCTCAGTACACACATTCTTGAACATGATAAACCAAGAATCATAGAGACACAACTCAATATTGTATTTACACCACAGCTCACCCATATGGAGTAAATAACTGGATTTAATGTAGTCACAGCTCCATTACTCTGTTTCTTCTCAACGTGTCTGTGAAGATTCTCAGTCATCCAGGTCATGGTTATTCTCATGGATTAATCGTAGCAACTGGACTTGCTTGAATTCCTTGAAGACGTTTCATCTCTTATCCAAGAGGCTTCATCAGTTCTGACTGACTAGTTGGGAGTTCCAGATACTTATATTCTTTAGGATCCATTTACACCTGAGTTTAGGTTTTAATTGGGGGTTTGTTGCTCCTCCCCCTCGTTATGTGAGTCATTAGTGCTCCCCTTATTCAAGACTTTTGGGGTCTTTTGGACCACAGGCCATTGGGTTTAGGTGGCAAGTAGTGTTTTTTTTATTTTTGAAGATTTTTTTAATATAAAAAGAGGGACATTTGTCATGCATTTGGAACCAAAAATATGTCAACTTGTCAGAAAATGTATTTAACATAGTATAAAAATCTATAATGAATACCAACAAATATTTTGCACATATTCTTTCTTGGGATCCAATGGACCCCGAAAGACCATCTACGTATGGAAACAAGAAAGTCCTGAATAGGGTTTAGCAAACAAGTTGCACCACGTACGTATGCATGGACAGTTTTAGCCAAATAATGAGCCGACTGGCTTCAATAAAACAGTTTTTTTTTTTAGAGCAATACAGAAACATTATACTTTCACCATAGGAAGCCCATGTGTGGTACAGCAGGGATCTCCAACTCCGGTCCTCCTGAGCTACTGTCCTGCAGGTTTTAGACGTTTTCGTACTGCAACACACCTGACTCAGATTAATGGATCATTAACAGACTTGTCTAGAACTTGACAACAGGCTGTTGGAGATCCATTAATTTGAGTCAGGCGTTTTGCAGTACGGAAACCTCTAAAACCTGCAGGACAGTAGCTCAGGAGAACCGGAGTTGGAGATCCCTGTAGTAGGTGATCTGATTAGATTAGATTATTCCTTGCGGCAGAGATTTAAATATTAATAATCTAATAATGTGAAATTTCAGTCTTATTTTCTAGATGTCAAACTCCTAGTTCTTTGTTTGTAAGTGTTCGACTGTTGCTGAGCTGGTAGCACTACAAAAGACCATTCAGATGTCTGGTGTTTGTGATAATACAAAAGTAATTGTACACATTTTTACTCACAGTAATGGGAAAGTTATGCTGTTGCACCCTTGTTTTTTATTTTTCTAGTTTGTCAGTGTCAGTCAAAAGAATTATTACAGTGTTTGGAGTATTTTTGAAAATGGCATCAACCTCTTGTTTCAGGTTGGGTCTTACCACTTCGCTCACTCGTTTGTTCGAGGAAACTGGAGGAACGAAGCAGAGAGCTCTTTTGCTCTTTTGGCCAAGTCGTGCCATGACATTGACCTAATACATCACTGGGCCGGAGCACGCAGGTAAACCATCAGACAGCAGTCAATGATGAACTCCAGGCTTTGTTTGGTGTTCAGAGATAAGATTCTAAAAAAAACAGTTCTGCAACAATGTGGTTGTTTAGCCATGACATAAGGTGTATTGATTGTTTGGATGCACAGTCCACTTAATGCCAACAGAAACTCACCCTTACCCTGGTTTAACTGGGCCACATGTAAACAGAGATGTTTGCTGAGTGTCCTTTTTGTTTTTCTGTGGATACATCATTAACATGGCAGTTTGGACTTGGCAGGTGTGTGAAAGTGTCATCGTTTGGATCAGTCAGCCATTTCCAAAAAAAACACAAGGTACGTAGTTTGTTCCATCATCACTTTTACACAAGGAATCAGAACAGTTTTTAGTTTTGGGAGTGAAACTGACAAAAAAATTCTTTATGTATAAAAGGACTTGACTCCTTATTCAGAATCATTTTTATAGCTGAATCTATGCACTTAGCATGATTATAAAATGTGACATTCCTATTTTTTGTCAGCCAACAGGTGCTGCAGATCGCTGCCTCGACTGTCCAATAGAAAAAGAATGTCCGTACTCAGCATGCAAAATCTACCTGGACAAAGTGAAACGGGTAAACACAGAATTTTCACCACCTGTGCACTACACCGCATTTCTTTGCTTCTTGTACACACTTTTATATCTACTGTATGTGTGTATCTATGCGTGTTAGGGTCACACCGGCTGGCCAGTAAATGTCATCTGCCCGAGCTCACTCCCAGACATCGAGTCAGTAACTGAGGCACTGAGGACTGGACCATATGGCCGCTGTGTCTACGAGTGTGACAACGATGTCTGCAGTAATCAGGTTAGACAACACAGGCTTTGTACCTCACTCAAGACTTTTCTCCACGGCACAATGTACAGCTCTGTCCTTTTTTTCTAACCCATGAAGCTTCATTCTTACTTTAGTTAAACTCATGAAATGTTTGATATCTGTACCCATGGTGGTATCAAATAATAATTTCAGCAAATATAGAATAAACGGACACTGAAACAGTTAAGCATCATTTAGCAAACACTGTTTTGCACCTTCCAAAAGGCTGACAAATAATCCTGTATTTGTTTTGGATTAACGTATGCTATGTTGCCTTGCTGCACATTAATTATACAATATTTATGGGTTAAATCTTATCAAGCATTTTCATTCTTTCCAGAAATAGATTTAGTAACTGAAAATTCATAACTGGCTTATTCACAGTTAGAAGCCTAAACTTTTGCCCGTTTGTTCCTGTTTACGTGTTCTGTTTGTGCAGGTGGTTAACATGGAGTTTGAAGGTGGTCTGACAGCAGCTTTTTCCATGGTGGCGTTCACTGAGGAGACTTGCATGCGAAAAACAACCATCTACGGCAGCAAGGTAGGACTGTGAGGAACGTGGATGGCAGAAAATGAAAAGGGACACGCAGAAAAATGTCAACTTGAAATCCATGAAATCTTGTCCCTCAGAAAGCAAGTTAATTCTTTGTGAACAAGAGTGTGAAAAGAATGGGGTCATGATGTCAAAATCACGTCATAGTAGTTTTGACCACATGCACTAGGTGGCCAAGTGCATGCCAAAACATTGTACCCATATGTACCTTAACTGTTGACGATGCCATTCTGAAATTGTGGTGAGCAACAATATGCTGCTTCAACAAACAAGCCAATAATAACTATTCAGGGACGGCTTTCAGCAGGACTTAGAAATGTGGCTCCAGACATTTGTTCCTTTTAAGCCACAAGAGTAAAGTAAGGCATAGAAGTTGGGCGATAAAGTTCCAGTCATTAGTCCTTCCCCAAACTGTCGCCACAATGTTGGAAGCAAAGGACAACATAAGATCTCCAACAACCTTTGGCTGTATTAGTATGCATTCACATTGATAATGTTGTAAAATCAAATATGATGTTATCACCTGTTTAAAGAAATAATGCTGTCACTGGAATAAGTGGTATAGTACAATGCCTTAGCTTCTTCTGAGACGGAACATCAGTTGTAACAAAAGTTTACGTACACTTGTAAAGACCATCTATATCATGTCAGTCTTGAGTTTTCTAAGACTTCTATAACACTTCATTTTCTATGATGGAACCATTGAAACACAGTTCACATATTTGCCAAACACATTATATGACAAAATCATACAGCAACTTTAATGAGCAGTTTAGGGGATGTAGAATGCTGCGTTATTCTGATTTTCTTAGTGGCATGACCTCTTAACTTCTCGTGAGTGACTACAATTGACTGCTGCTGCTTACCTGCTCTTATTAGCTACGAGCACTCCAGTGTGAAACCCTGAGGAGCTCAGCAAAGATCTGGAAAAGCTCAGAATTGTCTTGAACAATCAGGAAAGTCACTTGGAGCCTTTTCAAAGCAGCTACAGATCCCAAAATCAATTGTTTCTAAGTACAAAGTGCATGGTACAGTTGTGTCGCTGCCACGATCAGGAAGAAAACACAAACTATCACCTGCTGCTGAGAGACAGTTGGTCAGGATGATCCAGAAGGAAGCTCTTCCTCCAGAAGCAGCACCTTAAGGCTCAACTACAGTTTGCTGCCGAAACCATGGACAAAGAAGAGGCCTTCTGGTGAAAAATTCTGTGGTCAAATGAAACAAAAATAGAGCTATATGGCCACAATGACCAGAAACATGTTTGGAGGAGACAAGGTGAGCACCCAGCAGATTTAGTCATGTTTCCAGAAGATCTTTAATAAATCTATGAAAGAACCAAAATGCACGATTGTTTTTTTTGTGACGAAGATTCATAGGTTTCAATGATTCCATCATAGAAAATTCAGAGTTATTGGAGTCATTGGAGATTCAAGACTGCAATGATATAGACGGTCTTTACAACAGTGTGGAAATTTCACAACCTTATTTGTAGTCTAATGAACTGTGTCTTCACAGGGAGAGCTGTCATACGATGGCCATGAGATTCGTGTGTTCGACTTTCTGACCCAGAGATCCACAAAGCACACAGCAGACAGTAAAGCTCACCAGACGTTCGGCATGAGTGGACACGGTGGAGCCGACTACCACCTTATAAAAGCCTTTATTTCTGCTGTGGCGGTGAGTTCTTGCAAGTACTATACACTTTTTTATTTGAGCGATGGATAGTTTCCGTTGAGCTTTTTTTTCTTGACCGTCTTTAGAATTAGTTTATTTGATTGTTGCAGTATATGAGGAGGTTTTATGTGAGTCAGGACCTTTTGTGGACAGTCGTTTGTGATGAATACAGTTATTACCATTATTTTCAGGGACGGCACTGACACGGGGTTTGAGGGATGGATATATCATATGTATGTGGTGTTTGCTTTTGTGAATGCAGAAAAACGATCCGTCCCTGATTCGATCGGGTCCTGAGGATACGTTGCTGAGCCATTTGCTGGTGTTTGAAGCAGAGCGCTCGCGACTGGAGGGCAGGGTGGTGTACTGTGAGGACAGTAACCAGAGCTAGAAGACTGCCAAACACTGTGAGCATGTTAGCTCCCCTTATAACCAAAACTTTAATGCCATCCAAGTGATTGAAGATGCTTTTAAACTGATAGATGAAGGAACAAATCTGGAGGGCAGGGTGGTGTACTGTGAGGACAGTAACCAGAGCTAGAGGACTGCCAAACATTCTGAGCATGTTAGCTCACCTTAAAACAAACACTATGATGATATCCAAATGATTGAAGATGCTTTTAAACTGATAGATGAAGGAACAAATCTTGTGTAGTCATGTAATCATTTCAGTGCTGTCAGTGTACTGTCAATAACTTCATGATCAGTTGATTAGTCATGTTGTTATCACTGCTTGAGAAACTTTCTGTAAATATTCATGCCAGTTGATCTTTCACTCCAAACAGATTCTTGAAATGCTCAGGGCTTAAACAACTCCTGTTTAACTACTGTATGAATAAATTGCTTATTTTCCACTATTCGAGAGTGGCATTATTTAACTGAAGTTATTTTATTGACTGTAAGTGCCATTTACTTAGAGCAAATTCACATAAACATACAATACATATAGACATAGTGCCTCTAAAAGTACCTTGTAGTAAAATATTATACCTTGGTCCAATTAATTTGTCGTTTATCCACAAGAATTTACAAAAAAAGTCTCTTTCATGTCAAAGGGAAAACTGATGTCTACAAAGTAATGTCAATTTATGAAAACAGTAAACGTAAAACAAGTGACTGCTTGAGAATTCACCCACTTCCATTGAGTATTTGATAGTACCGTAATTTCCGGACTATTGAGCGCACCTGAATATAAGTCGCACCCACTAACTTTAAAAAGAAAAAAAAAAAGTACATATATAGGCCGCAGGTGTCCATGTTGTAACATGAGATAGTTACACAGAAAGATTTTTAAAACTTTTAATTAAATACCTACCAGTAACATACACAAATACCATAAATGCTTTTTTCCGAACAGTGCCTGTAACACGGCTGGTTACGAAAATAAAAAACACAGTTGGCTACCAGGAAAAGTCATTGATCGCTATCTTCATCTTCCTCCTGCGCACTAAAACCACTAAAGTTCTTCAGTGTCGGAGTTGAACAGCCTCAGAATTACTCCGTCACACACTTCCTCAGTCTCTCTTTCGTTGTCGCTCTCAATGTCACTTTCGTCTCGAGGCAAATTCGTAAAAATCCATAAATTAGCTGCATCATTGTTTAAGCTGCAGGGTTCAAAGCGTGTTAGAAAAGTAGCGTCTTATATTCCAGAAATGATTGTAGTAATAGTAGTTAATGCACCTTTGACTGCAGTTACAGCATTGAGCCTGTGTCACTAGGTGTCAGTCAGCCTGGCACAGCACATTCTGCCACATTCTTCTTTGGAAACTGCTCAAGTTCTGTCAGATTGCACAGGGATCAGGATTAAATAGTCCTATTCAAGTTCGCCTTCAAATTGTCTATTGGATTCTGACTCCAGAACATTCACCTTGTTGTCTTTAAACCATTTCTGAGTAGCTTTGGCTGTTTTTTTTCTTCAGGTTATTGGCTTGCTAGAAAACAAATCTTCCCCCAAAGTTGCGGTTCTCTTGCAGGTTGTCCTTGGGGGTTTCTCTCGACTTTGCTGCATTCATTTCCCCCTCTACCTTTCCAAGCATTACAGGGCCTGTTGGCAATAAGCATCATGATGCTGCCACCACCATGCTTCACAGTGAGGATGGTGTGCTTGTGATGATGTGTAGTGTTTGTTGTCTGCCAAACATAAAGTCTAAAAAGCACAATTTTGGTCTAATCAGAGCTAAGAACCTTCTTCCAGTTGTCCTATATTTTGCTAGTCAGAATTAAATTACAATACTTTGTCGAAATCTGTTTTTACTTGGACATGAAAGAGTCTTGTTTGTAAAGTCTGGTCCAAAAAAAGCCAAATTAAATGAACCATGAATCATGTTTGAAAAGCAGTAAAAGAGCAATGGGAATTTCCTATCCCCACATATTCTTCTTTTTCACAAATTGGGTTGCTTCAACACCCACCAACATCTTTAAAGAATTTAAAACTCTACACCAGTAGCCATGTGTGGTGGTTCTGCCTTGAGTTTAAACAGCACAGAGGAATCACGGCGGGCTGAAAGATCCCACTATTCACAAAAAGGTGGCGGGTTGTTTCTGTTGGCTTGATTACGCTGGGTCATAACTCTAGATTGTTAATTCACAGTGTTAAATAAAATCATGTGCACTCAGAATAAATAACAGAAAGGCATCAGTTTTTGTTACTCAGTGCTTGTTAGTGAAGAAGTAGCGTCTTTTAAACACAAGGTGGCGCTAGTTTCTTTGATTAGAACGTCACACAGGTGGTTAGAAGACAATCACTGGGGTGACAGCGGTGTGTTGTGGTAAACATTACAACGCTTAGCACCAGAAGATGTCAAAATGCTGTGGAGTATCTGCAATAATTCAGAATATATTAGTAATCATGTAAAAAAAAGAAAAGAAAAGAAAAGCCTGTACTGGGGCCACTGTAACAAGCATTAACCATTAATAGTTACCTGTAAATTACAACATTTCTTCTTTTAAAATGTTTAAAATGAACAATTCGTCTTTAATCTTTATAATCCAGAATTAGGATCTACTCACTGTGTAGTCTGTTACACATACTATAGAAATCAAGGAAAGATCAATTAACTTTGTGTGAAATAGTTGTAAAAATGGCCTAACTCAGGGCATCAGTGTGAAGTTAAATAACTGTCATTCTTATCTTTAGCCCCCAAAAAGCATCAGATATCACAGTTTTCAGTGCACTCCTGTTGTTGTTTTTACAGTTATTTATGACACCTCTAAGTACTAAACAGGTAATTGCCGTACACACTGTCAGCATGACTCACATTGCATCACAATCAGGTAAGATAGCTCTTCAATTTTATCGCATTCCATCCTGGATGGGAGGTGTCCTTAACTACCCTGTGAGCACAATAATGTCAACAGCAGCGCACAATTCTTGGACCTTGCAACACATCCAGGATGACTAATTCTGGATTGGGTCCCGTAGTCCGTACTCCCAGAAGGATCACGCTGTGTTGATGATGGTTGGACTGTCACAGTTGTAAGACCGTCAAGAAGGGCGTGGAGAGAAAACCGGAGAAATGACGAAACGATTGAATCACTGAGAAACTTTGACCGGGTGCCAGAGTGGGATTACAGCGGCGGTGGAGAATAGGCACTCCTTCGGGCAAAGCTTCATTTTCCACTTGATGTAACCTGCTTGGTGATTCTGTGAGTGGCTTCTGAGCAAACACTTAGTTTCTGACAGAATGAGGACTGATTTTAATGAGCAATGTTTTCTTTTTAAGAGTGACAAGATCAGCCCTGAGGAGTTTCCTGATCCTGAGGTGCAGGTTTAGACGCACACATACATACAAAATGCCACATAGGCTGGCGACGTGCTCCAGGAGACGAGTTTGCAAACTGAGTCAGCAGCTGTATTTCTGAATGACTCAACCGGTCCTCCACAGAGCCCTTTCGTTTCTCAGAGCCCTGCCCTCAACCCTCCCTCACACACTGGCAGGCGCTTTAGTACAACCCTTACCTCACTACAGCATCACTTCCTCCCACTTCACCAGACTACGTCGGCAAATACCAGGCTGCAATCCCAAATTTCCAAGGAAGTAATTGACCTCAGTGATGTTTTTTTTTTTCTCTCTCTCTCTCTCTTCCCTTTTGTTTTGCTTGAAGCTGTATTTTTTCTTTAGTGATGTGACATGTTGTGACGGGTGAGGTGTTGAACTGATGTGCAGAGCTAATAATCCCCTGATCCTCCAGGTCATTTAACTTGCGTGAATCACTGCCAGGAAAGAGACCTCCTACGTCTGCTTTGATTTTTCTACCTGCTTTTCATGCAATTATTTCAGCTGGAGCGGGGCCATTGTTGTCGCGTCACGCCGAGCTTTTCTCCCTTACAAGACAGGCGTGTGTGAACAAGGAAGTGGAGGAAAAAAGGCAAAAGAGGGGAGCAGCAAACTGTAAAACATGGCTCTGCCGGTGACTCAACAGGAAATGATGGAGCGAGAGTAAGTAAGGTGAGAGAGGGAAAAAGAGGAGGAGGGTTGTGGAGTGGGAGGAGAGATCGAGGGAAGAGGGGGGAAAGAAAAGGGGGTTTTGTCATGCCTCAGGAATCGAAGCTATTTTGTAAGGAGAGACAGACTGAGAAGGGTCATGCCCAGCTTTTTTTTTTTTTTTGAGAAATCTGTGGGCTGTTCAGTTCATCATTTCTCCCCCGCCACCCCTGCACAATGAAGTAACAATGCGCAGCCACAATGCAAATAATCAGCAAAGTTACCACACTTGACTCATTTCCGTCCGAAGGATGACCCTGGAATTCGTGTGGTGATTAAAAAAGACTTTGACCTCAAGAACAAGTTGTGAACACCGTGTAAACAACCAAATATTGATTACGTCTGCCTGTCTCCTTTTACCGCAAATAAAAAAAAACATTCAGTATCTCCATGACCTGGTTAGCAGATAGCATTTTGACTCTGATGACGGGAGGATTTTTTGCAGATAGTAGCTGCTGAAAAGAGAACTAATATTAAATAAATTTCCCTTTGGATTTGCCTCGTTTCTCATTTCAGCTTTTAATGAACCGGAGATCAGATTTACAGAGCTGCGGAAGTCCTCCTGCTGGGCCTGCAGACCCGCTGCCCACACTGAGGCCTGAAATCACGGGTAGGGAAGCTGCCCAGGCCTCCAGTTCTGTATCCCGGGCAAAGAATTGCTCTTTTCATGCTCGGATCTCTGCCATTCACTGAAGCTGTCACCATGAAATCAGATGTCACAGGGTTTAAATCACTTTAATCCTTGCCACTTCCTCCATCACTGTTCCTTCTGACTCGGTTTTGTTTCTCTCTGCTGGTACCCTGGGAAAAAACTTTTTTGTTTTTTTCCAGGGATAGCACCACCACACATAAAGCTGTGCGTTTGTATACGTGTGAGTGTGTGTTTTCCACCTCGAATCCATTCATTTTGCTCGCAGCTACAGTTTATTCACAGGACACATTGGCAGTCTGTGACGCCGTTATTGGGTTCACGAAATGCAGTTTAGCATCCGAATAGATTTCACAGAGAGCATGTTCTTTTGTCTCTCCGTGCACTTCCTGAACTGTCCAACAATCAAAGGTACAAACATCACTCTTTCAGTCCGTCCTCCTCTTTCCTCCCGATGGCTGTTGGCTCTTTGATAACTGAGCTGTCTCCTCGCAGGATGAGGTCAAAGGCCGTGGTGCAAAGCCCACTCAGACATTTGAGGAGCCCGATTCCTTCCTGACGCCTCCAACTTGTCAAACCCTGACCGCAGATCCATTAAATTACACACACAGAAAAAAAAAAAAAGATCAAGGGAAGGGTGTGTGTGTGTTTCAAATCACACGTAGTCCCGCAGACAGTAGCATCACGGTTTTAAATGAATGGTTCTGATTCAGAACGCAATCAC